CAAGCTCGCGTGATGAGTCTAAGGTGTCCACTGCTGGTAAGACCAAGGGTGAGCCCCCTTACAATGCTCCCTCCTCCACAGGATACGAGAGCCCTTCCTCTGGGTTAACGAGGGTCTGCCTAGGACTTCTAGGCAACCCTAGGAGACGAGCGCGACCTCAATAGTCGCGTTCTCTCCACTTACTTCTATTCATCGATACTATACTACAACATTCAACTACGGTACTACGAGACTTCACGCGCACGAAGTCCCCGCACGCACTGAGGTTTCACATTCGTTCATGGGTAGTGAACAGACATGTGCTACATACATACTCCACACGAATGTACATACAAACGCACCAAGAGATTCACTTTCTAAAATGTTCAAGTCACATGCTCCCTTGCTGTGTTGCTCTCACTATCATTCTCTGTGCTCAGTATCTTCAAATTTAAATGCATGCAATCACCCACTCCCTTGCTGTCTCTCTCTCTCTCCTCTCTTACTCATCATAGACTAGATGGCTCCATAGCCCAACTTCCTCAATCCTACAGCCAATTCTACCCTCCCATCCTGGATCCCACAGCTGATTCTATCCTCTCATTCTCAATCCTACAGCCAATCCTACCCTCTTGTCCCTACTCCTATATCCTCAATCCTACAGCCAGCCCTACAGAAATTTTACAACCCTACCTCAATCCTAGAATCCTCAATAACCTCCCACGAAATCCCTCCCCCCATCCGAGAATGGCTGGGCATCAACAGAGGTCTTACGAGCGGTGGATCCCACCGCAAGAAACCATGCGTCAAACAAATAGGGCGCAGGTCACTGCCAAAACTTCAAAGGCAGTTGACCGTCGGTATGATATCTGGCTGCCAGCCAACATGGCATCTCGCCAGCCTGAGAAAGGGAAACCACCCACGATTTGATCCAAGGCGCCTTTCCTTTTTTCATGCATTAACCCACCAACTCTCTGTGCTTGACCGCAATCCACCCAAACTAGCGGTGACGCTTAGTCTATGTACTACTACCATGAACCGTCTGCTTTGCAAACTAGGCCGCTGTTTCGAATGTCGACGTCGCCTTTGTGATGGATCTACATCTCGGCAGACGGACGCTTTCCCGAGTCCTCTCTTCTTTTGCAACCCTTCCTTCCACTTTTGTAATATCTACTCGCTGCTGCTTCTCCCCTATCACTTACGTTCTGAAAAGCTTAAGCTTGTAGCTCAGTCAGCTTGAAACGTCTGAGATGTAGTGAACAACACGTAGGTATCATTAAGCAATGAAATATACAGTATATAAGCGAGAAACAAATGTCTGTTAGATAATCAAGGTTCGAGGATCGCATTATCCGATCTGGAGGGAATGTCTCCAGGTAGTTGGAAGTCCAAACACATCTCAAGCTCCACCCGCTCCTTAAAGAACAATCAACAGCATCCACCGCATCACGCCTTACACCATCGTCCACATCCCACTAACCACGACCACAACACCCATCGCCACCATCCCTACAAATCCAGTCCCAACCAACGTGCTCGCACCGTTCTTCTTCGTCCCACCCCCACTCGACGTGGTCCTAGTCGAGCTACTTCCAGATGAACTAGCAGGCGCAGTCGGTGCAAACGTCGCGCTAAGGCTGGCTATACACGAAGACGCGACGCTAGTGGCGGAGACGGAGGTGGACGCATGAGAGTTGACGGTTCCGTTGCCTGCGAAACTGCACGCCTGTGCTTTACGATTTTGGGACTGGTAGTACTGAGGCATGACGTAGGAGAGTTTGACGACTGCGAAAGAGGGGTGGATAAAGAGAAAGACGATGAAATAAGGCGATGAAACTCACTCGGATCACACCCCGAGACAAGACCGTACGTGCCCGCAGCACCATCTATGGCAAAATCCGAGCAGCCCACAAGCGGCATTGATCAACTGCCCAGCAACAACCGTATAACCGCTAACGACAGGGGTGAACTGGCAGCTCAAAGCACTCTCCAAACACTGGCAAGCCGCCAAGTTGGGGGTGGCAGGAAAAGTCGTCGATCCCAAGAACGTGCAGGTTTGCGTTGGGCACGCGGGGAAGGTGGCGTCCACAACCGAAGCTTGAGCTGGAGAGTTGTGAGGAGCAGCAGCGCCGTATTGAGTGGCGAGGTTGGTAAAGTCCGTGGAGGTCGAGGCAGTCTTGTTGTCAGATGACAATGTGATTATGCCGAATTGACCTGCTGCGCTGGCTTCTGGGAAATAGGAAAATGCGATGCCCCATACCAGGCGGGAGACATGTTGGATGACAAGAGGGCACCTAGTTCTGGGGGCGGACACCGGGGACACAGCCATATCCAGAAAAGTAGGCTGCGACGTTGTGTTGCTTTCGGTGTCGGTGTAGGAGTCTGCGAAGGTGGAATTGCCGCACCACTCGCTGTGACGTGTCAATGGTGAGCGGAGGATGGGGAAGAGCAGAAGACTTACTAGTTGTTGAGTCCGAAGAGGTCGATCGCCATTGACCCAAATTTGGTGTTTAAGACCGCAGCTGAAATGGTTGGCCAGTGGGTCTCTGAAGTTGTCCACGCCGTCGATGGCTGCGTAACCGATGAGAACGTTGGACTTTTTTGGGGTGCTGAGCGGGGAAGAGTGAGCGACGCAATGGAAAAGAAAGAAAGGAATTACAGGTATGCCTTGATGCCTGGAGCAGCTGCTTTTACGAAAGGAGCGACGTTGGTGTTGGATGAGCTGTTGATGACCTCGTTTCCGACGTTGAACGCCAGGACGTTGTCGTACTTGCTGAAGCCGTGGATGGTAGCAAGGTACCGATCCAGTAGACCACGCAGGCGAACTAGGGTCGATTGAGCCGTTCAAGGAAAGGGTGAGGTCGATGCTGGCGTGCTTTGTCAGGTTAGGGGAGGGTATGACGCACGGCACGAACGTACATGGTACAGACGCCTGCACCACTGAAGGCTTTCATGCACAAATCGTAGCTCTTGATCGAATCGACGCTGTACACACGAACGGTGTACACGCCCAGTTGTTGTAGGTATGGAAGATCATGAGCGCATCCGTGCATCCGCGAGAGGGTCATTTTAAGTCGAAGGCTCGTTGAACGGGTTATTAGCAGAAGTATCAGTGACAATGCCTATAAGAAGTGAGCACCGAGCGAGAGGGTGATGAAGAGGAAGTTACCTTGTTGTTGGTACGGCACACCCTTGAAATAAAACCTCGCTACCGACATGTGCGAGAGACTTGTGAAATGGCGTGCACGTTGTACGCCAGGAGGGCGGTGAGGACGAGAGAAACGAGGGCAGGAGCCCCGAACGACTTCATGCTGAAGGAAAGAGTGTGAGTTTGGTGCAAGCAAGCTCTGGAGTGGAAACAAAACGTGTCACCACTACGAGAACCGCACTCACACTTCTTTGTCTTGGATCTTGGACGATTCGACCTCGAAGGTGATCATCTTTAAGGTCGAGTTGGTCGGGGCTCATGAGCGCCCTCGCTTGGAATTTGATGCCAATTTCACATTGCACTCTGTTGTAAAGTTAGGATTTCATAAGACAAACGAGGGAGGCGAACATACCATAATTTACCCAGGTCGAGAGAATGTCGCAGATTGTCCATCCCGTCCTCGTCATTCATCACCACCAGGTTGTTCCCCTTATCGCCAAACTCGTACTTGTGCGCGTCTCGTCGGGCCATCTGCCACGTAACGCCGGCGTCTGTGCTGATAAATGTGTCGCCTTCCTCGTACGGTAAGAAACGCTCGCGTATCGACCCAACGCCCATGGCAAAACCAGGTGCTGGTGACCAAAAGATGCGGCCATGGTTGTGTGGGGTCGTGACGGAGTGGAGGTGGACTGAGGAAAGATCGGTATCAGCGGGGTTGCATGTGATGGGTTTGCCCTCGTCGTCTTCAGATGGGAGCAAAGCGAGGTCCATTGCTACCTGTAAATGGTTAGACGAGGAACGGACGACAGAAATAGAGCGATGTACCATCTTCAACAGTGATCATCGCCTCACTCGCCCCATCGACATCCTTCGCCTTTGTCACAACATTGGCAAGGCCCACCCCATCGACTAGGCAATAACGCCCTTTGCGTTCTTCTCAATGTCTTGGTCCTCGACTTTGCTGTCTTGGTTGAGGAAATCGGTGCTGGAGAAGAGGCGGCTGGAGGAGAGGACGTGGGGGCTGTCGACGCTTGTGGTGTCGAACAATGGTGCGGTAAGGCGGGATCGTCTGACCCCCCGGAGAGTCGGCTACAAGCCTTAGGGCTAATAGCCCTAAGGATGATGGATATTGGTCGCGACGGTTCTGGCTAGGGGACGTAGTATTTGCACAGTGTTTGACGCTGGTGTGGAATTAGCATGCGCGCTTTTGGAAATTCTTGCGAGTTTACGCGTTGAGTTAGATTGGGTTTGGGAAGATAAGTGGTAAGCGTACTGCAGGTTCGCTACAATCGTCGGGTATACCGTGTAGTTATGCTCCTAGGCCCTTGTAATCTGGATTAGCGGTCGACGAAAGCAACTGAAGATCACAGTCAGTCCTCCAACGCGTCAATGCTTTCGCCAGACAGGAGTGGCGTAATACGACAAAAAAGTGAGAGTGTCACGTTTGCAAGTAGTGTGACATGTGACACGTCACGTCATTCCGCTACTCGACCACTCTCCAAATGGATAAGTTGCTCCAAGAATCTTCCGGCGTGCTAACCTCCTTTGTGCAGAAAACCTTTGAGTACCTCTACGAGTCGTACGACCCCAACGAGGAACTCGAGTCTTTGACTCATTGTTCGCGCATAAAGCATTTCCAGAGAAATATGCGTTATGGCAGGCGGAGTTGGCAGCAGAATTAGGTTCGGAGGTGTCGAACAAGGCAGGTCTCGACATCCGGATCAATCACAACCCTGTCCTCCTTCCTGGATTGAAAGACTATCTGGTCAGAGCAAGGGAGGGCGCGAACTTCGCGAAAGTGCATTTTAAGGACGTCTTTGAGGTTCCAGAGGTACGAGACAGTGCTGGATGGAGTTATGTTTTGAATGGTCTCATTTGACGTCATTGAAGGAAGGAGGTGGAATTGTTGCGGGGTTTTTCACCGCCACTCGCAACCTCAAATTCAGAATTCGTGTCGGGCCTGCACAAAGGGTAGTGAGCGTGTCGTTCAGCGCCAAGTACGGACGACTATTCACTACCGCATTGCACCATAAGCTGACACCTTCGTCGGCTAGGCTAGAGCGCACTGTTGGCGATGATTTTCGAATCATCCAGCTTTATGTCACAACGGTGAATAAAGCTGCGATACACTATGAAGAAATGCTCCTTCATGAAATTTCAGACGCGGTAAAGCAACGATAAAGGAAATGCAACAGGGTAACGAGTATGAACGAGTGGTTAAAATCTCGAAAAATTATGACACAGGCGGCAGCAGGGCAATTTTCGGGTATAGGCAATAGCTTGCTGCTCAGATGGGTGTGTGGTTCATTCCTTTGGACGAATAAGCTCGTGGAGAGTAAAAAATCAGGTTGACATCCGTCATAAACCATCCATTGGAGACGCTTCGCATCACATTATTTGTTCTCAACATATTCGTTCTCAGCAATAGAAAATTACCCGGCGGGTTTGCCTCCTCAACCAGGAACAAGTTTTCTTGCCGTTGGCTGATCTGCGAGAAAATTAGGAGCGCCATGCTTACCACAATTATCTGCTCTCGTGATTGAATGCAATGGACAAAAATATAATTGATAGTGTTGTACAGTGTCCCTAAACTTCATGAGGTAGCCAGCATCTTCCCTACACAGCAAGAAGTCATTTCATGTCGATCAAACTAGAGACAGTCACCATCTACAATGTCCCAGATTCCAAAAACACCGCTCAAGTAGCTCTGTTGAACAGGTGATCAGGCGACGAAGCATAGTACATGGGGAAGCACAACGCACATTAACGCAAGACATGGCGCCATTGAAATGCAACCCATTGAAATCGGCTGGCGTGGAGGAGCACATGACGTTCCATCCGTCCGCGTAGTCGAGATTCATCAGGTGGGCGTCAAAGCGCTATCACAAGGAAACGTGTAAGTTGCGGCTGGGCTCGAGCAGAGATGATATGTGCGTACCCGGAGACCAGATCCTGGAGCCGTGCATCCCTATGAAAAAAATTATCAGATAGACGTAGAGTAGTCTAGTCATCCACTGAACTTTATCCGTAAATCCTTCCCACCAAGGACGACACCCGCCTTCATCAAAGTCGACTATCCAATGACCATATACCCCATGATCCGCTCCCTACGAATTGAGTATTCAGTAACAGTGGAAATGGGACTCAGCCAAACATACCTTATCCTCGCAATACGTCGGCTTCATCTTCCGACCATGAATCTCAATGTCCGAAGTCCAACACGCCTTCATAGGATCATAGCCACCAACCAGGGGGCCCATCTTCGCCCAATACTTTCTCGTTCCATACCGTTCGCAATGTTGCGAGCTCTCCAATGCCAACCAATGAATTTGAGCACGCTGCCTCGCCTCCTCCTCGGCCTCCCATTGGCGACGCCTCTCTTCCGCCTCCTCTTGCTCCCTCTCCCATCGTCGGCGTTCAGCCTCCCTTTGATGACGCCTCTCCGCCGCCGCCTCTTGTTCCCGTTGCCGTTCCCTCTCCTCTTCGGCCTCCCTCTGGCGATGCCTCTCTTCTGCCTCCACTTGCTCCCTTTGCCGCTCCCTCTCCTCTTCGGCCTCCCTCTGGTGACGCCTCTTTGCCGCTTCCTCTCGCTCCCTGAGACGTTCCCTCTCCCATCCTCGGCGCTCAGCCTCCCATTGGCGCCGAATGTAGTCTCGTGCAGCGGGGTCATAAATGTTTTGAGAGGTAGCGTATTGAATCGAGGCGCCGACGAATCCACCGATCATAAATGCGAGAATTGTGAGGATAATGAAGGTTGCGCACGAGTCACCTCTTAAGCGCCTGGGTTCTTTCAAGGCTGGTTGTTAGATGATGATGCTTCAGTCGGGGTGCGAAGCAGTAACGATACCATCTATACTGTGTGAACTACCCAAAGGTGGGATCAAGGGATCGCGCTCCGAGCCATCTACACCGCGATAAGAGGGTGGTGAAGTAGATGATACGCTGTGATAAGGCGGTGGTGGACTAGATGATGGTTAGTTTCATAGCTTTGAATGAGAAGTGGGAACGACTTACACGGTTGAGGAGGGCGCCCTCTGCCTTGATCGTGTCATAGACGTTGTAGATGAAGGGAGGGTGAGAGTTGAATTGAATGAAGCAGCTCTGGATTATGTAAGGCCCACGCGACTCTTCCTTTCACCAATCTCACGCACTGAGGTCTCGCGCTTCTCAGCGGGCGAGTTCTTTTTATTCCACATTATCAGGAACAGATAACTCAAGATGACCCACTACGATAGTACGAGTCGAGCGTGCCTAACGTTTTACAATGCCGTGCTGTCGACGTGTGCCGCTGGATACGAAGTTCAACCTTTTTGTTCAACTCTAGGGTTAACATTCCTTGCAGATCTCGCATTTCCCGAAGGATAGTATGTTAGCAGAGGGCAGGGGAGAACGTCACGAACGACATCGGGCCAAGTCTGAGCTGACACACTCAGCTTTCTACGGTGAGTTGATCACGATTCACAGGTTCAAATGTTGCTTAAAATTTTTAAAGGTACGTGTCTGCCGCCATGTACTGCACCACAACCGCAATTTTGCATGAGGAACTTACTTTTCAAACCAGACAAACGCCTCCACCCCTCACGTAAACGTGCATTACTTGTCAATCAACGCGAGCTCGTAGCGTGAGTTAGGTACGTCATTGCATGTCGCTTTCTCTCTGAACTTGCTGAATCACCTCGATTTGAAGGTGATGAATATTATTCGACACAACGCACAACGCATGCGTAACATTATAAAATCCTGTCCTACGATCTCCGAACGCCTTTGGAAAGGCGCTCAGGGTGTGGCAGTGGTCAGGTCTTCACCTCTCGGTTGGATGTGAAAACACCCGGTTTTTGGCGGTGAATCCCCTTCTGAACGTTACAATCCCACTTTTCTGCTAACCTCTCAAGATCTCACACCTCACTTTTCCCCAAAAATCTTGGTTCAGGACTACGTTCCGCCACCCCTTTGTTAGTATCTATCATTTAGCTGGATTTTTGGGGGTCCTGAGAAAGCTGACATTTCGCAGACAATCCGCAGCTTCAAAGTCCCAATCTTGGCAGGGATAATGAGTGCAAGTAATTGTTGATCTTCAGCGACCTTTATTTGGCGTTGGCAACACCATGGTTGGAAACAGACGCGTGGACCTACAAAATTTGGGCGTACGTCATTCTCGACTGAGTTTGCAAATGTTATTATCAAAATTTTCTTATCGTTAGAACCCCCCATGTCTGCCGCAAAGGCTCTAGAACAACTCGTCGCCGACTAGCTCTTCCTCATCACGACCATCACCTTCCTGCCGCCGTCACCACCCCGAAAACCCAACCTCCCCAAGCCTAAACTCCGCCCCACCCCCCTTCCATACAACCCTTTCCTCGGCTTGGACACGCTCAACGATCACCTCAATCGGGGAAGTCACATCCAACTACGAAATCAAGCAGAGTCGAAACTAAGCAGAGTCTGCTATTGGCGTATGAGATTTATGAGAATATCTCAAAAATCTAACCGCTCACCAGGATCAAGCTGAGCGCACGCTTGTTTTATCTCATGAACGACAGCCTTCAGGCGAGCCGCTCCCTCCGCCTCCAGCACATCACAATCCCAACGCTGTAGCAGAGCGGTGTCAGTGACTAGCTGATCATCTGCGACAATACTACCTCCCAGTCCCTGCGCTATCACCCACAGAGGCCACGGAGGATCGGCGATATTCACCTTTCAAAGGCAACCCACCTTTACGGTGAGTGCGTAACTTCCGCGTTGTAAGCCAGCCACTAACACATCTTTTTCATCTCCGCATGTCTACAAAGGCTTCCTCAACGGTTATCCGCATAGATCATATACCTTTCATTAACCGCCTCCCCATCGAACTTTTGTGGATTACCTTCTGCTTTCCCGTTTTAGATGTAGCGATGAGGATGTCCTTCCGTTATCTCGCCGCGCGCTTAGTTATGTTTGCTCCTGTGGAGTACCATCGTCGCTTCTATCCCAAGACTGTGGACAGCCGTAGTCAATTTCGTTTCCATTCCTCCCCGTTGGATAGTCCGATACGTGACATTGCACATCGACATGCAGCCGTCCGCCTCTCCATGATAACACGGACCCAAAGTAGTTACTACGTGGCAGCCTGAGGCAACTGTGCGTAATTATTCACACCGAGATTATTGAACCGTCGCACCAACAGACCCTCCCAGGCGTTGAATTCCAGACGAAGGTTTGAGTTTAGATCGCAAGCAAAGTATGTCGTCGATTGCCATGGGAGCCAAAACTAACGGAGGAGTAGGTGAAGTTTATACTACACCTCCACCATAGTACTCGTCCGTCGCTTATCGTTAACACCCAGTCCGACGACACCAATGCACTCCAAAATTAGAGCTCCACAAGCCGCCGTCGCTCAAGTGAGAAACACCAGTCCGATCATTTCTGTGGTAAGTTATCACCACTCCTTCGTGCCTGTCCATACCCTTTCACATTAGGCATGTCATCCGCGAAGACACAGCACACAGCGCATGCATACCATCACAAAGTCCCGTTAAACTTACCCGTTTTAGTGATATTGACCTTCCGCGCTTGGGCAGTGCGGAGGCGTAACGAGCGTTTGGGCATCGCCGCTCTATCAATGAGTATTCCCCGTCACTGCCTCTGTCAAGCCTCTGTCGTGACCAGCTACGTGATCCCTACTACGGGGTCTACAATGCAAGTGGTTGTTCAGACACATTTCATACCTCACGTCCTCTTTCCTAGTTTGCGATATACCATATCTGGAGTTTTAAGGCTGGCATAGTGCCATAGGACATGTCCGTCGTCATTTGCCTTGATATACTAACCATCCATTAGATTCTAGATCGCCGGGGAAAGCATGACATTTTTCATGCAGTTGTCTATCGCGATGGCGAGTCAACCCTCTTGTGACGACTAACCGATGTTAGGTGTGTCCACCTCATTGATAAGAAACTAAGAGACATACATCGTAGGCCATCAGCAACGTTAACGGCGGTATGTTTTTTGATCCCAATCCGGAATTTGACGTTCTTCTATAGGACAAGTACGCGGAATGCACGCCCTGCATTGTCAGACGGCGTTGGCAGCGGCAGAAAATACTCAATTCAACAGCATGAGATTGGAGCAGGGTAACATAAGAAATTGTACAACGATGACGATTTTACGCATTGTAAGTAAATGATTCATAGTGGGTTAACGAAATTAGTGGATGGCGGTGTAACATAAACGACGTCAAGTCCGACAAACGAGGATAAGCATAAAGAAAATCGAAAAAGGATAACATACTCAGTTCAAAGGGCGGTCAACGACACCCTACGCCTTGCCCAAAACAGCATCCAACCTCTCTTCCAATCCCATGCCAAGCCCCTGCCTCTCCCACTCCCCACCAACATTATCCAACAACGCAATACTATCCCTCTTTCCAGGATGAGTCACTCCACCCCTTATACTCGACCTCTCGCTCGTCAGTCCACCCCCAGAAACGATCCCCAGCCCACTAACACCAGGTATATGCGGGGGTGGCTCAGAAGTCGACGCCGACGTAGTAAGCGACGAAAGGGGGAGAGTGGACGTCGGCGTGGACGAAAGTAAATCAGAATACGACATGAACGAAAGGCGTTTCTTGGCTGCGTGGGTAGGCGACGGGGGATGAGAAGACGGTAAAAGCGGAGAGAAGCCCGCATTGGGGCTATTCGTATTGGACGAAGGATGGGTTTGTTGGAACGGTGCGTTTGGCTCCGGAAGCGACGCAAGCGGGTGTTCTTGCGCAGTGGTCGTAGTAGGTGAAGACGAAGATGAAGAACTACCAATCGACGACGTAGTCGAGAAGTACGCCGACGTGGGGGTGACGAGGGACGGCGTGGAAGCCACCGTCGTATCCGTCTGTGTCTGGATCGTAGGCCTAATCCCTGGAAGCTGGGTGGGTGAATGCGGAGCGACGACGGGAGGGACAGTGGTTGGGCTCAAAAGGAGGTTATGGACGGGTACACCTGCAGCGGACACGTTCCTCGCACCCAAGGGACTGGGGCTCCTGCTCCTAAAACTCAACGGGCTGGCGAAGCCACTGCTCCGAGAAGCAGGAGCCTCCACAGACACCTGCTCCTCTGCTTGCGAGTCGTCGATGGACGCGAGGATGGACGCGGCAGAGTCCAGAACAGATGGAACGGACTGCTCCAGTTGTTCGGTCGACTTTGCGCGTGATACTCGGTGGGGGTTGGGCGGGTGGTGGGGGAGTGTAGGCGGAGAAGGGATAACGGGAGGTTCGATATCCCGTTCGAAGATCGCCGATGAAGACGAGCGGCTGTGGTTATCGTGTCAGATCGGGAAGGGTACATGTGAGTGAAAAGAAAAAGACACGTACACCGAGGTAGGCGATGAAGGGATTGAGCTGGGTGAACGTGATCCGAGTCGGGGTTCGTTTGTGCGTAGGCCTCGTTGGGGGTGTTTTGTAGGTGAGCCGAGGCTGGAGGTCATATGGCGTAAATCGACTGCTGGAGGAGAGTGGGCACGAAGAGTGGCTGTAGAGCTCATTAGTGGTGGCATGCGGAATAAAGAGGAAGAAGACTTGCGAGAGAGGGATTCTGGTGATGATGCCATGATGGTAGACGATGGTTGGATGTTTGTTGTGGTGGTTGATATGGAGGACGTGTTGTGTGTTACTTGGAACAAGAACGAAAGACAACGGATCCTGCAACCATCGTCACGCCGTTTGTCATCACATCCGTGTTTGACTCTGTTGACCAACAGTCATTCCACGCGATTTCTTATCTTCCTGGAACACAGCTCGCCATCGATTCATCCATCTATCGTCAATCGCGGAGGCGCGATATCATCTACCAAACACAACAGACCTCAACATCCTTCTTAGCTCAGTTGGTAGAGCGCGTCACTAGTAATGACGAGGTCAGTCGTTCAAGTCGGCTAGAAGGAAATTTCCCCACGTAACCATCACCATTTCTTTTTTTGCCAAGTAATTCAATTTACGTGTTCAAGGCGCCAGGCAAAGTCCCGACTGGAGGCACACTCTTCTCAGCTATCTTGTTTTTACAGACACGAATCTTTGTCCGCGATCAATCACATGCCTCGGAACAGCGAAGATGTCAAACGTTTTCTCTAGCCCGCTCCAAGTACGGGCTATCTCGTCAGTTAAACGACTGCATGATGACTCTAGGGCCTAAGCTTCAATCTACTCGAAGGAACGTCGCACCCGACACGCGAATCCCTCCGCATCACCGCCGTAGTACCGTCCTGCATGTGGAGACCGACACTGCGAATCTCGCTTAGCCTAACGCTCTCTCAAGCTTTTCCCCCCGCAACAGCTCTATCACGATCCTCCGCCCATCACTACATTGGCGGACACGCGATACATACTGGTAAGCGTCCTCGCGCTCCCAGTAATTTGAATCATCTAAACAGTAACAACGAGTGGCAAGCTAGTCGTCCGAATCGGCTCTAGCTATCTGCGACGCGTCTTCGTTTGAACGTATTACTACTTACCCCGTGTCCGCTCAATCAATTAATCCAGGAAGGATTCCAGCTCCAACCACCAAGCTCTGGTTTACGTACGTTCCAATGAGGTAATGCTATCTTCTTACACAACATCCTTCTTACCTCAGTTGGTAGGGCGCGTCACACGTAATGACGAGGTCAGTCGTTCAAGTCGGCTAGAAGGAGTGTGGAAGGAATATCCGGTTCATGAATTGTTTTGCTGATTATCTTACAGTGTATGCACCCCTTTTAATAATATGGCGTCGTACTTCATGGGCGGATTTGAGTTGGACCTGTACTTAAACTGTGTACGTTGGCATCTCTTTTAAGTTGTTCCGCATAATTATCATACCACCCGATTGTAATTTTCAGCTCCTCCTTATCCTCGCCCTTCGATCAATTCACAATCACCGGCGCGTCCGATCTATACGCTTCTTAAGCCTACTTATATTGGCGCGTCGATCCTTAAGTTGATGTTTTAGTAATGGCGTTCCTCTATAATTTAGAAAAACTTTTTAAAGCCCTCATTAATCATTATCAAGCGCGTTGACACCATCAAGGATTGACGAAAGAATCGTAGGAGTCCTGATAAAAATTTCTGGACTTATTTTCAAAATGCGCATCCCCGCCCTGGGCCGCCTCGCTCAAATCTACGTGCATGGAATATAAAACCACGAGCAATGACAAAGAGTTAATGACATTCACCTACATCACCGACTTTCTCCTCCCTACCATACGCTCGAGCTCCTAGGCACACAATCACACAACTGCCTGACTCCGCCGTATTATACACGGGTATGCCAATCCGGCTCCTTTTTTCAACATTGCACAATCGAGTCCCCTCTTTTACTTATATTTCCTTATGATCCACCGACCGCCGTACCACCCAACAACGACGAAGAGAAACCCTCCCACAATCCCCACGCCTATAAATCCCGACCGGTGATTAGCCTAATTTAAATTCGAAATTCAGCCCTCGCTCCCGCTCTCAATAAGTTTTATAAAAACGTACATTCGCCCATCCCCTCCACCACCGACCTGCCAATCCACCTCCGTGGCCGTCGTCCGCCTCCGCAGCTGCGATACAGGGACCGCAGTTGTCCCCAATGAGACCCATAAGAACGATCAGCGAGATACTGGGAATTCCTTCATTCAGCATAAGCCGAGGGTGAAAGCTTGTGGTGCCTACCTGAACGCGACGAGAATACTCATCAACGTGAGGGTTATACTCAGCCCGGACATAACATTCAACTTCAACCGCCTATCCCGCTCCATTCCTTCGTCAACGATAACGGCCAGTTTCTCCTCCTCGCCCTCTCGCAGTTTCTCCGGGTCCCCAATTTTTATCTTAGCCGACTTCAAGTCCTCCCCCGTAGCTTCCTTCACTTCCACCACTTGCACTCCCTCCGAGTCCAAAGCAAGCGGTTGCTCTGCCTTATCTTGCTTATCTTCTCCCGTTATCGCTTGCTCTGGGTCCTCCAATCCAGGCCGAGATTCTTCTCGCAGCATACTGGCCACAGCGTTCTCTCTTTTTTCAAAGACAAAGAAAGAGCGCTCAGGGAATCCGCTGTACGAGTACAGCATCAGAACGGAGTCTGCAGAATCTACCAAGGTCATCCCAGCTGTGAACAAGAACTGAGGGGCGCCAAAATTGACGATTGTCCATAATCAAATGAAGAAGGATCTCACCGGCAGAATGACTATGTGAGAGCTGGGTATAGAAGATCCGTCCGCGCCCTTTCTGGCGAGCGCTGAGACGGCGAGTAGCGCTATTGATGAGGCTGTGTCGAATCCTTTTAAATAGTCAGCGTCGAGCCTTTCCATGATAATGTGTAGCCTTACCAAATCCGAAAAGTACGCCGACGGGGTACATCTAAACAGCAGCTCAGGCCGCGTCAAAACGAAAGCGGAGAAATGAAAGAACCTTCCAAGGTCGATCCACAAACGTTATAATGGGTCCTATGATACGCATCATGAGCATATTGCCATCTTGAGGGTTGTGTTTGGGCTCCTCGACCGTCTCGCCGTTCATCCGTCGCTGCGCCCGGATCTTTGCCTGTGGGTAGCTCTCACCGTTCTATAATTTATTCCCAATCACAGATGGTTTACCTGACGGCGGCGCTTCAAAATCCTCCACAGAATAATAGTATTCGCGATACCGATGAGAAACAAAAACGAGCCTGAGACGGCGTCTCCTGCGGCAGTTTTGAAAAACTTATTACGATGAATAGTGACGCTTGAATGATACGTCTCTTACCCACTATCCCTCCGACCTTTCCAACACTCGCGATTCTGTTATACACGCTTGAAGAAATGGCGATACCCACATTCTACCAAAAATAATGATCATCTGTGCCCAACTAAAGAAACAACTCACGACGGCAATCACGATGGTGCTATGTCCAAGGGAGAAAAATAAACCGCAAGTAACGGATAGCTGATTGAGATTAATCAATCCTCTTGTAGCGTTGTCGATGGCGCTTGTGTAAGATCGATCAACCGAATTCTACACTCCAAATCCGTACCACTCCCGAAACGAGGAATGAAAATCACCTAATGTGATCCGCGTCCAGCGCTTTAGAAAAACCCTAGCTGTGCCTTCAACTTCGCGGGCCAATAATAATCGCAACGTACCATGCCTAAGCCCCAGCGTCTCCCGCGAAGAGAAGCAAAATATCAACACAATCAACGAAAACGCCAAATCTCACATACCCAAGCTAACAGCGCTAGATCTAAAATTCCGCGTGTATCACCGCGTCTCCCGAACAAGATCCCAGCAACAGTCCAACAAATCGCGGTCACAGCAAGCCTGCGCACGTTCTAATCAGTAAGTATTTCAGTAGTTCACCGATTCAATACTTACTCGAAGACCATCAGAAGAACTTACCGACCGAGGAGGGTGAGCCTTGGGATGGCCATGGCCGTTCTCTGAGAGAGGCAGCAGGGAGATAAGCTATCGATCAGTGTGTATCAAACTGTGGGAATTTCGAGCAGTAGACATGCGAGTGATGCGTGAGCGCCTGCCCCCTGAGTCCCGAATTTGGCGTTTCCAGTCAGCCAGTCCTTTTCTTTTCACGTTAACGTTAGAAAAATCCTTATCGCTCGTCGTCACTGGAAATTACGATAATTAGCTTCTGTCATCGAAACAGGGTTAAGTGTCAACGAACCACCAGGACCGAGGCGCAGGTACAGAACTCATGGCATTACCTTTTGCACTTATTCGCCGGTAAGTATTCCTTCGCTTGATCACCCTCTCTAGTAGAAGCTCGGACTTTTCGATTGAGGAGATGAGGGGGTAACGCGGATTCCGACTTACGTAAACGGACTTCTGTTTGGCAAAGGCGCCTAAAAGTAAATTTGTATGTCATCGTCTTTTTGACTGCGCACTGCCTTGCATCCTTGGTACGGAGCAGAGAAGAATGTAAGTAAGCGTGGCAGACGAGAAACAGAGTTTCCTCTCCAGTAGATCGTTGCTGATGTTATCTATCAGTCTCAGATGCCGCCATTTTCGAAGCCCATTTTGTTTTTGGTCGTGAACCTGAAAACCCTCGAAAAGGCATCGAATGTAATCAAAGCCCACGGAAAGATTCTGAATCACTAGAGCGGAGGTGGCCAGGCTGCGGTGCAGATTCGGGCATCACGCATGTGAAGGAAAGTCTGCTCTGGGATTCGGAGGCTCTCGTGATGTCGGACTTTGGTCGGGCTTCGGGGGGACGTTCATTCCATAGAATTTTATGCGACATTTTTTCGCCTCCCTGCCCCGTGGACCTGGATTTACTTCCACCATCCCTTCGTGTCACGTCTATAGTAAGTCCTCTCGGTTTATTTCGTCATTCTTACGACTTTTTTTAGATCAATGACTTTTGACCCCAAATTTTCAGTAAATTTGTAACGCTGCTCATCATCACAAATCCCCTACGATGAATCCAATTGCACCTGCGTTCTTACCTCATTTCCTTCAAGTGATATCGCAAGATTCTCATTGCTACCACAGTTGAGGACCCGAGAATTTACCGGCGGCCGTATGCTCACAAAAGAGACAAAGGGTGCCTGGTTGGTGATTTCGCTCCACAATATCAAAAAATTGCTAATTATGGTTGACAACGAGATACAGAGGTTTCAACTTTCAACGTCCCAATTCAAAATTCTCCATGACTTGATTTTGAATTTACTCCATGGGGAGTGATCCCAGGGTCTAACCAATCTGCAGTCCCTGGCGCGAAAAAGTACCAGGCGATACAGCGTTTGCCATGTTGAATTCGAAGCGGGGATGGTGTCTAAAGGTAAAGCTGGTCTTTCTCCGCTGTCTTACTTTTCAGTTACGCTTGATATAGGTTCCTCTGCGTATGTAACGCGAATGAAGAATCTTATTTTTGGAATGGGCTCGCGGTTCCTTAAGTACGTGTGAAAACTTGAGGCCCATTGGCGAACCTTGATGGGAATTAGAGGTTAGGGCCTTCGGTATAATATTATCTCCACCTACTTATAGCCACTCCGACCTTCGCCAGGTGTTCCCCTCCCCAGATGGTGCTCACCGGCACCTCGACAATCACAACCAGCAAATATCCCGGAGCCGTCTTCTTCTTTCATGGCGCAGGTAGCCCTTTCATTCAATTCTAACCGTTTCTCGAGCTGATCAATCTATCAGGATATCCCAAATCTTTCTCAAATTTTCTCCCAAACCTTCGTTGATAATTGCCTGTTGTTGGCTGGGATAACAACGTTGGTGAGTCAACGCGTTCGAAGGAAGTGTACATTTATTCAACCATTCCAGACGTGTGATTATCTTTCCACATTGAATGAAGAGGTCATTAAGCCCCCACACCCAGTACCTGCTCACTGATAAGTTGCAACAGATATCCTATGCATGGTCATGCCCGTGGTCGCTGGGCCTTGTTCTCTTCTACTTAAATCGGTATCTCGCATTCGTTGACCAGTTCATTCTACTCTACAGTAAGACTATCTATCCCTCTCTAACCTTGCAAAGGTATTTGATCGACTCTGTGCAGTTAAAATTTGGGCTGTTTCCTCCGAGGTTCGTTTTTAGAATGACCATTGACCTTTGACTGAGCCCAAAATACATTTACGCCCATAATAGGCGTGTATTAGACTCTATGGTGTTGCACTTGGTTCGTCGCTAGCTCCCCCCAATTACACAGCTCCATTCCTCACAGGCGCCGCACTGGCAGCCACAATCGCGGTTGGGCTGTTATCTTCCCAAAGTACTTCCCTCCTCAATGCTATTTACGCCTCGTACCTCATCTTTCCTCGTTTAGTAATTATAAGTCTGAGGACCTGCGGAATGTGGGGGAGGCGACGGTGGGTGATGGTGGTTCTTGGGGCAGTTTTATCGGTGAAGTCAACCCCCCCCCCACTGGTTCGCGCCACTGATGAGAAGCTTCAGATAGCTGTGATATTTGCCATATGTATTACGACCTATCAGATTAAAACTGTCACCAGTAAGTCGTTTACCTCCCTCAATTCCTCTCCCTCTGACGCTTTTGTCAGTCGAAACAACGCCGATAGGATACATACCACTGCAATCTCCAACGCTCATTCTTTTGGTTTTCGTATTTGTTGTCATGGTGGAGTCAAGTACGCAAAGTCATATTTCAGTTCTCACTTAATAAAAATTGGATCAGCAATCGGGGCATTGACGGTAATCAGGGCATACCATTTTTGTAAGCCCCCCACCTTTTGTTACGTTACAACCTTAACCTGCTTTCCCGTAGTAAAACGAGCTAGCTCCGTGTGGGTACGGCAACTTTACAACAGTGGTTCGTATCTTTGAGATTTTTCACTCGGCCGACTCGACGTTCACTACCCTGACAGGAATTTTGTATTGCCTTTGCATGGTTTGTAAGTGCCGCACTTAGTGACTTTTTCTCCCCTGTTCAAAATTCTTTCCGCGCCCTTCACCAGCGCTTAGCGTAGCAAACATACTGCTAATATGCATCCCCTCCGTATGTCAATCAATTTCCTTTTCCTCAAAACGCAATCCACTCACCATGTATTGCAGGTGGGAGGATTCCGAACTGTTCTAATCTAGTACGGAACACAATGACAACTATTCGTACCACCTCCCCCACTAACAGGCGTCCAATAGCCCAACGCGTGTTGTCCATTCCATCTTCGGGAATCGAGTGATGCTTCTGATTCTTCAGCAACGGTATTACGTCTTGCAGCAGCTCCAAAATGCAAATGCGGAGGGGAGAAGTACAACGTCGCCTGGATTTTTAACCACTGTGGGGTTGGATTGGGAGTGGGATACGGTTCGGAGCAGGGATATACAGCTTCACGAGCGCCCTGTGGACGTAGAGGAGAGAATTTGTATAGGGAAGCAAGGCCCATGATCATTCCAGTCAGTCAGCTTGATTCACCCGCCTTGTGGCTCAAACTCAGGAGTGCCTCTACATACATACTCGGGTCCAATCAGAGTAAAGGGCCGGCCAGTGCTGAGTAAGAGAACCAGATCACAAGTCAGGCGAATCCTGGCAGGATCCACTCATTCCGGCTAATACTGAGTTCCCCACTGTTCCCCAAGCTTTATAAGAGGAAGGGGGTGAGAGGGGGGCGGGGTTGAACTCCGCTGCTGTCCGCACAAGTGCCACGCATTGTTCAACAGCGTGAAGACCTTGGAGCTGAGAGAGCCTCGACAACTTGGCCGCAAAAATGTTCTCAAAACCCCATTGTCGGTTATCAAACGCTAAGCTTGAAGCCTGCTGGACACCATAACCGGCGGTATACATCATTCAAGAATAGTAGTAGCAGATCGGAGTGGCAAGCATGGGAATAGCAATTCGTCAGGCCCTCCTGCGCTGACAGCAATGACATTCGAGGCAAGTTCAGAGAGGAAGGCGGCGTTGACAGACGAGCCTGGTTGCTGGAGGCGACTTTGAAGCTGCAGTGGCTTCTTACACGAAATGGAAGGAAGAGAGTACGCTTTTCAAAGCAGTTGTTGGCACATGCCTGATACGTGTCAAGGGGAAGGGATAGTGCAGCCGGAAGCCGTTTTCTATTCCAAAATAATGGATATAGGCTATATCCATTACAACTTTACAAGGATAGCGCTTGTTTGAAAGGGCGCAGATCGCAAGACTACTCCCAAAATCACCACGAGACGCAGCGCAAATCAGAGACGGAGAGCCCCTGTACGACCCAATCGCTGTTTCGCGTTTTCCACGTGGGTTGGAGAATACGCATGCTTGAGAAACCCAAACGCCAACGGACCAATGTCGGCACCGAAAGGTATACTAGTCGGGTGACTATATCGTCGAACAATGAATTCGCGACACCAAAGGGAGTGAAACTGAGGGCACCTATGTTAGACATGGAATTGGAAATGCTGCTCACATAGAATCAGAATCGGAACGGCGTTCAATACTGCCACTAGTATTCGTTGTAGTTCCTACAGAGTGCTATCGGGTCATCCGAAGTACCTCAGTTAGCCCAGGTAATGATGTGCTGTCTGACGAAACTCATCGTATGTCCCTTGTGTACCACGCATCCCCAAGACGCATATTTGGCTCCTCAGCTCCTGGAGGCCAATTCACTCAGGATAGGCAGGTATTGGCCGCTTTGAGGCCAGTGGTAGGATCATGATGTTGCGGACAGTGCACCTAGCCTGGGATTGCTACATTTCAACAATAAGTAGTGGTACAGAAGATAGGATATGGATGTAAACTTACGCCAGCGAGATAGGCACATGACAACTGTCGCGTTGGAAGACTCAAATGGTTTATCAATATATGACGGTTCATACCAAGCCAAGGTCAGGGCGTGACGTAAATTTTGACATGACGTCATCCGTATAAGAAGTTTGAGTACTTACTTGGTACTTACGTGTGTAACATTGTCCTCTCCGTCAGCTCGCCCATCCTCTCTCGAGGACAACTTCTGGTCCAGGGCTCCCGCTGTTTCAACAAAATTGCGCTCAATGCAAGCTCATTGGTCGGGACTCTAGGGACTTTTTCTAATTATGCACGCACTCGGTCAAAACTCGGTATTAGGTAAAATTGAGTTTACGAGCATTTACCAATTGTTTTCCAAATTGGTTGAGCTCGCTCCTGGCGATGACGGCCCTCAACATGAATGCTACATGCATGCCCTCAGTGATACGTTCAAAACATGCACAAAGGGAATGAAAAGCGCCCAGTAGAATCCCCACTACATCCAATCTCTTACTCAAGCGACAACAGCGTTCAATGACTGCACGCGTACAGAACTTGATATTTTCGTCTCCTTTTTCGCCGACCCCATTCAACTCATTATTCTTTAATTTCGCCCTTCAACACCCACAAAGTCACAATGATAGATGCTGATCGCACCCATGCCGCATCCACGACCACCAGAATAAACCTACACCAGCGCCCCCAAAGTCCCCCGCTGTCTCTCCTTCGCTACACTCCCCGACAACACACGCCTGGTCAATGTCAGCGCCAATCCCATTCCCGACTCAAATGTTACTCACAATCCCATTCGCCCAAAAAAGAATGGAAAGCTTATTCCCCGCACCATCTCCTTGTTCTTGCGCAAGAAATCCAGCGTGGCTAGCCTTACTGAGGCCGAGAGCCAGGTCGCCAGGATGGCATCTTCCAGCAAGGCCCATGATATACCCGGCTCCCGAACCCCAAACATTACCTATGTTGATTTTATGACGCCAGTGGAGCGTGAACGGAATTTGAGGATAGTCGTTGAAAGCACTGACTGAGAGGGTGGACGACGGTTTCAACAGAGCTGTAAAGGGCGTGGCGAAGCAAGCATTTCAGGATATCGCCGTCGTAGACCTGCAAGATAATGGCGATACGTGCAGCTCACCAGTTTCGCCGTTGAGTCCTTCCTTCGACACAATCTTCCATGTTCGAGTCAAGAAAAGGGAGCCTGTTGAAGTGTTGCAGCTCCATCGGCTCAAGTCGATGCAGAGGTTGGGCACGGAGGCGTACAAAGATGTCATGGAGAAGTATCCTATGAGTGCGGAAGAGAGGGCGCTGGCTTACAGGTGTTTTGGGTTATTTCATGTAGCTCGTACGTAGTACGTCTGTCACGTTCTCTTCTATTGATGGCGACGAATGTACTTTCAATTTTTTTCACGTTCAAGCGTCGAGGCATGGCTGATTATCAATTTTAGTTCCGGGGACCTGGCGAAAGAAGACGACTCGGACCTATCTCCTCCTACCTCGTGTTTGCATCCTCACACCTCGTATTTCAAATCACCGTGCAAAGGCTGTCTGCCCATTCCAATTCAATGCCCAGTTCGTACCCCTTGACAAGGACACTCCCTTGGCTTGGAATTAAGGGCATGATCTGGAAAGGCTCAGTTAACGTGAGTTGACGGGTTGCAGCAAGAATAAACAGACCATACACAACTATTCGGTTACATAGAGCTGATACTTTACTTTTCATTTGTTTCTTCTTCTTCTGATCATATTGAGAGCCATCGACGATACAAAGCATTCGCCAGGTGAGTGGCGCCAGTGAAGACAAAGATCAGGGATAGGTTGTATGCCGCCTCTTTGGCAAAGAGGTCGTCCTGTTACGATACAGTCATTGAAGAGAGGTAGAGGGAGGGTAGCAGAGGCGTACATTGTTCTTCTCCGCCAGTTCAAGAACATTTTCGTAATGCTTGACCGCGTAGGAGTAGAGTCCTGGATAGGATTAACAAGGAAGGCGCACAACGACAGGAGGATGAGACGGACCAAGCTGATGGAAAGTCCTGGCAAAGTTGTATTCCACTTCCGGGACACTCTGCATGCCACTTCCTCGGAGACTGCGATACTGCGTTAGGAACGCCATCGCCTATAAAGGAACAGATCATTAGTCCCATAATCCTGCTCAGAGCGGACAGAACCACCTGTGTAACAAGATGATGTCGGTTATCTGACTGACGCTGCATCGCCCTACCAATGGAAGCTATGGCCAAGCACAAGCATATCATCGGATCATCAGGGCAATAATCGTATGCATGCAACAGATAGACTATCCACAACGTCAGGAAGAAGCAGCATATACGCACACGAAAGGGGGAACTCACAAATGGCACTCTGATAGCTCTTCGCAGCAATGCAAATCTGGCCATAGATAGCCACAATAACCGGGTTATGCTTCGTCGGTATCTCAGGGAGATTGAGGCTCCCAGCCGTAGCTGTCGCTCCAGTCTCCTGATCACCACCCTGGTCTGGCACTCCATCATCCCCATCATCCTCAGCCCCATCCTCCGCTTTCCTGCTCTGTGCAGTGGGTGCATACCGCTTGTTCAATGGATTCCACTTGGGCACTTCTGGGCTCTTCACAGCCGTATCCGCCAACTTCATTTCTCTAAACAGATGCTTTTGAAGTGTGGAAGTGATGAAAGAATCTGTGGGGCGGAGGCCACTTGATAGGCAAGCCATGAGGATTCGGAGTGGCTCGTTGTTGAATTGGTGTATGGTGATGAGTTTGCGTGCTTGTTCAACGACAGCGAAGTGTTGGCCCGCGGCCAGACCACAAGCTACAGGCAGAAACATATGAGCTCAGACAGTACGAAGAGCCAAAGGGAGGGATGCTCACTGATGATTGCCAGTCGAATAGAGTCCTGTCGCTCACGAGCTTGATATGCGTTTGAGACCATGATATGTCGAAGGATTTCATCTGCGACGTCGTATTGACCTCGTCGAGTAAGAATAAAGCAATACTGGTCCCCAGTATCAACCAAAGAGCACAACAAGGTAAGAGAGAATCCGAACAAACCTGCATGAACAACTTCAACCAGTCATCGAATGAGATCCCTCTAAATACATCCACTTTGCCGATTTGCGCGTCTCCCTTGGTCACCTTCCTCGACATGCTATCACGTTCTAAAAAGATCAACGTTAGCCTCAACCCGACACCAGACCACAATTGAAGCAACAACCAACCCAAGTCAAGCTGCAACCTCGACGCCATCCGATCTTCATCAGCCTCTGTCTCGACCTTCTGTTTCTTCCTATGACTCCTCGGAAACATCCCCTTGAACGGGTTACTCTACGCCCCGCCAACAGGATCAGCCCCTCGCCAAACCCAAAGCAAAAGAGAAAAGGCCAACCCACCCGACTGGTCAAAAACAAATTCCTCGTCTCCCTAAACATATCAACAAGCTTCTCCGCATCGACCATCCACTCCCTCTCACACTCCTCATCCCCGCCCATCATCCCCGCCCACAGCTCCCTTATTTTCCGATACCCCTGCATCACCTCTTTCTCCTTGGCCGCCTCCAGCTCCCTCAGCTGCAGGTGCGTTAGTCGGTTCTGGACACGGATAGCGTTAGCTTTGGACCTGGTAATACGTTCTTCGGCGAAGAGAGAGGCTGTGGTGGGGTCATCTTCAAATTGGGTCGCCGGTGCTTTTGCGCGCTTTTTGCGGGAGTCGATAACTGGGAGGCGTTGAATCGCGGATGAGATGGGAGAGAAGGACGACTGCATACCTTCATATACTAGCTCTAAAGCCCGTCGAGGTTCACCTAGGATCTCATAAATCTCGGCAAGCTTCATTTTGGCGTCGTTGTGCGTAGGATCAGCCTGTCGGACTTGATACGTGTCAGTCAGCGTGCTAGTTAGCTGTCAAGTAAGAAAGTCATACTGTGTTCGTAGACTTCTGCAGCTTCACGAAGTTCTTCGAGCATCTTCATGCATGCGGCTGTTTGTATGAGAATATAAATACTGCTTGTCTTCAGTTGCGATGAGTGCCATATTTTTAAAAAGACGTATTGGGAGTCACATACCGCAGGGTCAGCACCAAGGAGCTCGTAGATAGGCTTCGCCTCTGCACACATCTCCCTCTCAAAGTATGCATCTGCAATCTCAGCAAAGAGGACTGCGTAATCAAGAATATCTTGTGCCAAGACCGCATTCGCATGGAGCTAACCAACAAAAATCAGCATCTCCCACAACCAAGAGAACCAAATTCACCTTTCCCTCCTCGATCTCGCCCATCTTAATCCTCGCAACCGCCAACCGATGACGCGCATTCGCGTCCAACTCAAACCTCCCAGCCTGTATCCCACCTCCCTCCCCAATCACACTTCTCCCCGGCCACCCATCCATATCATACTCCCTATCATCCTCGCACAAATCCCAATACCGCTGCTCGGCTCTCCCTTGCAACCAACGAGTTCCGCGCCTAATCGTCTGGGCTGCTTTTTCGTGTTCCCCAAGAGCATTGTACAAGTCGGCTAGGAGGAGCAAGTCAAGTTTGGTGAAGATGCTCTCGGAAGGGGTGGGGTAGATGCGTTGGTAGTGTTCGAAAGCGGTTTGGAGGAGGTCGGCACAAGTTGGGAGTTCGGAGAGCTCGACGAGGATGGCGTGGAGTTCGCGGAGAACCGTCAGGTCGTGTGGAAACTGTTTCAGGATTGCTGTGAATGCGTTGCGGGCCTGAAGGCAAAGTTAATGTAGTAATTAAATGAGTGTGAACGAAATTACCGTTCGAAAGTCCCCGATCTCCTTTGCCAACGATGCTCGATCCCACAACGCGTCGACATTTGTCGGGTCAAGACTGTATACTTTTCGATAGCAGTATAACGCCTGTTGATTATACCCATGTTCCCTCGACTGCCTCGCCAATCGATCCCACTCATCCGCATCGTGTCGAAGGTGAGCCGCCATGATCCTAAGCTGAAGCGCCTTCTTCCCTTGTTCCATATCTTCATAACATTGTGCAAGGACAGACCAAGCACCCGCCGCGCGCGGTTCAATGCGTATGACCTCTTGCATGATCCGGACTGCTTCAGGTAGGTTGCTGTCCACATACGCCTGATTCCCATCACCAATAAGGGCGCGAACTTGTTGAGAGAGAACTGGCCCCGTCGTTCGGCCTTTCTGTGGGGGTATTAGCAAAAAAACGAGTGTATGCAAGCTCACTCGCCCGTTTGCGTTTCCGGCCAATACCTGAGGCTTCCCTGAGGTCATCGCGAAACTCGGCCTCTTTCTCCTCGATGCTGAAATCCCAATCCTTTGTCAATCCGCTGCCGCTCGCGCCGTTGTTTGAAGACGTGTCCCGGAGTCGTATGTTCTGTACGAGACGACTGCGATTGCACTGATCAGCAGAAGTATGAGTTATAAAGAAACGCGCACTCGAAATCTCCTTCAATCTCCTTCTCGGCGTACGTTTCTTCGGGGTTGGGTGCATCGTCCTCGTTCTCTTCGTCATCCTCGCCTTCGGCGTCTTCTTCTGAACTTGGTTCCGAGCCGTCGCTGTCTTCGTCGGTTACGCCCTCAGCGAACTCCTCATCCACGTCCATTTCGTCGTCTGTTCTCGACAACATCTGTTGTGCGTTGGTTGGGACAAGGTTGGCAGAAAGTGATTCACGTGACCATCGTGAACGGGATTTGAAAACTCTCCAGAAACTCCATAGAGTCCATGGAGTTTGTAGAGTCAGGTGATTTTGATCAATCCATCACATGACTTCCAGATGACGCGTCAAGCAAAGCGCGTCTAGCAGTGCCGAGCGTGGCTGGTGTTACAATCCCTCAATTAGCCATAACTATACATTTATATTTCGTACCTACAACAATGTAGAATTTTACAATGCAGAACATCCACCAACTGCCCTTGGAACAACCAGGAAAAGCCCCAGAAACGAAAGCAGCAAGCAATTCTTTCGAGGGCGGGGTGTTGCCAAGAGCTGAAGGCGTAGGAGCATCAGGCAAAAGAGACGGAAAGGCTGGTAGCCATAATACGTAAAGGCTCCTGCGAAAGGGGGCGAGTGGGGTTGTCCGGGGCGACGACTCACCATTTTTGAAGAAACAGATGAGGGTCTTTCTCACAACATGTTTTGAGGACATCTTGTTGCTACGTGACCCCGCAGCAACTTGGGTGGATGGTGCCTTAACACAGCGAGACTTGAGCAGCTTGCCAAAAGATGGCAATTGGGCAAAGGCGTCCACTGTCGATGACGGTTCAAAGGGCTCTGACGCGGTTGATGTCCGGTTGAAGGGAGTGGCGGCGACTGTACTAAGCGGGACAGAGTTAGAACAATATCAATTTGGCCAAGCCATAGAGTTGGATGATGCTCGGAGCCGCAGTAGTGAGCGACATCGCACAGCAGAGATGATGTAGGGGTGGGTGGGGAAACGTTGGGGAAACGAGTTCAACGACGTGTAGCGTGTGGGTCACGTTTGGCGGTCATGCGTGACTCTACAAACTCTACGAAAATTTGAACTCCCGGACGGTTTCCGGATCCCATTTATTCTGCCACCCAAAACCAACAACTTGAACAAGCTTGGCAAGGAGCGGGTTTGAGACTCCGTTCATCCAGGTCTGCACCCCCACACGCTACATTGACTACTTATAGATTACGCTAATAACTTCCAAAGGCAGGTCCTTCCGACTGGAATACGTGAGAACCTGATTGCTAAGAATCGTTTTCGACACTCCAGAGTTCGTAGACGACCGACTGAAAATGACAAAATATGTCGGCACAAAATATGGCGTGAAGGACTTAGCACTCATGGGGAACAAAAAAGGAACCCGATGACTATTATTCTGAGAAAGCACGCCAACCGGACGTTTTCTTGAGGCACCCAAGTTGGACAATGGACATGCGCGCGTAAGTAACCCTACATAACTGGATTGGAACAGAGGGTTGGCAGATGACTCATTCACATCTGCAGAACAGCATTGACAGCGGATCTAGAGTCGAAAGGTTGCTGGTATAAAGTCGTAGGGGACGAGTGGCTTCCTGGTGCCGTGTTTGGGTAAGGATTCTACGAAAAGGTCAACTTGAAGTCACAAAGGATAGCCAAATATTTCGGCTCACATATGGTTGATGCATAGGGGGTGAGTGGCTTCCTGTGGCCCTGTTTGGGTACAGATTCTACGAAAAGGTTAACAAGTCATAAAGGATAGCCAACCATTTTGGCTCACAAATGGTTGATGCTCAAGAGGTGAGTGGCTTTCTAGGGCCGTGTTTGGGTAAGGATTCTACGAAAAGGTCAACAAGTCATAAAGGATAGCCAAACATTTTGGCTCACGTATGGTTGCTGCTGCGTCTTTATTGAGCTCGCGTAACTCACCAGAGTCATATCTTGAGATAGGACAGCCGAAGGGTTATCGCGTTGGCGAAGTAGGAACCAAACCACCACGCATACAATAATGCCAAGGACAGCAACCCCCCCAACCACCCCACCAGCTATAGCGCCAGCATTCGTTTTCTTCCCAGAGTTTTGGTTACCAGTAGAAGAGCTGCCTGGGGCAACGGTAGTCGCGGAGGGGACACTGACAGATTCGGTGCCTCCTAAAGAAGAGAGGGAATTGAGTTTCGGGACCCTAAGGAATAAAATTTAACATACCAGCTGCTTGCGCTACAGAAGCGTCGAAACCATCTACGTTCTGTTTGGTAAGATTATTCAACCGTCGTAATCGGCGTGAGGGTGCATTCGTACAGTAACATCCAAGTAGGCATAATGGGGTACGCGCACCCCAGTGGGAAGAGGATCGGGGAAGGTCTGCACGTAAACGGTGCTGCAATTGGTCGCATAGGTCGACCATCTAAGAAAGGCGCTGGTGGTCAAGGGCGATGTGTAGATTCCAACAAGAAACGTACCGGAGAGTTTCACGGGTCTGGCAAACAGCACATGCGCTCAGCATAGAAAAGTACACCGAACTGCAAGTACATTCATTGCGGGATTGTAGTGTTGGCCCAATGTAATAATATCCAGGGGGTAACTGAGGCAAGGGATCTGACGGCAGGAGAGTTATGGTTGGTCAAGCAGCGGTAGAGGAAAGGCCACCTCCGGCGGGCACGCAAACGCCAAGAAGCGAAGCAGCGACATCACAAGGACTCTGGCCTTGAGAATTGTAAGTCTATAGCTGGTCAGTCTGTTGTAACCTTCTTAATGTCGAGCCAACGCACCCAATTGAATCCCGTTGCACATGTTGCTGCGCCCGCTAGAGATGGCACAAGGACCAACAGTAGTGTTGAGAGGGTCAGCGCTCCCCACATCAGGTGTGACAGAGGGGAAGGAAGAAATCCAACACTTGGTGCGAAACACTGCCTCACTACTTCCACCTTGACCTCGAGTGCTTGAGCCTCAACAGGTCACAGCGCTCTACAGTGCCTTGCACGTTTTGGGAGGCTGTCGTTCCAAAAATAGAACACGAGATAAGGCTTTCGGATCATCGGGTGGAACCGAGCGATTCTCTTGCTCGATCACTTGAACAAGTTGAAGCTGTACGTCACGGTACCCTTGAACGGAAACCCTACAGAATGCTTCGGCCTACTTACTTATTCTTGGAGAGTCTCAAGACTTCGAACGTTCATAGGATCGGCGGTGCATCCTGACCTATCCTGACGATGGATGATCTGTTTCTTGTTTCTGGTGCTTTGCGGCGGAGGCACCTGGAAGCTGCTTGGATTGTGCTTGGAAGGGACCTGGATCAAACGCCAAGACTGACCGCTTCTGACCCAACCCAGTGGAAAGCGGGCCTCCGCTGTTGAGCACCACGATGATCATGGACTTGATATTTAGTGGAGGTTGGAATTGCTTGTCATTCTCTCCACCATGACGATGCTTTCAAACTTCGCTCTGTCCGCCAGGCTTCTTGCGCTTATTACGGTTGTTCATGCCAGTATCATGGTCGAAGTCATCGATGGCTCATTGGGCTTTGCAAGACGAGCGGGTGATGGTCCTATTGGAGTGCGTTTAACGAACAAGAACGATGTGTCCTACCTGGTTAGCTTTGTCCAACTTTCTTCGGATTTCTTTCCCTGTTACTGACAGCAGTACAGACACCTGTTCTTATGGGTCAGTTTCAAGTCTATAGACGACGTAGGCCTCCGTTGCGCTTACTCGATACCACGGGACAGGAAATCCTCCGCAAACGATACAGATGTCTCCCTCTCTTTCTCAAAATTTCATCGCAGTAGCATCTCCTCCGACAGGCGTCAGCGACCAGTCCTTGTGAGTAAAAGCGAGGTGCAATTTTAGTTCAACCAAACAGTTGATACCTCCCCGAGGTAGCTATCACCCATCCATCTCAACGAGTTATACGGCAGGCGTCGGAACTGCGTCAACTCAGACCATTTCAGGAGGATCTGTGCAAGGAATATACGCAGGCGAGACATGTACTCTCCAGTCTGCAACGGCAGCTTCTGCCTTCAGCTACAATGCATCGAGTACGTCATATGTAAATTTTTTTCACACAAACACTTTTCCTGTTCTTTCAGTCATTTTGACGAACTCTGCGGTGACGAACGACTTGTACCCTATTGGTGCACGTGGCGTTTTGGGTTATGGCCTCGGCTCACCAAGTGATGCACCTCCAAATACATCTCTCATCGGTACATTCTTACCGTGCGTTACCTTTCAAGTTCACGCCGGTTTCTTGAGTCCTGACGCCGTACAATCAGCTCCAACTTTTCACACGCCGTCTGTGGTATTGAGCTGAATCATTTCGATGATCCTGTTCCAGACGGCATTTTGATGATGGGGGCAGTGGATCCAACAGTGTAATTATTAGCCACCATTCATTCAGCACTACGCGTCATCACTTCTCACTCGTATATTGCAGATTTACCGGAGACTTCACCAATACGATGGTGCCCGCAAACAGTCCCACTTCGTGGTCCATTGCATTCGACAATCTCACGTATATAGCGAACGGGGTCAGCCAAAGCATGGCCGGTATGCTTGCCAGTGTCGATATGTATCGTACGTGACATCTTACCTCGACGGTATATATTCGCGAGCTTCTCACTTTCACCGATTATGGTACAGACTCTGACATCCAGATCACCTCGGACGCGGCCACCCAACTCTACGCCGGCGTTCCAGGTAGTCAAGCCATCTCCAACGCCCATTGGTCGATCCCGTGCACGTCTAAGTTTCCGATCACGCTCACATTTTCTGGTACACCCTTTACAATCAACGAACGTGATACTATCGTCAAGCAAGCCGACGGCAGCTGCATTGGAGTTGTCAGCGGTGGAGCGCAGCTTGTTGGCAGGGTTGGAGCGCCGTTCATGCGCAACGTTTACACGTGTGTCCACCCATTCGTACCCTCTAACCGCGATCTAACCACGATCATTATGTAGACAATTCTTCGCAGACCAAGCCAATGGTTCAGTCACTTTTGGTGTTGGGTTCGCGGCGAAGAAATTACGGCAGGCATCAGCATCAGCAACATCTCCGTCTACAAGTACCCAACCCCAATTGACTGTCAGACCTTCCGCAACTTCAACAGGTGTAGGTCAAAGCAGCGGATCTCAGTTGAACGTTCAAGAACTTGGACGTTCATTGAGGGTTGCGATAATTTTAGCTTCTGTTGTAGTACTCTCAGGATTGAACCTGGGGTAATAACGATTTTTGACGATATTCCTTACAAGTTCATCCACGTTGACTGTTTTGTTACAGGACATTCACTTTAATTCAACTTTACTTACCTATATTTTAAACTTCACTTCTGGACATTTCCATAAACCCAAGTGAATGTCATGAAAATGTCCAAGAGATGATTATAAACATCGCTAATGGCATGACTGGGTAACTTACACAATGATCCATATATTTAAATTCGATTTTTTTACAGTCAAAAGTGAGGAAGTCCAGGGGGTTAGGCCCATGTTTCTGGGGAGCGATGTTACGTACATACTTACGTAAGGTAGCCGACCTCGATCACATGACTAGACGTATCGATCACACGTCACATTTTCTCTTCGTCTTCGAACTTGTCCAAGGGCCAATCTCAAAGTATTCCCGTTCTTTGGCTGCGAAGCGACAAGAATCAGATTCGTTTTCCCTCTTCACTCATCTCCCAACAGGCGGAGAAGTCTTGTCTCGTCGAGATCAACCCCAATGACTCGGAGATGGGTCGAGGAACCTGGAAGGCAATCAATGGCGCTGGGACTCGGAACCCGTGCAAACCATGCGTGCAGCATCCCCTGACTAGATGACACGATTTGTCGAACTGTGGGACGGCTTGCGTGCTTAGTACGTTGTCTTTCGTCCCATAAATTTTCATTCTCAACTTCTTAACTTTTCGTGAAACTAGTTTCCGTCTCTTATGAGCGGTCACCCTTCAAGACCAGCGGAGAGTGAAACCGTCTAACGTGAGTTACCCATCGTTCGTGCTGATAGAAATCTAGCTAATAGTCTTTCAAGTGAAGCCATCTGAGATGAAGGTCACCCGGTACGATTCCAACGAGCCTCGCTCAACCTTTCCGGATCCACCATTGTTTCAAGTCAACTCCCCACAAGGGTTGGACCGCCAGTATGTTTGGCGGCTGGAAATGGGGTGTGTCGTCATGCGTAACCTCCGTCTTTCCCGAACTCATCCTCGACATTCAGTATCTTACCCTCTGTGAAGAAAACACTGTCTCGTAGCGGAGTTCCGTCCATCCATCTGCTGAGGGAGAAGTCGGGCGAAGAGCCCATTGTACCCCTGGGTGCCCGCACCAATACCGTCACGACCGTCCGTTCCCATTCGTAATCGGTATACTCCCAAGATAACTCTGCCCGTAGGATGGGCCACCACTCTCTGAAGGGGGCCCAACGATGGGGATGTGTGACCCAGATTCAACGGGTTGTGCGATGAACATCAGCTGCTCCGTGTCACGGCTACGAGGAGCCATGGTCAGATGGATGTAATCGGGAGGAAGTCGAGGAAGCATACCCAGCTATAGCCCGGAAAAACTGATCCAGCGCCTCCTCCTTCAGTTCCTTCTCCCTCTCCTTCCCCTTCTTCATCACCCTCGACTGCTCAATCAGCTCTGCGTGCTGTTCCAAGGCGTACCGATGCACTTCTTCTCAGTTGTATATCTAGGCGGAAGTCCACCGTTGTTCCACCTACCATCGTCGATGGGACGAGAATCATGAATCACCTGCCACGCAACGATTCTTATACCACCCTCCCCACAATCTTTCTCATCGAATCAGACATGTGAAACTTACCCGAGGCTGTTGGCAGGATTGCTTCTGTGGACCGCAAAAGTAGATGAACTTCGAGGTGTGCACCACCCTTCTTCGTAATTGTCTGTCCCAACACGCCTGCAAGATCTGTCTGATTCCATCCTGCTATAAAGATATTACATTGTCTCCTTTCCCGTCAATATTAGTCTCTGGCTATCAGTCCTGATTAGTGCCGCTCTCAGTTCAGGTCGGAAGGGTATGAAGTGAGACGACTACACCCCAGGAGGCTGGCCTGCTAGTGTGCTACTACATACGCGAGAGAAAGCGTCGGACCGGAGTTAATTATAATAGAGGCCCGACCATCCCATTTGCAAATGTTTGACGAAACCTCATTGAGATTGACGTAAGTGGAGATGTCAGTTGCCCTTGGTGGACGCCTCGAGGCGATCCTATGATGGCGAAGTCCCGAACCCAGCCCATGATGTGGCAATTGTGATCCGATTTTCCGCCATTATGACGGCGTCCAAAACGCCTCTCAACTTGGCTTCCACCATGACCCTCCAAACTAAAGAACCCAATGAATCGAAGGAATCAGTGTCGTCAACGAGTACATTTGTCCCTCCAGCGGAAGCGGCCAGCTGGCTGGACACAACCCTTCATGCCGGAAATCTCATCTTGACCACACTCACGCAAGCTGCTGCTGCTTCCCCGGACCCATTTCTGAAGGTTGCTTCTGGAACTGCGCTGGTTATCCTCACCACCGTTCAGGTGCGACTTAGATGTATCTATGGCCGGACAGTGCGTTACCTAACACGATCGCATAGGCAGTAAGGGAGAACAAAGAAAACTTTCGTCGGCTCGGTGCTGATGTTTGCGGTGTCGTGTACAACATCAACTGCGCTTACGATAAGAGTGTAAAAAGTGGCAAGGACTTATCGCAACATATGCGGGAGTGCCTTGTTGAGCTGAGTGGGTGAGCGCTGCATCATTCTGCGAGATCGCTCACAATGATCCACACCCACGCATAGAACCCTTCAATCCATCAGTCTATTCGTAGAGGCTCAGCTCAAACGAGGAAAACTCCTTCGCATCGTCTTAAGTAAGGGGGATCTAGGGAAGATACAAGAGTACCGTGAGAGGCTGAATGTAGCGATGGCGCTCTTTGAGGTTCGTCGTGACTTAGTAAAACTAAAGGTGCCTCCTGAAAACGCATTGACGATAGTTCCAAAACACCATCAGCATTCACGAAACGATGGTCCAAATGGCTGAACAACAAGCTGAGATGCTCAATGAAATGCGCAAACACGCTGATGAAGCAAAACGCGAACGAGAGGCGGAGAAAGGGAGGATGGAGGACCCAACGGCCCTCGCCATTCAGACGTCCTCTATGATCCCGTCACCCTCCTCCCAAACCCCACCGGTGTTTTTTGGACTCCCTTTGGTTTCGACGCCCATTGCAACGGCGACCTTCACGCAAGTACATGGCAATCACGTTACGCGCAACGATTCGCAGATGACGACTAGCACGAATTCGGGCAATACGACTATCACTACCACGAGTGATTCGAATAACGACAATTCTGTAAGAGTTGCCAGAGGTGCGTATTAACGCTTGTTGTCCCCATTGATGAGCTATGGTTAATTTCTAAATGAATCAGGACCTCGGCGCCGTGGACCACGCAGATGACAATTGCCTCGATATTACTTGGCCATTGATTTGTTTAATCTCATCGTGGACACTTTGTGTATCTCTCAAGGATCTAGAACAGATGTACGTATACTACCCGTGAATATAGGTACTTTCTCGCTATTCTGAATTGGTTTTGATCGCGATTGATGAGTAACCAATTTACCACCAAGCGGTCAGTTATCGTTATACCATTTTCTTCCTTTCAAGCGTTGCCTTACATATTATCTTCTAAGGAAACTTGATGTCACCTGTCCCATTCGATCTCCAGTCACTGAATTGTCGAAGAAAAATAGGCGTGTTTGAATTCAGAATCGTCTTTTAGAGGCCATTACGTATAACTACTGAAATCGTTAATGCTATTTATGGGTAATTCAATTTGACGGTGCAGAAAAACCTAGTACTGCCGTCAAATCAAAGACTGCATGCGACCTGCCACTTCAGCGCCTTTATCGGCGCCTCAGCACGTGAGCTATTTGCATATATTTGTCATCGGCCCCCGTCAGCTTTCTTTCCGGCTTTTCGAATTGTCATCCCTACATTCATCACACCCGTTACTATTTTTTTACGTCAAGCTCCTCGGCTCCTAATTGTTGCAGGGAGCTCACTATAGCTTCAATTTAGATAAAACATGTCATTGTCAGCCCGCCGTTCATGCACGCTGCCCAAACCCAAGGCAACTAGTGCCACCACTCAAGCGAAGCAGCCCAACAAGCCCCAATACGACGAAAAGTATGTCAAGAGATTCCTCGGATTCTGGAAACAAGGCAAAAATGACAGGAAAGCCTGTCTTGCTTTTGTAAAACTTCATCCAGTAAGACTCGATACAACTCGCCTAAACCATGCTGACCTCGTTAGACTTGCGACCGACACTCATGCAAGTCGAAACCGCAAACTTGTACAAGGCACACAGATGGTATTAGCTGTGGCGTGTGTCGTAGCAGCCGTGTCAAGTGTCCGCGGTTACAGGCATTCCTGTTGGATTACGTCTCTGTCCATCTCGGTGTGTCCTCTAAGACCGCACTGGATCTGTACGAACGTTATGCGAGGGAGCGGCGTGGGGTGCAAAAGGAGAAGCATAGGCTGGCGGAGGAAGCGGAAAAGCAGCGAGCTCAGGAAAGTGGAGGCGACGACGACAGCGATTTGTTGGATCAGAGTTCGTTGGAGTCACTTAGCGAAGAGGAGGACGAACCGAGCGACGGGAGTGACTATCGAGCTACAACAAAAGCCCGCTCGAAGGGTACACCAGCAACAAACCGTTCCAAAGGCACCCCAGCGACTACGACCACGACTAAATCTCTCCCTCCCTCATCCGCCAAATCGATCCAAGACAAAGATTCGCCTGCAGCTGCTGCAGCCGCAGCCGCCGCCTCCCAACTTCAAATCGCCACGAAGCATGTCCATCAGCTCGAAGCAGACCTCTCCAAGCTGAAGAAGGAACGCAATGGGATGCTTCAGAGGGAAAAGGCGTACACATTGAAAGCGATAGCCGCGGCGAGCCAACCACCACCCCAACCTTCACTAGACGAGATGACGAAGCTCATTGAAGCGGAGCTACTCAAGCGGAAGGAGATCTACCGGAAAGAGGTGATGGAAGAGTGGGATCGATTACATCAAGATGAAGTAGAGCGCCTTCGAAGAGGTCAGTTGGTTTATTCTTCTTCCTTCTACTTCGTATCTAATCGTATCTTAGATCGACTGACGCCGGTCGTCGATTCCTGTTCAACCGCAACGATCACCATCCCACGAACGTCCCTCGGATTACACATGGCTGTCAGGGGCTTTTTAGAGACCATGGCTGCGGAGGAGGGTACCTCGCGTGTGCTTGATCTCTTGCAGTGGATAACCGAGTTCTCGCACGCTGTCAAAGAGGTGGATAAGGATCACAAAATCTCGAGTGTCATGTATACTAATGGATCAACTATGCCCAAACGATTGGCAAACTTCAATGAGGAGAACGGAGAGGAGTGGGCGAAGCGCCGGAGGCTGGATAGTGATGCTCATTAATTATGTTGTAGGTAGTACATTCTATGTCTCCCGCCTATGTTATCTATATATACATATGCCGCTTCAAGCTGAGAGGCACTGAGAACACTCCTAGCCATCCTGAAATCCACCGTAAGGGCTGCCGCGTCTTTCAAAATCTTTCGCCTCGGGGGACGACCTTGATTTCTAACACACGTTGCGCAAACTCGGGAGGATCGAACGCCCGCAATATGTTCGGCGTCAGCTCATGAACATCCACAGTGTGCGATTTAAAACACAGGACAAGCTTCAACTCCTGGACATCGACTTTGGGAGCGTCCATAGAATCAAGGCTCGGATAAGTGGTTCGGGATTTGATCATGGAAGCGTATAGCGCTGGAGAGGGAGAATGTTCCAAGTTCGCATGAAATGTCAGGAGGGTTTGCAGATGTGGAAGAAGAATGGGGTCGTCTATCAAGACATCGGAAGTGATGGTCAATGCTTCGACTAAGAGAAACATGATGTTGGTTTGGCCAGGTAATACGTTGCTTTGTTCTTCGAGGCTAAGTTTCAAGATTTCCAATCGATCTGCACTGCGCAAGACCGCGAAGAGGCTTTCCGAGGGGATAGTGATCCCGGACAGAGTGAGAGTTCGAAGTGTAGATGTGTTTATGGGGCAACCGAGGGGAAGAGGTTCCCAATGAAAAGCGAAACTCGTGAAGAGGTGGAGATGCTCCAGCGTTGGAACATAAAAACCTCGAAAGAGGCTGCCTAGATCCCCAGGAGCGTAAACCACCAGAAGTAATGACCTAAGATGATCGAAATTCGTAGTTGTTCCAAGTTGAATCCCTGGATCAACGCCCTCCTCTGCGGGCCCTTCGACAGAGAAAGACGCTTCGGTGAGGCTTGTGCAGCGTTGCATCACGCCCCTCCAATCCGTAATGGACAACATTCGATGACTATCTAGAATGTCTAGGTGAGTCAGTTGACCCCAAGGAAGGAGAATGCGCGAAGAAAGTTCTGGCGGGTTGATATCCAAAGAAACCTTGCGGAGGGGAGAAGATTGAAACACCTTGATTGGATTTTCGGCTGGCCAATCATATTCCGACGGATGTTGGATGCACAAGGATAGTGTTTCGAGGGCTTTGAACTGGTCGTGGGGAATACTAATCAAAGAATCGAATTCTTCTCTTGTCACCACAGCCACCGCAAGATCTTTAAACCTGTGGGTATAACGAAGGATGGTGTTTGCAATGCAGGGCGCAAATGATTGCGTGTGCAGAAGACGCCATTGTCGAAAGCACAGTGATAGGGAAATCAAACGCGAGTGGGAGCGCGCGAACCACATTTCCATAACCTTTGCGAACGCTTCTGGAGGCGAAATTGCGCTCTCAAGGCGCGGTACAGCGAGGGGAGATTGTATACCATCCCACAGCTCTGGATGCGTCAGGGCTACTTGGCGCCAGGAGGTAGATACTTGGCATAGGAGCATAGGCGAAAGCCTGTGGTCTGGGATTCGATTATCTGGTAGGGTATAAGCAAATATTTCAGCCAGTAATTCTGGAGGTAGACGTCGAATCGGGGCATGAAAAGAAGAATAGAACGCGGCTTGATCCAGATACTGTTTTCGCTTGCAACCCAGTTTTGCAAGCTTTTCACAGAGCCCCAGAATCTCCGATTGTAGCTCTTCACATTCTGAATTCACGATCGCCGCTTTGTCTCGGCAAGTTTTCCGGTATGCGTCGAAAACCTGAATTTCTGACTTCGAAGGAAGCGCGTTGGTTCCGTTCAAGCGGTTTAAAATCGTCTTGATATCCGTACCCTGTTTCACTATTCGGTTAATCTTGAAAAATATATCCAGACAAAAATCGATTACCTCTATGGTTGTGTCCTTAGAGGGGACGCAGAACTCGGTCTGTGAACGTATGTCGTTGCCCTTCCAGAGTGTAACTTGCTGCCCTCGTGTTTCATCCCCCCATAAATTTATAGCTGGGTGATTCTTATTGTCAATTATCGTGTTTAATGAAAATTGTAGAAATGATATGGTACCGAATGCTTTTGAATAGGGACAGTTCGGTCAGCTCCCTAGACTACGTCGGACTGGAAACGTTTCTCACTTAGCGATAAGAGGTCATTGTGGTCTTCCTCAAGTTCCTTTGTTGTCCCCTGATTCGTTTGCGCTTGCTCGCTAGTCACGCCGGGTACGTCCATTACGGGAAGAGGAGCAGGGTAGACCAGAAGAGTGTGGCTCTAATCAGCGATAACATCAATGAGAGCGCTTAGCTTGTGACCAACTTATGACCAGTCACCAACGCGTCACGCTCTGTCCAGCCAAAAATGGAAGAGGGGTTGCAGTTGGGTTGCAGGTACTAAGTATAGAACTTAGGCCTTGGGACTTAGCGATAACAAGAAATTGAAGGAAAGCTATGTTAGAAGAACTCCTAGGATTTTGGATGGATTACATCTTGATGGTGCTGATTTGCGAACTCGAGAAATAAACTTACCACTCGCTCTCAAAGTGGCCACGAGAATCAGGTGCGGATGCGAGGTGTATTTTTTCGAAAATCTAAACGCTTATATACTCCGCCGTACTATCATCAGCTAATGCTTATCCTCTTTGAGTGGAAAGGAAGACTAGGATTTCACAGTGACTTTCCCCTAGCCATGCCTTCCTTGCACATTTATCGTTCACCTCCAAGCAAAACACTCCTTGTGGGATCAAGACTGCCAAAAGGTCTCTACAAATATTACGCCAACAAAGCAGCAAGTTACGGTCAAAAAAAGATATAGATTCAAGAATTACATCGCAATTTCCGCCTGCTCGTGTTCTTCGACCCGCCGGCGTTTCCCCAACGTTTCGACGTTTTCGCCATTGATTGCACGTTTTTGAGGAGCACCGTTTGGGCATGCAAGATCCAACGTCTTCCTCTCTGTATCCATTTCATGTACCACATTGGAGATCTCGGTAACCCATTGGAGTAGGTCGAGCACCCGAGATGTGGTCTCATCAAGACCCATGGCTTCCACGAAGCCGGTGATAGCTGTGTGAAGGGCAACTGAACTTCTAGGTACTACGATGCATGTCGATGCCCCCATATCGTCATTATCTGTGCGGTGGGTTTAACGACGATCGACAGAGGAATAACGAGTAAAGTGGCAAACTCACTTTCGTGCAATCGCCCTGATTCTCGTTGATGCACCCGATCCCACTCCTCCAGCAGATCTTTCCTATAAGCTTCTTTCCGTTTCAGCAACTCCGCCTCTAGCGCCTTCTGCACCACCTCTTGAGATGGCGGTTGCGGACGTTGATTTTCAGCGGCTACAGCTTTCAAAGCATATCTCTTTTCCCTCTCCAAGAGTTCAGCGTTCTCCTTCTTCGTTTGAGCAAGACGCGCTTCCAATTCGTCTATCCTTTTCTTCACCGTGGAAAGTTGAGCAGCAGCAGCTGCTGCAGCCTGCAAATTGACGAGTTCGTTGTCCTCCCTTCGCTTCTTGATTCTCTCATCCGCACTATGACCCTCGTCATCACTCGTGAGCTCCAAGACGTCCAGGTTATCCGATAACAACTCCTCAGTGAAGTCCTCCGAAGAATCGGAGTCGGAGTCCTCCTCACCGGTCACGCTTCCTCCGTTCTGACCAGCATCATGATGCTTGGATGGTTCTGGCTGCCTTCGAACGTACCTACCATACAAATCGAGAGCCGTTCTGGAAGACACACCGAGATGGACCGCAACGTAATCAAGCAAGAACGCTTGCAAGCGAGGACACTTGCGTCCCATGTTCTGGCATGTCGTGCAGCTGATCCCGTCCTTGTATACCACACAACTACGTGGTTTAGCCTTGCACGCGTGGCGCTCGCACGTCTAGAGTTGAGAAAAACAAAGATGGTCAGAATGTCACCCAATGGCGTATTGGTAAGCCGCTGACTGAGTGGAGTTTGACGAAAGCCTGACACGCCTTCCTATCGCTCTTGCCTTGTTTCCAAAAACTTAGGAACCTTTTGATATACTGAGTATCATAGGACGGCGTGAAAGGTGTCGGTTTGTTCGGGGAGGTGAGATTAGACGTTTTCGGTTTGGGGATGGTACAGGAGCGTCGTGCGGATAATGACATTGTTTCTATTCGAATTTCGCTCTCTTGGTAAGTTTTTTAAATAAAATTCAAAGGCACGTACAATTACTGCGGAAATCTGGGAATGAAGCGATGGAAGAGCAGCTTCAACACTCCACTTTGTGGTTGGTGGGAGGCAAGATACGAGGGTGTTGCCAAATAATGACAAGCATTGGCATCAAGCACTGCACTTAAAATTGATTTCGGCTTTAAGTACCTACCGTCTTAACATTCCACCAGACGTACTGGTTAAGCCATCCCTTGATAATATTTCGACGTAGAAGGAAGGAGAAGCTTTTTTGTTTTATCAGAGAAAGACACGGCCTGATGGCCACGGTTCCTTGTCAATTCCAAGTCAACGCCTTTGGTTCCCAACGTCAGGCTTCCATCCCTGAAGATTTGGTTTGTCATGTAGATTTTAAACTAAGTGAACTTACTGCTGATGTATATAATATAACTTGCCTGATCTACTTTGCCTTCCATGCGTAGCTCGTCAGCGTAGTTGCCCTCATATCTAGTAAGCTTTAAATTTTATGCACAATGTGAAAAATCGATTTCAGCGAGTTGATTTACCTCCAATGAATAGCGCGCAACCAACCCCCAGTCTTGCGCAAAATTAATCTCTCGGATGTCGACTCCTTGAACCTACATAAATCTATTCAGGATCGGGTCTATTTCACATAGGAACTTAGATTCTACTATGACCACAACCCGACTCCAAGTAGCACGGATTCTCTCTGCAGGCAAATAAAATAAATACAGCAGCGGAGAATCGAACTCCGACCGGTTGCTCGGCTTTATACCACAGTGGAATATAATTTCATTATGGAAGGCAACCTTGATACCCTTTCACCACTGCTGTGCGCGATTTTTATTCCGCTTAATGCTTTTCTTTGCGATGACGGGGATGTAATTTGCAGTCACTTTTACTGAAGACTTTACTATCAAACATGTGCTCCGGGGCGGGTGCAAAAATAAAAATATGATCCTTCTTGTATGGTCGGCGGGTTTGTGCTTCTGAAGGCTAAAATGATATCGAGTAGCGACGAAGTGGATCGGCTATCCGCCTCCACCCAGCTCCGCCCGCCTCTCCCCACCAGCTCCTTGAAAACAGTTAAAACAGTCTGGAACAGTAAATTAATCTCGGGGCCTGAGAATCGAGATGGTGGGCGGAGAGTCCGCCCCCTAAGTTCAGGCACGACTGCCACGTTGCTTTGAAAACCTCGTGTCATGGGCGGTCTCAGTCTTGCAAGTTGCCATGGGTTTAGCGAAAAAATTTCCCTTGGAGCATCACCTGCAACAGAGGGTAGCAGAGGGTTCGTTTCTCCGAGTTTCTCCTGACCGGAGGGATCATTCCAGGAAAGCGAAAATCAAAATCGATTTAGGAAGACAGTTAATTTCCCACGGCGTCAATTCAGTTCCCAAACCCATCAAAAGTCGAACGTTTTACAATTCTCTTGTTTCCTCGAACTTGATTCCCTTCTTCCTTTCGCTTCCAACTCTACATCACATACCCACGATACCCGTCATGTTCTCTGCCACGAAACTCATTTCTCTCCTCATCCTGGCTGTCTCTGCCAACGCCCAAAGCTCCGTGACGACGTCAGCGTCCAGCTCCGCCGTTCCCAGCTCCCTCGGCATAACACCCTGCATTCTCGCATGCGTGGGGCCAGCTGCGACCGCGAACGGATGTGCTTTGTACGTCGCCCTCATCCCTCGTTCATGACTCGTTCCAGCTAACACGCCTTTCAAGCACTGACGCCGCGTGCGTCTGCGGCTCAGCTCAATTCCAGGCTGATGCCGGCGCGTGTCTTCAAGAGCACTGTTCTGCTGCTGAGGTGAAGGCCGCTCTTGCCCTCCAGCAGAGCCAATGCGCTCCTCGTACGTCTTTAAGCACACTGTTTTCATCTTGACCCCTAAGCTCGCATCGAATACGCAGTCTCGATCAGCCCTAGTGGTCCCTCCGCTACACCCCACAGTGTATCCTTCACGACTCCTCCCTCCGCATCTGCTACCAGCACCGCCGCATCGGCCTCTGGGTCCGCCACTAAGCCCGCCAGCTCTAGCACCAAGGCATCCAGCTCCGTTGCGTCTGCTGCTGCCTCGACCACCGCCAAGAGCTCCGCTTCTTCCAACCAGGTCGCCTTCGGCCTCAGTGGCGTTCTCGTCTTCGCTGGCATAGCCCTTGCTCTCTAGTTTTTGAGTAGCTTTTGAAATGGTGTCGGTCTTGCTTAGGGGATCTTCCACGCTAGATTGGATTTATACGCTTCTTACAGGATTGGATCGGAGTCTTCCATAATGTTTCATTGCTTTCTTTGATAGATTCTTTCAGTTATTACTTTGGCATGATGAAAATTACGCTAGTTGCTTGCGGAGAAATCGATGGTCGCACTTTTTGGTTCAATAATGCGTGTCTTGGTTTCTTAGGCTATGATTCGGTTCTCGTATTTTTTTGCCCTACTACATCATACATGGCGCTCCGTCAAACTATGTCCTGGTACATCGATCGACGGGAACAGCTTCAAGCCACATTATAGCTTGAGGCTTGAGGCACGCGATCCCTGACCAGTGGTATAAAAATTGTATTTTCCCTTAGCATAGCAAGGCCATTCGGTACAGATACCAAACAGATACACGAAAATTTTCTCTTGTGGCCTCCAGGCTGAGTTCATCCCCTCAACCAGCTGATATCAGGAGGAGCGGGCATTCGGTCCTCGACCGCTCTGACCCAGGCTGAAGCTCTTGATGTACAATAGTGACAGCTTTGGATATAGTGCTGGTTACGTTGGACAACAGAGGAGAACTTTTGAGCCATCCCGACGTCGCCAGCAACTTCCTGGAGTGTTCCACGATAGAAAGCAGCCCAGACACCACATTCCGAAAAGCCCCCCTTGTGTTGCTTGCCAGTGACTGGTTCTTTGTAGATAGATTTCAGAACGTCAAACCAAGGTTCCCGGTACTCCACCTAGTGTATTCGTAAACACCGGTCATAATACCATCGCAGGTGGATTTCGATTTTCTTACCCATTTCAAAACGATGTCAGGCCTATCTTTCAAAACCTCGTTTATTTCCTCGAAAGACATCGGTACGGTGAGTGGCAAAGCGATCTTGGCAAGCTCAGGGTAGTCATGTTTGATAGAATAGGATAAAACCTCGACAGGATGCTGAGGAATCGCTTCCCTAGAGACTATATTTCAATGTGACGCTCCCGCCCTAGAATTCAAAAACGTACTGCATCCGAATCTTACAAACCTCCATCGCGGAAAAGACCATGTATTTCTCAACCGCCTCCGCTAACGGGTATAGAACGTTGAAAGTAATTTTCGAGGAATCCGGTTGACGTTCGTTATGCATGTAATGCAATAACAGCTTCAATACCGCAGACGCTTCGGGCATCTCTACAATCTCTCCTGTGACTGTCGTTGAGGTAGCTGGAGGGAAGCCACCACTGTATATTTCGAGATTGGTGCTGTGAGCTCCATATTCTACGCCATCCGACGATCGCAAAATTATATCGGTTGGCAAAGGACAATCTGCGATTACTGGGGAGATTGTTGTTCATGAGAACACCGTAGAAGTCGGTGAGAGACGTACCAGCGCAAGGTGGAACTTGAAAATGTATCTCTTCAGCAACAACTTGAAGTTCTGGGGAGCTCATAGTGGTATATCTGGGAGCGGATGATCGATAATCGATGAGAAATAAGTAGAAGAAGCTGGAGCCTGGGAAGCACTTCCAGATGGTGTTGATATTTGTGTATGCTGGATCAAACCTCTACGCCCACAAGACATCATGCGCACCTCAACAATTATAATCCGCCTTCGCTGGCGGATGTGGTACGGTCTTCGCCAACAACGACTCTTTACATGTCGATACTAAACAAACGCGTCAGCTTATCATGCACGACGTCCTCCAGAGCTTTTGCTCCGCTGGTATAATCGACGGCTGGATGCGTCTTCGTCATGGCTGCTTGGCGTCACCATCAAGGCTTGCGTTGCTCAAGATTGAGGTTGAACTACGTAAACGGCGGAGAGTCATGGATTCAGCTGGGATTCCCAGCGCACATTCACATGTCCATACGTGGTCCTGGAACGCGAAGAGAGATAGAGGTTGTGAACAAGCTGATATAAAGATGAGGGGCATAGGATCGAAGATGCATGGCCATACTACAAGTTTTTCGTCATAATAAGACTCATCACCACGCCCTTTAATCCCTGGGTCCGCCTCTTCCAACACCAGCGAATTGGGGCCTGAAGTTATCAGGGGCACCACCCTCCTTCTTACGATAGTCATCACGGTCGCCACGGGGAGCACGGTAGGCACCCTCTCCTCCTCCAGGGCGAACAGTAGCGGGGCGTGGGGGACGTGCAGCCTTTTTGTGAGTAGCGGGCACAATTTCGGCGGGGAGGTGGAGCCTGGAGTCATTGGCGTTAGAAGGGCACAAGTCATGACAGAGAGAGAACGCACCATTCACGGAGATACTCTACACCCTCAGGGGTGAGAACGTAGTAGTACCACTGCCATGAGAATTGGGTCTTGACGTAACCCCGGGAGGTCAAACTCTGTAGAGCCTTGATGACCTGGAGATTGGGCACATCGAGCTCTTCGTGCTTCGGCGCGTTGAAGTCTTTTTTCGCAACTAGGACACCCTCTATATTCACAAGGAGGTTTTAGACGGCGGAAAGACATTGAGACGTCAAGACGCACCCTTGAAGAGGTTCTCGTAGATGACGCGCCTATTCTGTTTCGAAATGATCATGCTGGGCAGGTGGGTTTATTGAGGCGGAAGCTGAAGCCATATCATCAAATTCAACGCCATTTCCAACAACAATGTTGAAGAACGTACTGCGAAGCTTGAATCGCACTTGTTTCCGGCTGTAAAAAGGATGGTTAGATATCATCATCCAAACAGGAAATGGCCAATCCAGCCCACCGCACCCCGCAAAACGGGGTAAAATGGGCGTTCATGGGTTCTAGAGGACAATTGGCGAAGAATTAGCTACTTACGTGGCGGATTTTGAGGACGGCCTTGGAGGATTCTTGACTGACGTTGACGACGATGGGCAGAGATCAGAAAGTTGGTGTAACTTTGCAATTGTTTGGCGGCGACCTCAAGTTGATCACCTACCAATCAACGCACCTTGGGTACGTGGATATGGTTCTGATGAGTGACTTCAACGCGGGCGCCTTTTAGGGAGTTGCTTGTGCTGACATTCACCTTCTACCCCTCTCGACTGGAGACACCACCTTTGATTCCTTCAGCTCTCGACAATCTGGGAGGAACCGAACATTGAAGGTATGTTATAGTAGTTTGTAAATGTCCCAATTCCGACCAGTCCTATTCCATATCTTGGCAATCCTGCACTCCCAGCTGAAACTCGATGTCGCGACACCGACGTAAATACTAAAAACAGACGGGAAGAGTACAAATCGTCAGGCACAAGCAGCATCTCAGAGGGACCCAAAACTTAATCCACCACTCCGGGCTCGTCATCTGTGTCTTGGAAGATAAGAGTCGGAAGCTTGTCAGGCTGCCCACATTCTTCTTCGAAAGGAAGATAATACGTCTCTCGAAGATTAAGAATCAGGCGGCAACCTAAAATTCTGGAGAATAATTGAGCCAGGCCATAGGCAATTGGCATATAATAATTCTGCGAAAAGATGAACGAAAAGAGTATCTAAACGGTCTGAAGCCTTACCTCTGGTTGAGCCCACCCCAAGATATTCAAGGTCCCTACTAAAAAAGCGCTATTTCGAGGGTTGAGCACAACGCACACATTGAACTGTTTCTTACATCATGGGAAACATAATACTGTCGCGTAGCAGGATCGAATGTAATGGAAATTTGTTCAATGAGGGTAATGATCTTGTTTCCTTGAAGTAGCTTAAGCCAGCTCGTAATCCCATTAGCAGGATTACCAGCTCAAACACAAATATTGGCGTCCAGGATATGAAATACCAGCTTGGAGAAGATGATAGGCAGTTGTGGATTCCTCCGTGAGAAGGAGGAAAACCTCCAGAAGGAGAGAGGCCTGAGGGAGGAGGACCTGGAGGGCCGCCTGAGGGGGGATGACGTGAAGGGCCGCCTGGGAAAGGTGGACCTGAGGAAGGAGGGCGTGAGGAAGGAGGTGGACCAGGAGGAGGGCCGCCTGAGGGAGGAGGACCTGGAGGTGGACCTGGAGGTGGACCTGAGGAATGAGGGCCTGAGGAGTGATCCGGGCCGGCATTAAATGGACCATGAGCTGGATAATACGAGGATAAGTAATCGATATGACTTATTTCATAAAAACATTACGGGAGTTGTTACGCAAGTAAATCGCGTCGATCACCAACAGCGAGATTATTTCAAGGGCAAATAGGATAGACATCCAAATTGTTACCTTTCTTGAATGCTTGTACAGGCAACAGATTCGATATAGCATGATGGCTGGGTTGGTCATCGATTCAAGTCAGTCAGTGATATGGTAGTATGCCTGCTACGGACCTTGCATCGACCAAATCAGAACATGGCATCCCCATCCTTGAACCTTTGACGCGATCTTACCTGCAAGTTATCAGCCCGTTGGCGTTATTCTCAAGAGTGGGGGTATTTACGTACATCTAAGCAATTATAGTTAGTTGAAGATAATTGTCGTACAGAAGAAAATCGAGACTCACGAGTCCTGAAACACAAGGGAAAAAGCACAGGAGGCGGTAAGCATTGAAGTTAAGGGGTGAAGCAAATTTTGAACGAACATCCGGCTGGGGCAAAAATTGAAGTATCAAAACTTCAACGAGACAGTGATTAGCGTAACGGCTCTAAGTTCAGATACGATATTCTTCACCTCTCGCCAAGTATCTAACAACGGCTTTGAGCAAAACGTAATCATAAAACGGAAATGTCGGAATTTATGCGCACAGGGGAAGGGCTTCGCCGAAGTATCGATTCTGAAAACCCAACCGTTCAACATGAAATCAATACCCAAAATTCAGACGATGAACATACAATTATGAAGAAAACATTCACAGCGGACCATTTTTTCCTCTGCGAACACAGTCAGTAGCAGGTCTCGTCCCCGCATGTCACCATACCCAGATGAGTTCGACCTAGTAGCGACGAGGTAAGAGAATGTCACGCGCCAGTAAACATGTCAACCTCACCTCTACGTCCAACGTTATGACTGGAATACCCGACAATGTTAGCGCTGGTTTGAAGGGGAAGCTCCAAAGAACTGACGGTGGTCGTAAAGAGCCGCAACCGTGACCGCGACTGATTCGGAAGAGCTGTCAGCGGACCAACACGTTACTTGCCAGTGATGAACATACCTTGGAAGTATGTTTGGAAATTCGCGTGCTGAATATCACCGACGACGCCGTCCATATGGCATATGATTGTAAGAGGGAGAAGGAAGATGAGAATGTCCACTCTGAAGGTGAACCTCTTTTCAAACCTCGAACGCCCACAAACGATCACGGTCGTAGATCCTCAGGTTCATCAATGGGGATAAGAATTTCGGGCAGTGCCGCAGATCTTAAAGGTTATCAAAGGGTTTGGACATCTGCCTCAGATCCGCCGCAAACAAGCCAGCTTCCAAGTCTGCCGACTTCCCGCGTCTCACTCTCTAGTAGCTACATTGGCCATCTTCAGCAGAGTGAGGCTAACAGATAATATTTCGTCTAGTGAATACCGTTCGCGATATGATTATTTTCAAGGCGATTTGATATAGATCGAAAACTGTATCACGTCAGGCGAGAACTCAATATTTGACTCGCCAAGTCGAGGCACGGGATCAAGGGAGCTCCCTGCAACTCCCCACTTGTGATTTGAACAAGGAAATTGATTTCAAACCTGGACACCAAAACGGTGACTTCCTGAATCAATTGAATCAATAGAGACTCAGGTCGCTTTACTTTTCATGTAGCAAGTCCTCCTTCGTAGTGGACGCTGCCTACTATTTTATATGATCTACGTCCCCTTCATTTAGTTTACAAGTAGATTTGACGTGGATGAGTGTCACGACTAATGCGTGACGCGACGGGGCTGGTCTCGTTGTAGTGGTTGTCAGTGACGACTCGTCAACGGTCGTCACCGGCAGTAAAAACGAAAGTCGGGTCAAGTCATCCACCGACCATTCAGTAGCTGTTGCGGTCGATCTCGTGCGCTGGGGCCTTTCAAGTTTCAAGGGTCGTTCTGCAAAGAATGCGATCAGGCGACGCCACAGCGGGAGTCGCCGAATATCAAGCTGGAAAATTGGTTATTGTCAAAATGTCAGGGTGCTCAGCGCTCAGGCCTCAGAGGCCCTACATGCATATGAAAATAGATCCAAATCGATACTCAGCATGGTAAAGGTCAAAGAGTGGACAGACTTTGACCTACGTGAAGAAAGGAATTTCCAAATTCTCTCATCGGATTTGTAACTCTCCGTTCAGATGCTACATATGTATCTGCGAACGCGCGTCAACAAACCGCAGGCGTTTACGGAACTAATAATTACGCACAGAATAAGTCCTTCTGCAAAATATCAAGTTCAATATTTAGACGCAGACGACGCACGATGGTGAGAAGAATTTTCACGATGGACTTAGCAATAAATTCCGGACACATCGGTAAGATCAGCGTTTGGCAAAGACGAAATGGCGGTCGCTGGGTCGAGTGCGGTAACTGACGTCGCAAATAGTGAGTAACGAGTGATTCATGAAGTTTTACGAAGAATTTTATAGTGATCGTATAGAGCCACCACTGCAACCGCCACTGAGAGAAGCTTTCAATGAGTGGAATATGGGTGATAATTGCACACTGGGTACCATACACAAGATGTGCTCCCCGGAGTGGATAGTCGGGGGAGGGAAGAATGGTAGTGATCGCTTTAAAATCTGCTCGATATTTGGGTACGACAGTGCCCCGAAAGCCCCGTCTGCGATGGCATCCGATATGTTCGACGCATGGAATGGTGCAGCTGTATAGAGCACAACGATAAGCAAACCCATAAGCTTCGGCGACAAGCTGTTATACACAGGATTGAGCCGTTTCCACTTTTAGTGGACAGAAGTTCGACTTCTGGACTCGCGTTGTCTCACCGCCTTTCCCGAAGATCCACTTGTCGTGAACTTGAACCGACGCGCCCGTGGCCCGTGGTCAAAGTAGACGCGTCAGATGCATCGAAAATGACACAGTTGAAAACCGAGATCCAGAAGAAGAGATCCGACAAGCCGTGCGCAACACGTATCAACAGGGAGAGGGTAAAATGCGGGGAGAGTTCTTTCGAGTTGAAATGCGAGAGGAGGTAGACAAGTCTTTTTAGGGATAAAGCCTTGATCGCCTGAGCTAAGGCTAAAGACACCGCAAGGTCTTCAGTCATTGTGTAACCGTTGAGGTCGTAGTAATTCACCACATGTCCGAGTCGCGCAGTATGATGATAGAAAAGGCCACTAGCCGGATAGAAGGCAATAAGTCCAGTGCGGGCCATGATTTTAGTGACGAGGCGAAATAGTTTCTTCGAACTCCAGACTGAGAGAAGAGGTTCAGTGCAGCGGAAGAATACCTGATTGTGAGAACCTGGGGGTTGGGGAAACAAGAGGGGATACCACCGCAGGAAACTCGCATTTGCCAAGCGCCAACGAAGTCAGCGATGGTAGCATAGTTATCGACTTGCAAGCAAATAGGCGGGGCTATTGTTGAGATTAAAACCATGGGTTAGTGTGAATCTCAGCGCTGAGGAAAACGCCCATGAATGATATCCGGGGAGGAATAGGAAGACGAGACGCGATGAGGGGACGGAATGGTCGTGCGAAAAGTAGCAAGCAACGACGCAACGTGGGGCAAGAGCGGAAGGTCACAGGACAAGGGATGGAGGCGGGAGGCGAACGAGAAGAAGGGAGACGTCACTAACATTAAATAACACTGTTTACCCGAATCGTAAATCCTCCCCGGAGCTTCCATCACCTTCGTCCTCATGTATCCTTGGTTCTAGTAATACATAGCTTCAATAGTTGAGCATGGTTTGCACGGCTTCTGAAGCGAGGGGGCACCACGCTGCACCAAGACAATAGTTGTCGTGCCGTCTAGCCGCTAGCGTAGTCCAAAGGGCCAAATTTGGGCCCAATTGAGGTTGCGGGTGTCATTGAAATAAGCTAACGCAAGCAATGACGCGTTCGTTTAGTATCGACATGTAAAGAGTCGTTGTACGTACCACATGCGCTGCAACGAAGGCAGATTATGTTGTCATTGCTGAGATGCGCATGTCCCTTAGTTTTGAGTGTAAGGCAAGAGACGCGTCGCAGCGTGACCCACCTGTCACTTTCAAGTCACTCTCCTCCTTCCATCGTCTTTGACCACATCTTCATTCAGCTCATCTGCGAACACTTTGCGTACAAATTTGGCTTCAAGTTGGGGCCAGCCGCCCACACACTCGCCCTCTCCGGCCCGGGGCTCAAAAGTTGACATGAACAGCCGAACGCCCCGTTCCAAACTTGCCTTCATTCGACTCTTGTGGACATCTTACCAGACGGGAGTCACGCTGCAAAACTCCCTCTTCCAATCAGTCAAGCTCATGGGGCTTCCAGCACGTATGCGCACGCGGCACTTTCTACTGGGTCCAAGGCGTTTTGTGGTGTCAAATTTCCAACACATCTCATCGACATTTAGTTATACATCTAATCTCTTCTGGAAAGCGTGGTCTACACCATAATATTCCACCCCACGATCCTGAATGCAAATTACCCGCTTATTGGGCCTCATCCCCCTTCCGACCTTTGAAGGCCGATCGTGTGCGCTATTGGCACCTGGAGCTCGACGCCGGCATTTGGCTTGTGCTTCAACGACTCCGACTACGCCTTCCTCAAGCCCGCGGCAGATTCGCAAAAATGTCCTTGCTATGACGGAACGTCTTGTTCTTTGGAGCCTGGAAATATCCAGCGAACTCCTCTGCAATCACTCTGCTGGTTCTGTACTTGCTCTCGATTGTCACGAACATGAACATTTCTTTTCTCTTGGGTTTCAACGACTTGGTAGGTCATTTTATCCTTATATCCAACAACAATATTGGTAATTTTTTTTTGGAATATAGAACTGTAAGTCGTTGAATGTCAGTGTTAGGGATTCGTTTTGCTGATCGAATCTTTACCGTATTTATCGGACCCATAGGGTTAGACTGGTCACTGAATGCGCCACGAGCATGTGAGCACGGCACACCAGGCAGGAATTATTGGCGTGTATAGGCGTGCATCGACGATATCGACGTGGATGTATGCGCCGATAATCTGTGCAGTGCCCATAACGCAGTTGGAATGGTGATTTAAGAGTTGATAGACTCTGGCCGCCTCTTGACTCAGGAGCGTCCGATTCAACGATCTTCAAAGCAATAAACCAATCTACGTACCTGGTCATATGGTAACACGCCGCTAATTGCCGTTGTCATTTTCAAATTCCCAACGCTCATCAGCGCCTTGCACCGCGTTGCAACCAATCCACAATAGAGTTAAAAATAGATTTGGTGAGTGATAAAAGTCCCTCTTCTTTTAATGCAGCCTTTCATGGCACAACGATTATTAGCACTGGGCTTTTTCTCCCTCGTCGCCGGCCTCGTATCTGCTCAAAGTGGTTATGTGATTAAGAAAATCGACATTCCGACCGCCGACAACGGAACGGCCACGATTACATCAGGAAAACTACACTTCACTTATTGAGCTTACGTCGCTTGGATTCACTTGAAATCTCACTTGAAAAGCTTTGCCACTTGAAGGTACAGCCATAACTTTGGTTCAAACTCCAAGTGACTCCAAGTGGGGGATTTAAGTCACTCAAGTCAGTAAGTCAACACTCAAGCTTCAAGCCCGGTGAAAATCAACTCCGATCAGGCCGAGTCACAGTGACTATGGCCGATTTGCGTGGCTTGTGTGAGCATCAATTGAGTTAGATATATTTCAGGCGATTTGCAAGGCTGACCCACACTAAAAACCGCACTGTGTACATGGCTTACATCGTGTAATATCGAATTGGATCGAACTCAAATCTATTTGTATAGAATTCTGTCGATAAAACGACACCTTACATTTGCCTTACATCGCTTCAATTCTAGGCAATCAGATCTACCTCGGAATAACCCGAGTCATTTTTGACTGGGCTTCAAGCCTCAAGGCCTCAAGAGTCATATTATTGGATTGCTCAAACACGTTAGAAAATATTCCCAAGTCCATTCAAAGTCCGATGACATGTGACGATCAAGTGACAATGTTGAAATTCCTAACATTGGTTCTTCTCTTCTCCGTCTTTCTCCGCCCTTCTCATCCTCACGGCAGACTCAGTGCAACTTGTGACAAACAGGCTATCAAAGGGCCGATGATGGCACTTCTATAGATGGGTTAAGTAGCGCCCACAACAGGATCTTCAGCTGCCAAGTGCATTGGTCTATGAGCCTGTGGTGCGAACGGTGGATCGACATGACATGGGTACGTTGACCATACCGTTCGTCTGGATCGTGCTAGCTGACGACTATACATCTAGCTAACCATCTGGCTATCTACGTGCTGCGTCAATGGAGACGTTCAATTCGGAAAGGTTTTTTTCGGCCACCTGTTGGATATCTAGTGGCGCTGGTTTGTTCCATGCCTGTCGACATCTTTTACGAGGTCTGTCCTTAGATTCTTGAACACCTGCACCCCATTGATCTCCACATCAGCCAGGCCAATCGGGCTTTCAAAGCACTTCTCACAAGTTCTCAGCCATCCAAATTCAAGCCTTGTATGGGCCCTTCCGAAATGCCCAACGAAGATGTCTGGGTTGGAGTGGGCTGGAGGAAGGCTTGCTTGTCAGGCAAGTACGCACTTCAGCTGTCTCTTTGGTGGAGTTAACGTGTTATCCAGGAATGCGGAAAGGGCGGTGCCCCTGCCAACATACTGTTTCGGCGATTTCAATGCATCGACTGTGCACACCAAGCGACACGTTAGTCATGACGCGTCATGATTGACGTGTCGCTTGTGGTGTCCGACCTTGTCCAACCCATCCTCGCCAAAGCCCTGTGCACGCACTACGAACTCAGTAAGTCAGTGCTGATATTCAATGCATGGTTGTGCTAACAAACCTCATACTATCGCCTAGTGACAAGGTGGTAAACCAGATGAAGACGGTGACTCCAGAACGACGCTGGCCCAGGTTTGTGCCATGGCAACCTCCTCTTCATATCTCTACTTATCCCTATGCACCGTACCGACCACAGGGTCCATTGTGATTGCTCCAAGTGAGACTGGTGTTGGCCACCACCATCTTTCGATTCGACGGCAAGTGTGAAGAGGCTGGGAAAGAGAAGGGATCGGCGGCAGAACGAGGACCTGTTCTATCGATGGTCCGGGTATGTCTCCTCTTACCTCCCCTGCTGCATGATCTCATTTTTGTCCAGGCTGAGTGCGTGTTCAAGTTCTGGGTCAGATTCCGCAATCGAGCTCATGGAGGAACCAAAACCACCCGTTTCGCTCACTCAACATGCCAACGCCTCTCCCCTCGATGTGCGAGGATCTTTGTTGAGTGAGACGTTGGGGTGCTCCCGCAACCATCAAACGGAGGGGATGGTCCGTTTTCTATACATTTCGGATATTCCTTGAGATGGATGTATATATTGTTCAATATACTCTTTTACCCACTAATTTTACTGTCCTGCGTGAAATCGGGAGTAATTTGAGACTGCTATTTCATCACTTGGTCACTTTTGCCATACAACTTACCCACTTGAGTCTTCACTTGAGCCAAGAGGAATCACTTGGCCAAGGCAGCAACCTACTTAGCCAAGTGAATCTCCTTTGGTCACTTGAGCTCACTTACGTCTCTTGGCCACTTGTCAAAGTGACCCAAGTGACCAATACTTTCCATTCCTCCACTGATTCCTACCGGATTCCGCGGATTCCGGCCGGAATCCAGGAATTCTGTGGATTCCGGCCGGAATTGACTGGAATCCAACTGGAATAGACAGAAATTTCAGTACAAATCTATACTTCTCGATTCCCCCTACAATTCCACTTTAGCTAGATGTCATATGACTTAATCTGCACTTATCAAGACCTCCTGAATTACTTGTGTAATGCAGTCAGTCAATCTATTATTCTATTCTATGCTGATAACTTAAACTTAGGAATTGCTTATGATATTCAAATTTGAACATAAATAATTCAGGTGTATTCACTAGAACTACATGACATTATTCTACTACAAAATTATCTTACTACATAGAGTGTTAAAGGGAGGGGGGAGGGATGGAGGGGAGGGGGAGAGGGGTGAAGGAGAGAGGGGTGATGGGAGAGGGAGTGATGGGGAGAGGTGGTGGGGAGTGATGGAGAGGGGAGGGAGTGATGGAGGAGGGAGGGAGTGATGGAGGGGAGGGAGTGAGGGAGAGAGGGGGGAGGGAGGGAAAGAGGGGGGGGAATGGAGAGAGAGGGGGCATGGAGGGAGGGAAGAGGGACAGAGGGAGGGAAGAAGGATGGAGGGAGGGAAGGAGGGAGGGAGGGAAGAGAGGGAGGGTGGATGGAGTGGTGGGGACTGATGGAGGGGGGAGAGTGTGGTGGGGAGTACTGGGCCTCGTCGCTGTTCGTCGGCCTGTGCTTTACGTCATTCCTGTCGTGTCTTCGTTGACGTGCTCGCCGTCGTCCGCTGACGTCGTCTTCGTCGGCCGTTGACGTGGGCGTTGTCTGCTGACGTCGTCGTCGTCCGCTTATGTGGTCGTTTTCCGCTGACGTGGGCGTCATCGTCCGCTGACGTCGCCGTCGTCGTCCGTTGACGTGGGCGTCGTCTGTTGATGTGGTGGCGGTCCGTTGACGTGGTGGTGCGTGGGTCGTCTGTTCGCGTGGCCCTCCGTTGACGTGGTGGGGCGCTGACGTGCTGTCCGTCCCTCGTTGTGGGCGTGGTCGTCGTTGCGTCGCGTTGTCGTTGTCGCGTCGCGTTGTCGTTGTCGCGTTGTCGTTGTCGCGTCGCCGTCGTGTTGTGTTGTCGTTGTCGCGTTGCGTCGCCGTCGTGTCGCGTTGCCGGTCGTGTCGCGTCGTCGTTGGGTTGTCGTTGGGTCGCGTTTTGGTGAGTGTTAGCGGGGTGGGTTGGGATGGAGGAGGGGGGGACTCACCTCTGAATGACGACGAACGACGACGTCGTCGTCGTTCGTCGTTTGGTTGCCACGTCGCTGATAGCGACGTGGCATCGGTGACGTGGCGTTCCCGTGTTTGGTGGTCGTGGTTGCCGGTTGACGAGCGTTGTGGGTGGTGGTGACCACGGGTGATGGTGGTGACGTGGCGATGGGTGGGCGTCGTCGACGATGGTGGTGGTTGAGATGAGAGAGTGGGTTGTTTGTTTCTGATGCCCAAATCAAGCGTCGGCGTTTGCCGACGCTTGATTTGGTCATCAGAAATTCCGTTCCGTCTCGTTCCGTGGCTATTCCTTCCGGGTGATCACCGGAATCATTCCGGCGGAATTTGAATTCCATTCAAAATTCCGCGGAATTGTTTGATCAATTGAGGGCATATTTGAGTTCGAAAATGCGGCAGATCTGTGCGGCGATCTGTGCGGCGATTTGTGCGGCGATTCAAATCACATGCCTATGTATTTGCTTACTAAACCCTCAAGCCTAACAACAACAACACGTCGGGAACGCATCAAACGCGTACGCGAGTCGCGCTATCCATTATGCACATTCTCCAAGTGTTGAAGGATCTCTCAGACCACCCCGTTTTATACAACCTTACCATAGACGAAGTGATGGCATTTTCAAGACTGGCCTTTCACCTCAAACGAGATATTATTCAACCACAACCGGTGAATGAGAATTGTGGCCTTGATATTCCACCTGCCATCCTCCCTGTCAGTGTATCAATCTTCCTTAGCAATGCCATAGGGATACCTTTGGAAAGTGTTCAAGATTGCTGGGAGATACTTGGTGACTATGCCTGGTCTTTGAGTGAGGCACCTCTCTTCAAGGCAGACTATGTAACATTCAAACAATTTGGGTGGGAGCTTGGGCTTAGTTGTGTGGATCCTCACAAGTTATTAGGATGATCAATGCTGACCACCTTATAGCGGCAGTCACATTATACCCATCAAGCGATGTTTGCACAAATACAGACTGTCCGTGTATCGTTCCGCTTAAGAAGGAGACACAGCAGCAAGCCGTTGTGTATACACATGATCTCGGTGTTCAACCAGCTTGGTATATACATATATACTGCCCAAGTACGTCGCCCTATGTCCCAACTGAGGTTGATGTTTACGTGCATGACATAAATCAGCTTGCAAAACAAGCTATCACAACAACTACAGTGTTTGTGATGGGATACGCACCTATTACACAGGGATACCCACCTATCTCCAAGTGGGCGAGCACCAGTTTGTTGATCACAAAGTCGCAAAGATGTGGCGAAATCAGATGTTGCTCGGTTGGTGGGTAGAGGCTTCGGCTCAAGTTTGTGTTAAACATTGACATGTCATTACTCTAATAGGTTCTCAGCCTCAAACGCTGCACGTTTATATACAAGTACTCTTTCTGATGATGAGTATTTAGTAAGCTGGGGTCTGAGTGATAGGCCAACAACAGACCATGTCTGGGATGCCTTCATCATTCTTTCCCTCCTTGAAGATCATGTGTCGCAAGGAACACTCTTGACAGTGCCGCATACAGGCAACCAATGTGACTGGTTCAGGGTAGCCATGGAGAATAGGACCAGTCGGATAATAATGCAGGGTCAGCCGGATGCAGTGCACCATGTCTGTGACAAGTGTATGCGGGTTTTTGAGGAGCGAGATGGAGAGTTCCGTGAGTGCCAGCTAACAACCCATGTTTATATGCTCATTTTGCCAAGTAGGGAAATGTCAGGTCATCGTCGCTGATGGGATTAGTATTGGCCGCCCATGCTGTGGCGTATTCCGGTGCACTGAGCCCCTTCCAAACAACCGACATCTTTTTTGCATCACACATGATAACCTCCACAACATATGTCATGTTGTTGGCTGTGACGAACCTGTTGTCGTGAAGGAAACTATTGTGGATGGAAAGGTTATTTCTAAGAGAGGAAAGGCATGCGTGCTACCAGTGCATCAAGCGATGGAGAAGAAGAAATTTGCGAAAGGAAAGGCTGCTTTTATCCTGAAAGACAGATTTAAAATGGCACAAGGTTCTCATCCCACAGAAGCGATCTCTGCTGGGGAGGAACAGCAAGAACCTGTTGTTGAAGAAGACATCGAGGTGTACTACACTGCTGGAGATGAAGTTATCCTTCACAGCGAGAAAAACCCTGGTACAGTAGGTGTTGTAGATGAAGTGTCCGAACCATGTCCATCAAAGGCCCCAATGGGTAATAACCTCAAGCCGCTCAAAGCTCTATTCAACCGACGACGCACTCATAACGAGCAAACCTTGGTACGGCCATGTGGTGTTATTTATGCACGCGCAACAATGTATGGCGCCGAAGCCGTCTCAAACTTCCTCATTATGGTCAAGAACGCGTTCTCGGTTCCAGGTGCACAGAAGCCCGACCATATTTTTTACGACACCAACTGTGATGCAAAGCAACAAGCTATGAATGACAGCTGGTTTGACGACGTGGGGATGTGCGTCGACGTTTGGCATTTCCTGAACAAGCACAAAGTCACCCACCGCTTCTGTCAAGAGAATTGTAATCCTGCAATGTACCCTGAACTAGAAGACGAGGACGGGAATTGGTATTTCAACACCTCAGTTGCTGAGCAAACTAACGCGTGGCTGGGAGGGTACCATTCCATGTGTCGGGAAATGCTACCGGCCAAGTTTGACTTCTTCCTTGACGAGATGATCAGATTGAGGAATGTTGAAGTCATTGCAAGGTTAGCTGCAGCAGGACATCATCCCTCTACATTGTAGTTATACTTCGCGATGCAAAAGAAATCAATTGCTATACATATTCGTGTGATGAGTTACAAAACAATACAGACAAGTACAGCTACTGAGATAAGTAGAGCTACAGAGACAAGTATGGCTACAAAGCAAATGGGCTAATTAAGAACAATGTGAGGGAAGGGTACGTGGTAAAGGAAAGACTGGGTTACTTGAGAGGGACCGAACAAACAAAATTGGACCAGAGTCCAGCTGGAGTATGGTTAGCCGCAAGTGTGGCTTCGCACTGTTCAGGCGTCGCTATCTTCCACCTCTGAAGTTGGTCATAGAAGGAGCGGCGTGGTGGTGGCGGCAACCTGAATGCAGCCTCGAACCGAGACTCCCACTGAGGGTTTGTAGCTTTTAGTTGACGATATTTCCGAAAGCCAGCCACCATGTCAACAACATGGAGCTGACTGTACCAGCACTTCTTTGAGGCTATTGAGGGCGAGCCTTGGGAACGAGTAAAGGTAGAGGTGGATGCTGAAGGGAGCGGCTGTGGCGAATCTTCAATAAGAATGGGCAACAATGAGCTAGCGGCATCAGGAGACTGGAGTCAGACACGCTTCGGACTCGGTACAGGAAAAGAAGGGGATCGGCGTCGCTTTGAGTTAAGTGGTCCTGCCGTTTCTTGCTTAACCATCGTCGTCGAGTCAACAAACTCCACTTCGGAGTCATCACCCTTGACGGATGGAGGAGCCTGCTGCTTCAATTTCACCTTCTTTCCCTCCCTCACACTCTCCCTCTCCCCTCTCATGTTCGTACGATGATGGGGTGGCTTTTTGGACAGCCGGTCAATGTACTCCTCGAAGTTCTTACAATGGATCCCTCTTCGACGATAGAAGAGGTAGCCATCTTTCGAAACTTCGTGAGGGTACGAGAGGTCAGCGTGAATCCACAGGCAATCCTTGGGATCATAGAAGTCGAGTGGCGGAGCGCAGAGCTGTTGGAGGATGGTTGGTGATTCGGCAAGGACCCACTTTGGCCAGGCGGGACAGTGGAGAACTGGAAACGTCGTTGGTTCTTCATCAGCCTGGATATATGCACAGTCAGTAACCATGTTCACTTTTCAACGAAAGCCGTACCTTGTCCCAGAAGGTGATCCTGAATTTACGGGACAGGTCGAAGTCAACCTGAGATTGCCCCCTCTTTGGAAGCGGCTGCTTGGTTCGGTCCTCATGTGCTCGCATCCATCGTGCATCGAGATGAGTGGTTCTCGCCGGTTCCTGGCGCATTGTAGTGACAGACATGACAGTGCGCAACCGCCGAGATGAGGCCGCTTTTGGACTGAGAGCATTGATTGTGGTCGCAGCTCCTTGCGGCTGCCAAGAGGAGGGTGTTGGGGAAAGGGCAAGATCAGCTTGCTGAGGCGGACTACGGTGGTCAGAACTATCAGATGGTGGCACCGACTGTTGAAGAGGGGAATCGTGTTGAACAGGTGAGTCCAATGCCACTGGGGGTGGAAGTGGTGACGGATTGGGGGTGTATGCGGGGGAGGCCATGGATGCAGCAAGAGCCGCTTGGTATTCCATCTCCTCCTGGTCCTCCAACTCCTTCTCGCGCCTTTCCTCAGCAGCCTTTTCCACTTCTATCTCCAAGCGTTGTCTCTCCATTGTCACCACAGCTGAAGGCCAATTAAAATCCTCTGCATCGAAGTTGAGGTTGAGTTGGGGAGACAACGTTAACGGCGGATGATTGAGGGGAATGAGAGGTGATGGCGGTCGAAGAGAATAAGAACGGTGCGGGAAAGGGTCCACGAGTGCGCGTTTCTTCTTCTCACGTTTGGACATCTTGTCCAAGCGATGGGAAGTAATTTTGCAGCCGCCTTTGCCTATGCAACAGTTTTTGCAGGACTTATTCACACAGAGCACATTGACGCTCTTCGTGCAATCCCTCGTTGGACAGGGAATTCTTCCTACGGCGGCCGAGAGGGGTGTAGGTGACGGATGACGGACGACATGTTTCTGTGAGCTTGAGCCTGCAGAAATGGTAAGGGCCGGCGAGCGGTGGGAGACGCATTGGCAACGCTTCGGGAAGGTGTAGTGATAATTACACCCAATGCACTTGAAAGTGTCGTTAGTGCTTTCAACTGGCAAAAGGAGTAGAAAGACTATACATGTATGTATAAATGTCCTGGGGCACATCCAGAAACCGCAGGTCCTGAAACCGGGATCATGTTGTGACAGTTGGGACATTCACAGAGTCCAGCCGTGTGGTCGTGTGGAAGAATTGAGTCCATGGTCATGAAAGAACGTAAGGGGTCGTGAGGAAAAGAGAGGAAGAGAGTGCGCCGGTAGCGCTCTACTCAGCGGGCGAGCAAATGAGAAGCAGAGTGGAAAGGATAGAAATCGTGGAAGGCGCTTCGTTCTGACAAATATGCACTCGGAGTTTTCCGCCGCACAAGTCGCCGCACAGTGCGGCGGTTGTGTGCCGCACTTTCGAATTCAAATATTTCCTGGATCAATTTGGCAGGGCCCTCTGCCAAATTTGATTCCTCCGGAATTCCAGGAATTCCCCGGATTCCGCCGGATTCCGGCAGGAATCAATGGAGGACAATAAAGACCTCCAAGTGACATAAGTGAATGTGTAGTTTTCCTGATGACTAAGGCTGGCAAGCTTTTTTTGTCTTTCATAAATGCGACTATAGTGGGTGGTTTTGATTACCCAGTGCGTATACCTCTGACTTCTGGTCTGAGGATCCTCTCAAACATAATCGCAGTCTCATAAGGGTAGCTATGAGTTGATGGCAGGCGAAAAGGGGGCGAGCGATAGCAGCGTCGTCGATATCATGTGTACGCACATCAAGTATTTCTATGTAGATATTTAACAAGTCTTGTACATCTAGGTGTAAATCAGGACTCCTTTGTGTTTGCATGCTCGTACACCTTTCACGGTTCGGCGCTCGCAGGCCCGTACCATTTTCGCGTCAATATCACAAATGACGAGGGTAACACCGCACTGTCGGATACCTTCCAAATCACTCCCGGCTCGTTCGACTGCCTCACGCCCCCACCGCCAAAGTTCAATATCATGTCCACGAGTGACCCTAATTACCGATCACTTGTCATCACATCTCCCGCTGCTGGCGACGTTTCCAGGTTGGGCGCCGTCATGTTTGTCAGCTGGGGCTATGTGGTGAGTATCCATATCTTATCCTGGGTAACTTTATGCTCACCACGTTATTGCGCACTGGCAGGATGATCGCAATGCCGGGAACGCCAATATCACAAATCTAACTTTCGAATTGGTCAGCGAAACAACAGGAGAGCTTTCGAAAGTCAAGTAGCTGATTCAGATGCCCTTTTCACCCGCCAAACTGCTTTCACGTTGAACTCCACGGGCCTGTCGCCTGGTGCTTGGAGAGTTCGCGGGAATTACTCGAACGGTTTTGAAAATGGGGGACAGACGGTATCCGCTATCTCAGATGTTTTCTATATTGAAGGGTCGGACGAAACTAAGTTTTGTGATGGTTTAGGGCAAGGGAGCAAGAGTGCAACAAGAGTGGGGAGCTGAAGAACTTTGAGACGAATATTACGCAATGGAAGGGACAAACGGTCCTTTGCTTCTTAGGCGTCCTCATGTGGTTCTACTGACTTGCCATAAATGATCAAATTTTATTTGTTGCCGTCGCTAGGAAAGTGACGAAAAAGGATTTCACTACAATCGAATCTTACATCCTTTTAGTCCTCGGAGTCGTAATCGTAGTCTGTCAATTCCGAATCTGATGATAAGAGCATCAAATCTCCACGCATTTTTGAAACACTGAAGCTCCTCTCCCTTGCGGCTTTATTCGGTTTCTGACCCCCTCTTCCACCTTTTCCTCTGCTCGCAGTTTGGGCCCCGGCCAAGAGCTTGTCGTATCCACGGAGCCTAGTCGCAATATCCGCTGCAAATACATGGTCATAAGAGACGCACTCCATGCGAAGAATATCGATCGCCTAAATTAATTGAGTTCAGGATCACTCCCAAACTACGAGTGTGAAGTTGTGGATTCAAGCATACCTCATCTCCACGAGAAAACGCTCCGGTTATATCCTGAACGGTTACATGACGACCTGTCTTGCTCCTGATTGCAGCCATTTCCGCGATTTCAAGCGCATTTTCATTTGGTTCGTCAACCAGACCATACTTCTTTAAAGCTATTCGAGCTAGCATAGACACGTAAACATCGTATCGTAGTGACTTGAGAATAAGCTTTCCCCAGTTGTCTTTGACCTGCGGAATATACGTGAGTCACGATGACAGAAAACCCACTGATACAACTTCGACGACATTACCGCTTGTTTTTGCGCCCTAAACTGCTCCGTCGTCATCTTCCCACAAAGAACACTGTTAAATTCGCCGAGGTAGCGCCATCTCGGTTCCTTGCCCACCATGCTTCGACAGAAAAGAGACCATGGCGCGTTATATAGTATTTCGTGTCTCGAAGCGAATAGTAGCCCAGGTTCACCAGGACGTGTCGGCATCGCTGGATTCATGTTGAGCATTGGAAAAACCATACGCCGCTTCTTAGGCCCGGATGGATTAAGCGGGGCTCTGATATATTGTAGGAGTTGTTGGCCATTACCGCCGTATGCGAGTGAGATCAATCTACGAGGGACAGATGACGTTTCTGGAGATGAGATTGCGAGAGGAGCGCAGTCTTTCAGATATGATGATATGATTGAAAGGGGAAGAGTGAATGCTTCATCCTTGATCTTGATCTTCAGATGAGGATCGTCGTCCTGAAAAACAACAATCAGCAAAACAGCAGACAGGCCGCCAACGGATCTACCTGATGGAGTATATTATCAATAGGAGGAGTAGGTTGCACCTCACCGAATTGCGACCCGGTGGTTGCAACGGCGTCTAATTCCGGGCGTGTATTCAAAGAGGAGGATACAGGAGACGCCGTTTCCGGGAGGTGGGCCGAGGTCGAGGCTCGTGGATTCATCTGTTCCAGCTTCCGCCTCTTTTCATTCCCTCCCGTGTTCGGACTGGCCACGGCTAGATCGTTTTCGGGGTCAAAAGACCTTTTATGTGAGGGTATTTCCTTGACAGACTGAATGCGTATTTCAGGGCTACTAACAGCTGAAGGTAAAGCAGAGGATTCGTCCATCTGCAAGTATTTGCAATCAGAATGAAGAAACGACTATAAAGGGAGACTCACCACAACTGTGACTTTGCTATGAATGATGGGAATGGAGTTGGATTTGATAGACGAGGGGGATGGTTTCGAATCATCCTGTTAACGTCATTTACGTGATAAATGAAGGAGATAAAGGTCGAACTCACAGGTTTTACGATTTGGATTTCTTCAACTTTGTGATTTTTTCGTTTATGTCTGGGCTGTTGGTCCGCGTGTCAGTTCTGGGTCGGCTGGCCGTACTTCTATGAGATCAAACCTTCTCTCGCTTGGCCTCCGAGTCAGTAATCGGCTTCTCCGCTGTCAGGTCAATCTAGATGGGAAGTCAAGTCTGTTGTCAGAAAGCTGGACGCCATATTGCATCTTGACTCACCACAGCATCATTGTGCGCTTCAGCCAAGAGACGGCGGAGATCTCCAATCGTGCATTCCGACTCGTCAACCTGCGCCTGTAGTTTCACAAGCTGAGTTCTGAGTTCGGCAACCTCCTGTCGGTATTTGTCTCGTTGTAGTCGAAGAAGGCTGTCGTGCGGTTGAGTAGACGTTAGAGGGGAAAGCTTATTCTTTCTATCATGTTGAAAGGGATCCAAATTCATTGATGGTGTTGAGGCTTGGAATCAAGACTGAAAGGAGTGATAATGGTAATACGAGAACTCCACAAAGATTAGGGGATGGGTCCGGATCCTTCCGGCTGTATGTATTTGAAATTTGAATGGGCCCCTACAAAGTCTCAGACGAAATTCAGGAAATAAATTACGCATGGGGAGTGATAGATGCGAGTGGCGGCAAACGGTCGACGAGAACGAGCGAGGGTTCCAGTCTGTCCTCTTCGAGGCAAAAATACGAGGAGCACGTCAAAGGGAAGAGCGTACCATTTTCTCACGTCTGAGTGTGACGGAATACTCGACCAGCCTACTTTATTTCACCTCAAGATTTATTTGAGATGCTGGTAAAAAATTCTGGTCGATTCGAAACTGATCAGTACAGTCCTAAATTCAAGTGGATCATGAAGCAAACCTACCTGAGCGTCGACGAACGTGAATTACGAATTTCTTTTTACTTAACCATGTGAGAACTTGAAGGGTGGCGGTAGAGTTTGTATCAAAGGAAACAAAAAGGAAAAGGAAAACGACCACGAAGGTAGGACCTAGAGGTACACAAGGGTGGCAGGCTTCTTGAACAAGATCTCTTCAGCGGAGAAGAGGAAGGGGGCAAGGAGGAGGTGCGATGCAACCCCCAGACACGCCAGTTCCCTTGATATCGAGATCCAATGCAGAAGATGAGGACCGGACAATTGGCTGGGAGGGTAATGCACCGATGCCGCAGCATTTGCATTGAAAAGTGCGGTAGGTGCCGGTGCAACATTATAAACACGGATAGTTTTTGAGATGACCTGCGCTGGTTTATGTGTTACTTTACGTTGGGTCCAAAAAGACTAGAGGGGCACGTACCACAGGTTTTCCACGGCTGCTGAATATATGGGTGGAGGCGCAAGTTGGTGTACCTACGCGATCGTCGACGAAAGCTTGCAAAAGGCCACGGGTTGAAATACCCGTCAGCGGCAAGTACCCCCGTCTTGACTGTATACACACCTCCGACGTTGATGCGCCGATGGCTGGACATCGGTCGCACAGGGTTCGGGCTAAGGACACAGCGTTTGCATATAGTAGTGTGGAATTACCGCAGGTATCGTTGGAGAAGAGCTTCTGCATGTTTGCGTTGATTCAAGGCCAGTGGTCGTATTAGAAGCACGTCTGTACGACGACGTTCGTTGAAATGGTTGAGTACATTTTCGGAGGCGCAAGCAGCAAGAACCTGCAGGGCAGAGAGTTTTGGAGGATGAGTTATGAGCTGAAATGCGCAAGGTAGGAGAGGAGAATTGACTGGAGCGTAACAAGTGAGTGAGCGTGCTGGTTTGCCTCTCACTGAGCACGTTATCAGCCTCCGTCTTGGCCCATGCCTCCCTCCCTCTCCTGCCCCCCTGCGCTTCCGCCAAACCACCTGCTCCCTCCGAATTCCCCGAGAACGCACAGCTGCTTCTCCGAGCCACGTTTCTCCTTTACACTCGAGTGTTGACTACCAGTTCCGCTGGGAGACAGGCGTTGTTCGACTTCACTGTCCGGTGATATGCAGCTCGTCGGTGTAGCCCCTCGCGGATGGTGTGCATGTCCTCCGAGTTCGCCTCCTTAAATCCGGAGCTACGCAAGGGCTTTGTGCGGTGGTCGGCAGTGGGCATTGTCTTACAAGAGAGAGCTCTTCTCCTCGAAGATGGTAGTCTGGCGAGTCTAGGCCATTAGGAAATTTTGTCAGGCGAAGATTTGTGATGTGCTCCGAGACAAAGAGGAGGGTCCATCCTGTTGGTCGACTAGTTTTTCGCATTCAGCAGGGAGTGAGCTGACTGTGGGCAACGGCGACTTCGCGAAGACTCTGATGTTGCGAAGCCGGCGATGATGGCCAAAATGAGGTGACATCAGCCGCGCGCGTCCCTCTTATCGCGTCCTGGAGGTAGACTCTCGAAATCTCGTCTCTCGAGTTTCCAACAACCAACAACAACCGCAAATTCGCTTCCTGGACCATGACCGCAACGGCGGGACACCTTGTCCCAGGCTAATGCAAGACTCATCCGCCCGGCAGCACCATGAGTGTACATTTTAAGTTCGGGCGCCATATTAGAAAGTGGGCGTTATTGGAGAAGAGCTGCTATAAATTGATGCAGAAGCTGATATCGGGTTAGAAAGAGGAGTGGTCGTATAAGCGGCACGTACCACAGGTTGGCTACAGTCGTTGATGGGCTCGGAGGCGCAGGGGAGTATAACTTCGTCCTCTTCGGTGGAAGCCTGAAAAAAGTCACGCTTCAAGTCATCGTAAGCTGCAGGTACGCCCGCTCCAGCGGTATCGAGCTCCGATGAAGAAGATGACGACTACACACGCAGTTGCAAGTGTTTGGGGCAAAGGACGCAGGATCACAGGAATCAAGTCGTCGATAATGATGTGAGATAAAAACGCAGGCATGATTTCAGCTGAACTGCTGCGAGCTTATTCGTTAGTTGAGATTGAGTTCGGCAAGACTAGTGGTCGTATGGGATGCACGCACCACAAGTTCGCCATCATCGTAGGGAGGCGCGAGCCAGTATACCTTCGTTCCCGTGGGCCACTCCTGTCAGCCGCAGGCCCCCTTGTTCTCGAAGTATAAAGCTTGGATGATGACGGATATTGGTCGCGACGGTTCTGGTTCGGGGACATAGCGTTTTCACAGCGTTTGGTACTGGTATGGAATTGGTGCGGACGTTCTCGGACATTACTGCGAGTTTACGCGTTGATTTAGATTGTATTTGGAAAGATGAGTGGTAAACGTACCGCAGGGTTACTGCCATCGTTGGGTATACCGTATACCTACTATGCTCCGAGGCTCTTGAAATCGGGGTTGAATTCTTCCTCCCTTTGGAAGTGGGAGAACAGTAAACGCGAGCGGCGGTCGTGGTGAGCAAACTGTCCACAAAAGCGCACCAGTCAGTCCTCTGACGCGTCAACGCTTTCGCCAGGCAGGAGTGCTGTGCCATGTGTCACGTCCGCAACTCTGACACGACGCGTCATTCCGTGACTGGACCTGAGTAAAGTCACATGGTTCTTGCATGGTTCTCATCTTCCTCTTCCTATCTTATCTCGCAATCTCCACACTTCGACCAATCTCTCAAAGCTACACCTCAAAGTTCCAAGTGGACATGCCGGACGAATCTTCCGGCGCGCTAACGTCCTTTGTGCAGAAAACCTTTGAGCATCTCTACGAGTCGTACGACCCCAACGAGGAACCCGAGTTTCTTGACTCATTGTTCGCGCATAAAGCATTTCCAGAGAAATCTGCGTTACAAGCGGAATTGGAAGCAGAATTAGGTTCGGGGGAGTCGATTAAGCCAGGGCTCGACATCCGGATCAATCACAACCCTATCCTCCTTCCCGGACTGAAAGACTACCTGGTCAGAGCAAGGGAGGGCGGGAGCCATGCGAAAGTGATTTTCAAGGATGTCTTTGAGGTTCCAGAGGTACGAGCTGCTTAATGGAGTTATGTTGTGGATGAGCTCATTTGACGTCATTGAAGGAAGGAGGTGGAATTGTTGCGGGGTTTTTCACCGTCACTCGCAACCTCAAATTCAGAATTCGTGCCGGGCCTGCACAAAGGATAGAGAGTGTGTCATTCAGCGCCAAGTACGGACGAATATTCTCCACCTCATTATACCATAAGCTAATACCTTTGTCGGTTAGGCTGGAGCGCACTGCTGGCGATGATTTTCGTATCATCCAGCTTTATATCACAACGGTGAATAAAGCTGCGCCTATACACTTACACGGGCTGTTTGGCTCGGATAGTACACACGCCGCTGGGAGAGAGGAGGAGGCTAGTATCAACCCGGCGCTTTTGGAAAAAAAGGGCTAGAGGCCGATGGGCGTGGGATGGATAACAAGAAACCACTGGTCGTTTCACAGAGTATCTGGGCTCCCGGTTAACCTTAGGTATGGTTGAGAAGTGCTAATTCAAATTAAAACGCTTTGAATCGTCAAGAGTAGAATATAGGGCGGAGTAAAAAAAATAGATAAGTCCATGACGTTTTTATGGAGTCGACGAATTTTTATCCTAGCGGAAGGGTCCTTATTTTAGATACATACATCCGATGATGTCCCACGGCCATGATCGACCCCTGTTCCACGTGCTCCAGTCAGACCTTATTTTTAGAATCAACAAACCGGCGTTTGTAATTTCGTGCTTGCCATGCTCTGCAACGCCGGACAGCTACTTACAGCTCCAGGAGCTCGCCAACCTCAATTCTGGCATTACTAGAGTTTGTGGAGGAAAGTGAACAACTGTCCTTCAATACTTATCTGTCTGCTCTTATTCTGTCACGTCTCCCGCCCCCCTAACTCCATACGAAACCAGTTCCCGAACAAACCGCGGACCTCTCCTTTGCGGACTTGCCACATGCAGCGGTAGCCCAGTAACGCACAAAAATGCGACTCCAACTGGGGACGAAAAAGGCGATCATAGAAGAAACGAAGCCTCGTTCCTCGGACTCGGAAAATGACAGGAAAGAAACACCAAGACAAGAGGTTCCTGTTTCACTGCACAATTTTTGTCCTCTGGCTTAGTGAAACGAACAGGAGATAAGCAGGAATATTGGAAGCGGCTTGCCGTAGAATCCCTGATAACAAGTATAATTATGAATACCAGCGACTCCTCAAAATCGTTCGATCTCTTGTCGATCTCTAACCCGTCAAACCAAGAAAGGCAAGTTTCTTGAATATCACAAGTCTGCCTTGATACTGAACGGACGACCCACGGCATTAGCAACTTGGGAAGTCATTGGTTTCAGGGAAATTCTTGGTCAAACGTCGGATCAGCGTAAGTATATTCTTGCGTATATATGTGACACTCATGCTCCCCCTACAAATCGACTCTCCGCACCCTCCACCTGTCCCCCAGCTGAACGAGCCCCCTCCCCCTCAATAACTTGGCGCACCATGTACCTCTCCTCCGGCTCTTCGGAGACGAATCCTCTGCCGCAAAACGACAGAAGATTAAAGGTTGTACAATCCAAGACGGCGCTTGAGGTGGAACGCCTGGTTTCCAAATCATATATCCTACGCCCGACGCCTCTTCCGCGATCACCATCAGCACTTCAATCTCCATCTCCATCGGGGTCGTTTTCTGTCTCTGAAGAGAAGGCGAGCAGTGAGATTGAACACAAATCTCCTTCCCTCTCGCACTTCAAGCATGCGGACGAACGCGTCCTCCACGCTAACTCGACGCTTCCACGTTCGCACTCCGATCACAAACCGAGACCAACATCGCTCAACGCCTCATTTTCTCCTCCCAAAGTATACGATCTCTCATCCATCACGCCTAGTAATACTAGCAACTTTTCCTCATCTGAGAAAGATGTGCTACGGAAGCGTGTAATCAAGCTTCGGAAGATGCTTGGGGAGGACATTCATCCAGAGTTGCTGAACCCCTCCCAAAATGGGGAAAATAGGGGTAGGTATGACTGGGTTTTTGGGAGGCCCACAATCCTAGGATTTCCGACGCGTTCGACAAAGTCTACGGCGTCCTGGAGCAATTCTGAGGGACACAAAAAGTTTTCACGAGTAACCCATCTCTGGGAGAAGGCCACGCCTCGACAAATTGTCAGCGACTACCGTCCATCGTTCCGGATACCTTGCATGTAGTATTTCGAAAAAGTGAGGCTACGACGCCCCCATTCTTCCTTCATTGATAAGAAATTTCAGGGTTGCTGACAAAATGGAATGACAGCGGAGGTGTGCCGGAGGTGGAGATTAGCATTTATCTTGTACGTTCTGATGGAAGGTTGCCTATGTACTTTTACTTAGCAGATTCCCTTAAACCTCTTTCCTTCGCTTAATCAAAATCAACGTGAGCAGTAGATGGCATACAAATTGGTGAATATCAGGAGCGCGAGAATATCTTTCGAGGGAGTTTAGACGTAGAGGACCCCTGGAGGGATCCCATAAAAGCTGGCACGTGATGCATCACGCAAAAAAATTGATGCCATTGCTTTTGCAAATTGCCGATAACAACAACTTTGCAGTCACTTAGTATTGGAGTCTTCTGCCTGGTTGGCTACTCTCTCGGGTTCTTGGCTCTATGTCGGAACGTCGTAAACAAAATTTGCTACCGCATAACCAAAGCAAAGAGCTCAATCGCCAAGTTCATTGCTTGCTCGTCGGCCTCAACGCCCATTGAGCCCGACGTTTCCAAGACTTTGCTGTATTGGTAAAGGGCTGTAAAATTACGATGCTGGAACGCGCTGGACTCACAAGGCGCGTATTATCGATCATCAGCTCCTGCTCCGATTAATAATGATCAATTCAAACCAGGCCGCGACGAAAGTCAGCCACATTAGCGGGGTGACTGTCATCCACCCCAAACTCATTTCAGTTCTCGGCCGCCACTATCCAATTCTTACCTGCAGGACAGGTCGCTTTCATTTTCTAGATCTTCCACTCAACCCTCTTCCTCGCAATGATCAAGCCTTCATCCGACCCCCAGGAGCATTCCGCCGGTTCCCTACGACGTAATCCCCAATTTCCCCGACAAACTAGAATAGCTACTCCTACCATATTCACAGAAGCCGACTTCGTGGACTCGTCACCATCATCTTTGAAGAGATCTTACAGGCCCTTGTCCCGGGCCCTAGACTCCCAAAGAATCACGCCAAAGTACAGACCGCGGTTCGCCTCTTTGCCTCACCCGATTCCTTCCGAGCTCCAGGCCCAGATAGATATTGACAATGACAGGATCGCTCGCGGTCTTGCTAGCCCTCCTCTCACTGATTTTAGTACTTTCGAAGACACCTATCGCGGTCCACGTGGCAAAGGATTCGAGGGCCTTTTTGCTCCGAGCGTAGAGCCCAAAATCAAGCCTATCTTGAAGCGAAATCGGAGCTTGTCCGCTGGAGTTTCTAACGCGCAAAAGACCTTTTCACCGTTAAATCTGTCGTCGGATAGGAAACCAGACCCTCGTCGTATTGTGGCGGCTCTTGAGCAGGTGCTCAATCTCGGACCTCAGGACGTAGGAGAGCATCTCGACATCCATGAGTTACTTGGGATGCACCAGTTAGATCAGCTCAATTTCGAGGAGAGGGACGCAATTAGGTCGCAGACGTTCCATGGTGGTCGACAGGCAATGCAGGACTTGAGTGAGTTAGTTTTCAACTCTCCCGGGTCTGACCTCACACTTCTTTCGCAGCTGTATTCGGAGAGCATTTACGGAAGGTTTCGATCTACGCTTCTATCAGTGTAGTTCTTGGTGGTCGAGATCACGAATTGCCTGTTGTTGTCGTCAGTGCTGTCGAAGAGTTGTATCGAACGGGTAAGCTTGCGCCCTCTTTCCAATACCTGTCTGCTGACCCATTGAGAAGGAATCTACCAACACAACCTATTCCGTACTCTCCCTAACCGTGCTCGTCTCCTACAACTCATCAGCATCTTCGACTCTCAGCGTCAGCCCGCGGGCGAAGGTACACGCCATCGAATACCATCCGGGGAACTACCCAATCCCCCATCCGGTTTCGGAGCCGATACTTCACTCCATCTAGAGTCGACCCCAGACATCTGCGCCCTCCTCTCAACGTACCTAGCATCCCTTCCAGAACCTATCCTCCTTCCTACCCTTTTCCGCGCCGTCTGGGACTGGTGCGGGGTAGCGGAAGAAAACAACGATCTCGACGGACCCCATCGTTTCTCAAGTCGCCTAATTGCTACCCAAACGCACGAAACAGACTCTACCCGAATAAAAACCGCACAACTACTCCTCCATCTCCTCCCATCTCCCAACTTCTCCCTATTGGTCTACCTGCTATCGTTCTTCAGCCAAGTGGTATTGGTGCGAGAAGAAAATGGCCTTGGGGTGGAGGATGTAGGTAGGATGTTTGGCGGTAGGATTTTCGGCGGAGGGACAACGCGCAAACACCACGGATCAGGCGGTGAGCGTAGGAGGGAGGGGGAGACTATGATGTGTTGGTTTATGAATCGTTGGGGAACTATCTCTGAGGGATTGTTTAATGTCGTTGAGGAGTTGACATCGAGGAAAGAATCGGGCGATGTACAGGTTAAGACTGCCAATGGTTCGGTTGGCACGTCGGGACAGACCCCAAAGAGTGCTTCCTCCGGAGACTTTGGGGGTTCACCCTCTACCTCTCCTTCGACTTTGAACCTCCCTTTCATTCGCCCTTTAGAGATCGGAAAGGGCTCTTCAAGTCAGCTACCACCCTCTGCCAGCGGGACTTTGCCTGTGAACGACCGCCATTCTCCTCCCAAGCGCATAGACAGCATGTCCGACGGAAACGGGTTCAAAGTTGGAAACAATCGCCCACTATCCGCCGTGGAAAATCGGGCGACAAGTCCACCAGAAGCCGACGCTTATCATTTTTGGGGCAATCGTCACGCTGAAACGTCCGACAGGAAACTAAGAGAGCCCAATAAAGTTAAATCTGGTACCGAGTTGCTCCTCTCGCTCGCTCTGTTTCACTGACCCATCTCACAGTATTCCTGTCACCCTCACCAGCCTCCTTGAATGACCGCCTAGATGTCTATTCGGCCCAAGACATCAGCTCAGAGGCCGCAAGCATTAATTCCGCTCCAGCACGTACGTCCCGTCTTCATATCACCTCCCCTATAAGTCCGCTCACATCCATCAAGTCGAGGAACGTCTGCTGGACATCTCTCCTCCCTCCGAAACCGAAGACACGAATCAAGAACCCTCATCATCTGCATCCACACCACGACCCTCCAGCGCGCAAACCAACCCGGAATTATCCCAAGCCCTCTCGCACATCCTCTCCCTAGAGCTCAAACTCAAGATGAGCGAGCTTCTTATCGAAGAGTCTGCACAGGAAAATGCGAAGGCGACGGAGAAAGTGTTGGCGTTGGAAAACCGTGTCAAAGAGCTCGAGCTGCAGGTTAAGGGTGGAGACGGTGCGAGGATGGGTGTCGGGGTCGGTGCTGATGTGCATGAGGATGGAGATGGGTGCGGGCAACTGGTGGGGTCAGATGGGGACGTGGTTTCGCGCACTCGATTGGAGACAGCGTTGGGGGAGCGAGATACTGCGAGGAGGCTCGTCGCGGACATAAAGGACCTCATAGAGCACAAGCCTTCTGTCTAACTCGGCTTTTGTAGTGAATATCGGTATTTTATGAGGGCTGAATTCTACCGTCGGATCGCTTCATGATCGAAATATTGTGTTGCAGCTAAGGGAGCTTCGTCTAGAGGCTTATGTATGGCGGTGAGAAAGATATGTAACTATGGGGCGTATGGTATGCAAAGAAGATTGGATAATCATGCAATATCATAACCAAAAATACATCACATAAATCAGTTTCCAGAAACTCGGTACCAGTGGGGTGTTTTGCTACCTGATGTGCGCATTTGCGTCTCTACATGATACCATCTAAAACGGTGTACTTCACTAGATATTACTTAGTTTCAAGTGGTCATAGGTAGACGAATATCGTGAGTTGGCGCGAAAGCTAGCTCGTCACGAATATCCAGGATGACTCTACAAGTCAACATGGAGTACAGCATTCGCTGGAACCTATATTCGATGAGAACTTTTGAGTAACAGGTAATAGGACAAGGTAACACACATAGAAAGTAGGCTATAGTAGCCAAGCTAAACAGGAGCGAAAATCTTCAACAAAAGCTTTACCTCGGACACTTCGGTATCGACACTTACAGGGTAAATCATGACGATATTGAGTAAAGTAAAGACTAGGGTTTGGGCATCTCGTCAACAGAAAGAAAGAAAAACAGTCACGTGATTCTCACCAAAGATATGAAGGTAATAGATCAGACCTGAACACTCGGTTAGCGTAAGTTCGTAAGGGGAAATCGGATTTCTTACCATTCTGGAAGACTCTTTTCACAAGTGTCTTTCGCCTTAATTCACCTCCGGAAGAGCTCAGCCTGACTGACAGAACCACCTTAACTTTAGAAGAATATATCGGAAGTATGCGCGCGGGGACATACGCGCTGGAAACGCTCTAATAGCCATTAAAATCAGAATGCCTTTCGTCCTTTAGTTCAGACGTGTAAGTTTATAACGAAAAGGAACACACCTAAATCGTATAGGAGAACCCCCACCCAACAAGCGAATACAATGGGCCCAGATGAGGCAATAAAGCATCCAGCGCTTTCTAAGCCACGAGGAGGAACAACGACTGGGAGAGCATGAGATAACGCCATTCAGAGGGAGTGAGAAACAAACGCACATCTTAAGGAACTCTGATAGATTCCCATGAACGTGAATATTCCACCCCAAATCACGATGTAGAAGATGGGGAGGCCGATTGTGAGTCTTCTATCCTTGCCCCAAATACCCCATGTTCGTATCGTAAGAAGAACTTGGCATCAAGAGGTCAGAGAACTGGAGGGGAAGGGGGAACCGTTTTCGAACTCACTTTCAGCCTCGGCTATACCAATCACCAGCACCCCTACCCAATATTTCAGTGGAAACTTAATGGAAACTTTACGGAAATACGTACATGCAGAGACTTTGTAAACAATGCTGCAAGTCTCTGGTGACGACCCATCCAAAGAGATATCTAGTAGAATCACTGGTTCAGCTTTTTCTTCGTGTGATTTGATTGACAATAAACTCACAGTACAATAAACCCACTGAGTCGAGAATAGGCATATAGCGAGTTAGAAGGAAGAGTATTTTAATGACGTTCCACCGGGATGACCAAATTGACGAGATTTCCCTGTCCAAAGTTAGGAAATAATCGTAGACCTTTTGGATTGGGTATAATTAGAGTGAGGTGTAAGGAATATGACGACGGATGCGCACCATGAGCAGCACAGCTGCCACTAAAGGCTTCGTTAGAACGAGATGTCACAGGCGGTCCGTGACGAACCGATCGTAGACTGAGAGGGAATGGAGTCGGGGAATGCGTTGAATGCAGGAATAAAGGAACTCACATAGTTCATCTGAGAATGCTGCAGGCCCTCTAAAATCTCCGGGAACGACACCTCAGCCATTGACAAACTGAGGGAAGGCGCACGCCGAACCAAGGAGAAAGACAAACGTGCAGATCGTAGGATCAAACCATCGCTTCATGGCCATTCGATACTACTTATTGACAGTAAGCGCCGAGCGTTCGGCTCGTCCCTTTCACAATAGTACCTGATTGACAGGAATACTTGCCATGTGATGGTCTCTAGCGCCGTCGTAGATCGCGTTGCCGCCGGTCCCGAGAGACATCCCGTTCGCTGGACTACCGTGATATCTTGGGTTGCCAAGCAGTGAATGTGATAACGTCGGTGACCAGTCTGAACAATCCGAATCGGAATGTGGTTCTACGTCTTGCAGCTGAAAACGCGGCATCTTGAATAATGACAGGAGCACACGGTTCCGGTGGTTACCAGTTTCCTAACAAATAATGGGGTAAAAAAGCATTCGTATAGATCGATATCTAAATAGATTATCGCACGCTTTAATCGAGTATGGGCCCTCGTTATGTACCTGGATCGTGGAAGCTATGAGACTTATGGGAAGCGGAGGGCGAAGAGGACAGTCTCATACTCCTGGTCTGCTGGTGCACTTTGCATTCAGCTCCCAAAGTAGACTTGAATGCGACGGCTCAGTGGGAGCCTGGGAGGGCATTTAAGAGAGGAAATTCGACATGAGAAGCTTGTGCAATGCTGAAAAGGCGAGGCTTAGCCGATCAATGAGAAATAAAACACCTGCCAGTATCTACAGAACCAACAAATGTGCTAGGCATCGGGGGATATTCAATGTTGAATAGAAAACGAGCATGGCCCAGTTTCAGTCTTGGATGTATACAACGAGAACCTGGAGTCCCATGACTTCAGTCCCTCATCGCCTGCTAGGCAAACATCCTCGAATGCCGAAGGGAGTATGATTGGCCAGGTTGTCTTGAATCAAAATGTCCAGAGTATCTTCGAACATGAAAAACTCCAACTATCGCAAGAACGATGAGGAAGATGAAGGAGGCAATCAGCATGATTGATTGTCTGCACATGAACACGTCACCTGTGGAACATAGACCCCGCTGCGCGGCGACATATGAAAACGGGAACTCACCAGGCGAAATCATATATGATACAAGAATCCAAGCATCCTGCGCCAGCACGGGCATGGCGAACCAGCAGTGGTGCGCATACGGATCCCGACCACTATTTCCGCTCGCCTGATTTCAGTTTGGGTGTTTTCCCTCCAGGATTTGCCTGAGGCCTCCGACCGATGTCGACGAAGCCCATATTTGCGTTGTTAAAGTCAAAATGAGAACCTGTGGTGGTTGGTCAATATCAAAAGTATTTGATGAATGAGGAAGTCTTGAGAAATCATCCACCGCTGTACACGTTCTGGATTCTGGAAGGTCGTAAACGTAGTTGTTCCAGGGAAAAAACACCAACGTCCGAAGAAATACTTCAGCTTCAGTGGTCGCGGTCAAGTCGTGGTCCCGGATTCAGATGTTTGATGTTGTTCAATTATGTCAGCAAGAATTTCCCTCCCCATCATCGTTTGATCATCGTCGTCTCCAACATCACCACCCCAGCCAATGACGGGTATGAAGTTTTGCCCGCCGTGTTTGATGGTTCGAAGACTGCTTCGGAAATGGGCTGTCGTCTCATAAAGCCTTTGTAAGATATCTCGCTGTCTTGTGTGTATGATGTTGATTGCTGCGCCCAGAACTTATCGTAGATCTTGAGTTCACGCGAGGACGACTGAGGACTCTGCGTCGATAGCGTGGGCCTCTGTCGGGCGACCTTCCCGATGGGTCGGTGTTGGCGTGTGGCCATGTCCACTCCGAGCCACCCTCTCTCTTTTCCTCTCTCTTTTCCTCTCTCTTCATCCCAACACCGAACTTGCGTCACCTCTTTAGTTCCCTGAACTCCTATCAAGCTTCTTGAGCCGCCAGGGTGTACCAGGACTCTTGATTTATAGCTTCGTGATGACATAGTTGGTGTCCGCATGCTGCGTTTTCGAATACGGTGGAGATGTCGAAGTTGGAGGGGATTGAATGAACTATACGCAGACGGTTTGAAAGGCGATGTGGGGGACAGGGAAGGGAGATGGAAGGGTAAGTGTTCGTTTCTGCCCAGTCCTGCATGGGTACCTGCCTACGGGCCACTGAGAAGATAATGCTATTAGGCCTTCTCTGCGTCTTTATGCTCTCGTCGCACAACACTTTTGCTATCGATGGATGTTTTGCGCAAGTTTTTCGTCTTGTCTGTGAAATCGCGTGTTAATCGATCCCAACAGCTCCAGCATGTTATCTGTGTAACTCAGTGATGCCCCAAGCATGACCGTCGAGACGTGCATTGACACCTGCGTCTCTGCGAGATATATCAGGTCGGACTCGTTGCTGAATCTCTGTCAGTCTTTTGTTTCTCATCACATCCTCTTAGATTTACATATAATCCAGGGTGTGGAAATGTCGTCAAGCCGGGGAGTGATATCATTAGCAACGAACTGCTCAACGGCGTGCACTATGTTAGGTCTCAAGCTTTTGAGGTGTGGATGATGGACGGGATTGGAGTAGTATAGCTCTATCTTTCCTTCCTCAAGGTCAGTGTAAAATGTGGACGTATGGTCTCATGCATACTACTAATTACAAATGCAGCTGGTTATCCTAAAAATGCGGTCTACATGTCAGGTAGCGAAGGCAAATAGCTAGGGTCATCGAGGATGGTGTGGGTATATGGCTTCCAGTCGTCGTTGGTTTTTGGAAACGAATCAGTTTGCGGTGTAGGACAAGCACAGTCAATTTCGTCAGAGGCAGAAAAGAGATAGAAACCGTCAAGAGAATAGTGTGATCCTGCAAGACAGATAAACAAAGAAGGAGAGGAAGCGTGAGCAATGCTGGTGAAACAGAAAGGGAAATCAGTAGAATCATTTGACGAGCCAAGTCGAGCTTGCAAAGGAAATAAGTTCTGGAGTGACGGAGCCCTAGAAATAGGACGATGGGCGTCCGGGAGAAATAACAAAGGAATATTCGAGGGTTGCGTGATTGCGTCGTCAGCTTCAACAGAATTCGAGCAAAGGAAACGTCCTCCTTGGGTTTTCCTGGAAGAGGGTTCGTGTTCGGGGAAAGCAACATCAGGAGGATAGAGGTGTAAAGTTCGTAAGCAAGAGTCGAGGTCAGGAGAGCCGTCATGGGGTGCTAAGATGTGAGATCCAGGGAGTAAAGATACAATTAGAGCAAAGACGAAGGAGACGACACGACGCGCGGGAAATACCTTGAGACGGCCAATGTTCAGAGGGATCAGGAGAGCTATTTGGCAGAGAGTGACTGCAATCGAGTGCTGAAAACTGGGGAATTTTTGAATCGGAGACGGATTGACTGTCAAGTATTTTCAGAAAAGGTGATGAAGACTGGGTATATGCGCGTTTTGGCTGCGTGAATTCGGCGTCCGGGATAAGATGGTGAGGTGAGGACCGCGTCTTTGAAGGCACAGAGAGAGCCGTTTCGGACGAATTGCAAAGAAAAATCACTGGATCCGAGCTTGGTATCGAAATTCGCTCCAAATCGTTACCAGAAGTGAAGCCGGCTAGCGCTGTAGCTGTTTGGGTCAGAGCCCTCTTCTTCGCCTGGAATGTCAGCTTATCGCGGAGCTCTTCCTCAACCTCAATCTTGACAGACAAATCAGGGGGGTTGCCGATAGGTAGGTCGTAAGTTCCCTCAGGAATGGTGATTTTGGCTTTCTTCGCGACGGCTTTTCGTCTGTACCACCAGTTGTTTATAGGCGCAGGATTGATATTCCTAGCGAGACACCATGAACGACGAGAAGCGGCAGTAGGAATGCGTCGATCGCCTTCCCAAACCTGAGCTAGTTCCTGGAAGTGAATCGTAGAGGGCGCTTGGTGAGCTGGAGCGGCATTTTCTGATTTTCGCGATCTCTTTTTCGAAGTAGATGTGCCCTGCGCGACGGCATCCGATATCGTTCCAAAAGTAGGTTCGGTGTCTTTTTCTACTTTCGGTTGGTTGCGCTTTTGGCGTTTCTTCCGTTCTTTTGGAGGTCCCACCATAAATAAGGTTGAGTGCGAAGAGGGCGTGACAATTTGAATAACAAGGTGTGACGTGCCCAAAAGTAATTGCTATATATGGAGCAAATATCACCAAATACACATACGTCCTCCATACTACATCCAAGCTGAACTATTTGCAAGCGATTGGAGGATCGCTTCTGATATTTGTAACAACAAACTCAAATTCTTGAGTCGAATTCAGGCAGGGGTAAGTAATCCAGCTCCGAGCGGTCGCGGTGAAATTCTTTATACGTTTATCACTAGATCATGAAATTTGCATGAAAGGCGGCAATGTAAATACCGGGCATGGCGTACAGTGAGCCATCCTGAGATTTGCAAACTTTCAGGTGAGGAGTTCCAATTCAAACGATGGCTCGCTGACCACAAGTGCTCGCGCTCGGAAGTATCTGTGATCTTTGTCGGACGCGCTCTCTTGTGCCAAAATGTTCTCACGGAAGAGTTGTTCTCTAGTGCCATCAAGTCGGATAATTGAGCATTTGGAGATCCTAGACGGAGGTAATGTAACAGCATTTGTCATGACGCCGACTGATTAAAAATCTAGAGGATCGCATCAAGACCCGTGTCGGGGACGAGGAGTTCCGTACTCTTCGAATCTATTACTCCCCCGGCCACAGACAATGCAAACTTAAGAACTTAAAATGTATCGTCTATCAAAAATCCTGGATAATCCAAGTAACTCTTGGTGAGCTGAAAGTAACTTTTCCAGAGAAGTTAACCGGAGAATTTCTAGATGCACCTGGGTTTTTTTAGACTGAGGCGAAACAGTGATTATTATCACTCAACCTCCATTGCACATCTTATCACTCCTTACCGAATCTCGCGTTTCACGGACAATTAAAAAATACGTACGCTAGTATAAAAACCCAACAGGTTTTCGTTAGTATCCTTAGTACATCCTTCCGGCAGACTAGTAAGCCTCTCGCTCCTTTCTCCTCCTTCAGTCAACAAAAAACTAAAACAAAACAACAAGGACACCACTTACCATGAAATACACCATCGCCACCGCAGCCACGTTGTTAGTTGTAGCTTTGCTCGGCACTGGAAGCTATGCTGCCCCAGGCCCACAGTCCAGCGAGCCCCTTCACGTGATATGCCCTGGAATCGTACTCAAATGCACTCCGCCCGACAATATTGTGGAAACGCCCAAGGGATGCCTTGCGTGTGGTACCCCTTATACTTTGTGAATCGACCCCCGTCCTGAGTGAGTGCTCCATACTGTGTTTCTAATTTTATAATTCTTTTATTTGTATTCTTCAGACACTCCAAGTTGAAGGGTTGTTGACAATTGCTACTCGTGCTCTTGTTGTAGATCCCTTGTAGAAGAGTAACATTAGCAGTGAATGAACGGACAATAAGTATAAGTGTTAAAATCGAAAGATAGCTCTATTGGAGAGTCTCCAGCCCGCCTCAAAATTTATCGACGTGGAAGATAAGAAATTTAGTGATCTTACACGAAGAGGCGTTGAACGTTGAGGCCTGGCTCCTGGGATGAGAAGTGCGAATTTTGATACAACATGCGCGCGTCGATGATCGACGTTGGTTTGCACGTGATCCTCCAAAAACTAACTTGCGCAAATAGTTACCTGTCACCACAATCCCCTTTCCCAGCACCGCAGAGACTCTTTCCTTCTGTGCGGGGCGGAAAAACCAAAAGGTGAGAAAGGCATCCACATCATCCATCTCTCAAAATTAATCATCCCCATAGTAATGAGCACCCTCGAAAATGCCCTACCAGAAGGGCTCGTCCAAGCCGTCGTCCAATCCTTCGCCATGATCCTCGTCTCCGAAATCGGTGACAAAACCTTCCTCATCGCCGCCATCCTCGCCATGCGCCATCCGCGAATGCTGGTCTTCGCAGGCGCATTCGGGTCCCTCGTCGTCATGTCCATCCTATCCGCAGCAATGGGCCACCTGCTCCCCACGCTCATACCACGAAAATGGACACAAATTGCAGCGTCTGTCCTCTTCCTCGTGTTCGGCGCGAAGATGTTTATGGAAGCGAGGGGTATGAAGGCGGGGAATGAGAAGATACAGGAGGAGATGAGGGAGGCGGAGGAGGAGATTGAGGATGATGATGCGGGGCATGATGGGACGGGGGGGCGGCCGAGTGCTGCAAACGGACTTGTGATTCCGCTGGAAGAAATGGAGGAGGGCGGGAGGCCGGTGCATTCGCCAAAGCCGAAGCGTTTGTCGGCTGTGGAAGGCGCGAGGAATTTTTGTAGCTTCTTTTTGGGCCCAGTGTTTGTGCAGGCGTTTGTCCTCACCTTTTTGGGTGAATGGGGCGATAGAAGTCAGATTGCGACGATTGCGCTTGGGGCTGCTCATGTACGTTTCTTCCTTTGATGTTTGCACACGTCGTCGCTAATCGTGGTGTCTAGAATGTGTATCTCGTTACGCTTGGAACGGTGGTGGGCCACTCGTGCTGCACCGCGCTGGCAGTCATAGGCGGGAGATACGTGTCCACGAAGATATCCGTCAAACAAGGTACGTATGGACCCCCTTTCGTACTCTTCAAGACTAACACCCACATAGTAACATTTGGCGGGTCCATTCTGTTCCTCATCTTCGGCGTCATATATCTCTATGAAGCCTTCGCCATGACTAACGACATGGACCTCAATATTCCGATTTCTCCTTCGTCGGGGATCCACACCTAATTATCAAGCGACTGCTATCTATTCCCAGTCCCGTCGTCGTTGAGCCCATCGTTATTTACTCCGTAACATACTAGTGACCCCGCTGGAAACTATCTTTAATATCTCGTATGTTTATTGCGCTCATCACTCTACCCGCCCTGACATTGTCAATCAGTGGAGGTCAGTGGATATGTAGTCTGCGCCAACCTACCAACGTGAACACACGCACATAGTACAAGAACTCAGGGGCCTTGGACGTCCGCCTCCCGAAGAGTCTCTGCAAGTTTACCTGGCCGGCTTTTATGTCAAGCGACGCGTCTGAGCTCCCCGTACGATCATTTCCCAACTCATGGGCGTCGGAAAGTCCCCCCCTTTAATTGAGATGCCAAAAACTTCCACGTTTGCTAAGGAGCTGTGTGGGTGCGTACACGAAACATCGCTCCTCTCCTTGTCCAGAACTCCTGCCTTTCCCTCCTCATATTCGATAACATTACCCCGACTTACCCTGTGTCCCTATCCGCTCTTGGTTTCTTCAGACTATGCCTGCAAAAGGGTGGGTTCACGGGCACACTTCTATCCCTACTCTCCCCTTTGCTTATCCGTTCCGAGCATCACCTGTCCATCCCAGCTTGTGCGTCGAGGTTGGTGATAACACTGCTTGGCTTTTGAGCGCGTCGCCCTTATCAACGTCCGGACGCCGTCACTGTGTCCTCCTCCGTGAATTGGAACGTCCTTGAAGTTTTATGTCTTCATTCTGAGGCCAGAGATGTAGGCGGTGAAATCTCGGGGAAAACCCAATCTTTGAGTCAAGTTGAATTGGATTGAACGTTACTTACTATTAGCCAGCAGAATCGTCCTCTTTTTTTTTACATCAGACTGTGACTTCAGTGGCTATGCCCTCGTCTTCAAATTGTCGACTTCTTCGCGTGATATCTGCTCCATGGACCCAGTTCTGATAAGGTATGTATATACCATTCGTCAGTGCCCCTCTCAAATCACACTAATTGAAATGGGGCGTCTTAGCTGCATAACGACCAAACCCAGCCTATTCGATAACCGACTTCTTTTTGGCTCGGCGACTCGGAGATGACGATGAGCCCATCTATACTACGTCTTTGGGAAGCTGAGTATGTGTACCCGACGCTACGCATCTTTTCGAGTAGGATGTTCCGCTCAGTAATGAAGTTCGTTAGTGTATCCAGGACGGGTAGGTGAGCTTTTATTCTCGACATCATCACCATCTCACTGAGCTCTCCTTGTTTGACGAAGGTCGTGCGTCACTCAACCATGTCCCTCGGGATCGCCCTCGCACGTCGATATCTCCATCTTCCAAAGATCGTGCGCTCCAGCAGGAACGCGCTTTACGAACCACAGTATCAAGCATATTAGGTTGATTATTTGAGTCTTCTTCTATCCCTGGGACCGCAGCATGTTTAACGTTCGTCGAGTTTACCCCAGACGTCCGTGAAAATAATAACTATTCACGGCAGGACGTCCCCTCACGTTCTCAAATTCTATCATACACCTTCGTCGACAGTTGCGTCACCATAGCTGGTGTAACGATCATAGTACCTCAAGTTCCATATGGGCATGGCGCTGATCTGATCGTTTTACTAGGCGTATGATTATCTTTGCACCTTGAAAGAAGAGGTGAGTCGTAACGACAGCTCGAAGAGCGTAGAACTGGAAACTCTGACACTGACTCCTCAGGTCTCTGTTCCAGTTCATTCGAAAGGTTCCAAATCTAATCTGCGTGCACAACAGACGTGCTTCAGGCTCTATGGAGTAACACTGTGTTCGTGACTACTCTCATTTTATGTAAAATGACTGAACGCTCCCTTCAGCTTCGATTTCTGTCGGTTTTCTGTCTGCGCAAAGTATTCCTTGTCTCACATCTTTCAACATAATTTCTAACTCTCGGCACTTAAGTAATTCTAACTCTGAGGACGTGTGGAATGTGGGGTTCGTGAATACCACACCAACTCTCCTGCGCCTGCAGGCATACTCCAAAGCTGTGCAGATGCCTGTGCAGCACACAATCTCTGCCTCGCTTCCATTATTCAAGAAAAGTCGATAGAGGAACATACCCCCTTATACTGGGCCATTGTGAAATGGGTCCCAGATGAGGCCACCGACGAGGATACCCAGATACCCGACCTTCTCACCGCGTTGCTCTTCCATTCAACACCACTCACGCGAGAGACTATATCCGATGTACGAATGGCCTGCCTTATTACGTCTGACCAGGCGTTATCCCAGCGGTTGAGGATGTTGCCAGAGTTCTTGAAGATATCAGGAAGGGATGAGATGCTGCTAGGAGCGACGCTACCGATGGATGATATCGTTGTTGAGGATATGGCGGGAGACGAGGGCGCGTTCGCTGTGAACTTTGAGATCCCGCAGTTTCAGAAGAGGATGATGGTTTCAAAAGAGATCGTGTTGGAATTTATTGCGCGAAGTTGGTCTTTTCTCTTGTCTTTGACGGCTCATTGATTTCTTTTCAAGGTCGCATGTGGAAACTAGAATTCTCGATGGCCAATGGCGGTCAACACACTGACCCTCGAACCGGGTCATGGTGCATTTCCCTCTCTCTGCTCGAGAATTGTCCACCGTGCTGGATAGACTCTTGCCTGCTTGTCCAAGAACCAGACACGACACCCCCAATACCATCACCAGACACAAAGTCACCTACGTCCCCCAAGCGCTCCCCTTCTTCTCCGTTCGTCTTTGGTTCAGGCCGTTCTAAAGCGAAACCCACCATCTCCGTACGCCTGAAGTCAATTCAGCAGCTGTTCGCACACCAGGCTCAGTCGAAGGTCGTGGTTTCGTTGGAAGACAGCCTGATGGGCGCTAGCTTGGAATACGCGTACGCATCTATTCAATGCGGTTCTGATGCTTTCTGTTACAGGGGAAGCTCGTACATCGCTGCTGACGAGAAACTTCGCGCGCGCTTGGGGGCGAGACTTTGCAAACCAGAAGGAGAATGCATCATATGTTAATGATGCGCTTTCTACCTATACTTATCTCATGTGAATGTAAAATACCACTACCCTGTAACAAATATACCGTGTAAATGACCGTCGATGAAACTGTAAATGCAGTTTTCTGTCCGCCAAAAGTATCGGCATTGACATAAACGGGACGACGACAGGCGCGCCTTCCTTCGAGGCATTGAAAAATGCTTCTGTGGCCGTTGGTGGAGTCCTTGTCCGAGCTTTGAACGAGGACAGATGGGAACGAGAAGGCCAGCCGAATTCTGCAGTTTATATTTTTCGGCGGGTGGTTTGCTTTTAAATATCATCAGCGTCATCGAAAGGCGGCCATTATGTGCTTAAATAGATTATGTAGCGTTCGGAGAAAAGTCCTATTATGTGGGTATCGTTCTCAATTCAATGTATACATGACGCTCTTCACTGGATGCGGGAACCTGTAAAACAGCTCGCGCGGCGGAGGATGAACCCTCAAGGCCTCAGGCTGAACCTCTCTCTCCTTCCCCTTTGTCAGATTGCGCAGGTCCTGAGAGGTCTTGGCATTGGCACCAGCTGAGCCCTGCGTCATGTTAGCCTCCCATAGATTATTTTCTATGTCTTCGACCCGCAGTGCAGAATCACCAATGGGCGAAAGTACGCATGAAAAGTGATGCGTAAGAGGAGGACTCGGAAGAGGTTGAACACAAAGATTCCGAATCCTACACCCAAAATCGCCTTCTCGCAAACCTGCCTCTTGCAAAAGGCGATGGCTGATTGATCGACCGTTTTGATGAATCCGACCGAGAATGACGCAATTTGGAATGTTGTTGCTCTGTTGAAACTAATGAAAGAAAGTACAAAACGCAGTGCTGGAAAGATGCTTACAACAAAACCTGCTCTGTCGCCAGGCTGAATGCGTGCCAGGTCTGCCATCCGGATCTGTCGATGGCCTATAATAATGTTCTCAAACAGATCGAAAAAGGGATGTGCCACAGGGACCTACGCCTCGCCATTGTCGAACAAAATACCAATTCACGGACCGACCCTGGCTCAGCATGGCACATCAACCGGTGGACAACGAAGTGATGGTGTGTAAACCTCGATGTTCCCCAAACGATTATTTGTATGCTGGTCGATGACTCCAAATTTTGAAAGGAAGAGATGACTGGCGAACAGCGCTGGGCATGCGAAACCCAAAGAAATGAATCCAAGGACTCGAAACAATTGGTAGTGATCTGCATCGTAGTTCATGAAGGTCAAGGCACCCCCAATGCTATGAAAAGAGATTCAGCAGAGCGGTTAGCACAAAAAGCTGAATGGACATACGGTAATTGTAAAAAGGCCACGAGTCTCAAATTTTTATGACTTTTCTGCATCGCGCTTGTGAACGTCTGCCAGAGGGTTGCGTTGAACAGAACATCGTCGTTGGGCGGGGAGGAGGCGGGTGGAGTGTTGCTGTTGGGTGCGGCGTCGTTGGGTGGAGTGTTGCTGTTGGGTGTGGCGTCGTCGGGTGGAGTGTCGTTGTCGGGCGTGGCGGCGTCTCGACGAGGGTGCCCGTCAATGTGGTCAATGTATGTGATGAGATTCTGAAACTCCGCGCCAAATCCGATGAGTGAGATTAGGAACGCCCAGCATGAAATAATTATTCTACCGACGCTGTTGAAGACGTCGGCGAGATTGGCCATGGCTGACTCGGATTAGGTTAATGATCGCCCCCAGGCTGAGGTTAATGTAGGGGATGACACGTGACCGCGTCAGCCACTGTTTACTTTACTTTGGATCCACTTCGCTTACGTAAGCCTGTATCAAACATATGATCGAACAACCCGGAGCCTCAAGTATGCATGTCAGAAAAAAAGCTCGCCACGTTCATGGAATTATGCAAACGGCAGTAGTCTTTTATAATTCAGGCCAAGTTCACTTTTTCAGATATTCAACAAATATTCAAGGCTTATAAAAGGACCCTGGGCAATAGCAGAAAAGGCCTGATCCCGAAAATTGGGCTTTTGTCCAGACGCCTCTGCCCCAATTTGTCCGGACTGGACCTGGCCTACTACACCCCAATCTCAAAAATTTGTCTGGACGGCCAGCTCAGGGTATTCTTTTCTCCACAAATGTCCCACAATTATGCCCGAATACCGACTTGGGGGGCTTTTTTTTTGACATCTTGTCGATTTTATCCGGACTCTGGCTCTGGGCAGTTTCAAATTTTGTCACTTTTTGTCTGGATTGGCCCCCAGCTGTAGAGCCTAAAATCCACATTTTCTGTCTGGATCAGGACCAGGGCTTTCCTGCTATTGCCCGGGGTCCTCTTATAAAAGGTTCAATGTTTCGTTGATGTTTCGTAATAACAAATTCAGATTCGTGAGTTGAATTTGAGAAATTGAGCTACGAGCACTTGCGGTGGGTTTATTTTGAGCATGAAAGGCGGCAATGTAAATAATCCGGTATGGTGTACAGTGTTGGTACAGTGAGCCATCCTGAGATCTGCAAAGTTTTGGGTGAGGAATTACATTCTCAGCAATTTCAAACTATGGCTCGCAACAAGCGCTCAGTGCCCGGAAGTTTCTCAGAAGTTCTGGTGGTATGCAATCATGGGAGGTACAAGAAAACAAACCATCATCAAGCAGAGCTCATGGGAGTCATGGCTAAGATGTTTGATGTCCTCGGTAAGATGTCTGTGTGCTACACAATCTTTAATAGCTGTAAAGATATCTCATATAATATCCCAACATGGTGTTCTGATTTCCAGCTGAAAGGCCACCAGTGGTGTATATTCTGAGCATCAGAATAAAGCAATTTTCAGCTATTTTATCGATTCTGCTTTCATTTTTGGACAGGGTGATAAATTAAACCCCCACCACGTAGTGTGAAACCATTATGTGCAATTTCAAGCCATGACATTGTTATTTTACGGAGTGTGCTAGGGCAGCGGGGGGGCCCGTCATGTTCCTGCTGGTCCCAGATGTGCGCCCCCGATGGACTTTTGACCAAGGTTTTATCTGGAATCCCGAGTATGTATGCTGAGTAAAGGTTTCAAGATTTAACGGAGTACCTGCTATGTTTTCGACAGGCTGGAAAACCCTGGCTGTGGGTAATGTAGGTCGAGCGCTGCCTAGTGGTGCAGCAACCGACAGGCTGTCGCTTTGATGCTCCAGCCATTTTTAGACAGAAAAAGAAGCGTGCTTGATTTGGATTTTTATGCAGGTGAGAGAGTGGCCACACCCCTCAGAGGCCAATTCCTACCATCAAAAGAATCGGCCTCTGAGGTCTGCTGTCACTCAGAAGCGTCAGGCCTGAAGTGTCAGATGCAATGTCTGAGGCCTGGGTAATTATAGACAATGCCAATGTAAGTACGGAACTCCTTATCCCCAACATGGGCCTTAATCTGATCCTCTAGATTTTTTATCAATCGGTGACTACAAATACTGCTACATTAATGTTGCCAGGGATTTCCAAATGCTTAACTACTATTGGACTTGATGGACCTAAAGAACAAGTCTTCTGTGAAAACATTTTGGCCCAAGACCATAAATATAATCTAACATAAAAATCTGAGTGCTGTTATCTTTAACAACTAGTCCATCTTTAACAACAAGAATACTGAAAAGTTTCTCGAGGCCTGAATTATATGCCGAGAAGTTGAAGTGCCCTGAGTAAATCAGTACTACCCAAATTGTCTCCAAATTGTTCTTCAAAAAGCACCTGTACCTTGTGTCGTGAGATCCATATCATCAAATACTATATTAAAAACTTTTCAAGAGCATGCAGTCAACACTGATGCCTGCAGAAAAGGACCCTTGCAATATTTACTATAATGGTGCTGTAAAAATCACTTAAAATCTCGGCTACCCGCTTCACCCTATAGAAAAAGATACCAAAACCAGCTGTAAGATAGCCCAACATCTGAAAGAAAAGTGTTATCGAGTTGGCATTGAAGAGGATGGTGGAAGTGAGGCTCAAATTTTATTTTTCCGGAGTAAAAGTCAGACCACAAAGGCGACGTCAAAGATTGGCAAAGATGATCGTCTTAAGCATTGTAGCTACATTTATGACCCATAACAGGTCCCTCCCATGAATTTCGTCCTGTGTTGAGTCAATTTTAATACAAAACAGTTTCTATGAATGTATGGCTACTGTAGGAGATGAATGAGTACCCCCGATGTTGTTTTTTTGCCAGTATGTTGCAGTCTCTACATCAAAATCTGTCATTTTTTTTCTGTTGTAAACTGGATGAGGCAAGGATAAAATATGTATTCCGAGAATTCATATCATAAGATACAATGTATATCTAGCCTACACCCAAATTAAATGTAGTAACCAGCCCACAGCAAGGATAAAATGTGGGCAGGGATTGACATATCAATAGAATCTGAGACTCAGAAAGTGCCTCAAGGCATGGCTTGAATATGTCACGGTCAAAATACAGTAGGAGAGAACCTGGAACTTGCCAAATAGATAGGGGTGAGCATCATATGTGTCGAGAACAATCATCAGAAAATAAAAAATAGAAATGTGACTGATTCAGTACTCACTCGGAAATCATCATTGTCCACCTTCCTTTCTATCACTGCAGACTTGGAAAAGTGCCTCTTCTATGTTCAGGAGGAAGACAAGCATTGTGACTGAGAGATTTGGTGAATGCATGACATATGAAGATCTGAGCAGCAGCTGGAATCGACTCAGCATAAGGAAAGTGTTTGAGCTGTGATACTGATATGAGTATAGATAGTGATAACAGACTTACCTATGTGAATGGCATAGATTCCACCAGCTCGCATAACCAACTCTTCCACAGTGGCCATAATTCCGCGCAGTAGCGCATCAGGCTACTTGACACAAACCTGACACGGAGACTCTATACCTGGAGGATATTAGCAGTGGCACAAATCCTCGTCTGGTGACGTCGAGTGCTGCGCGGGGAGTGTAGGTGAGGTGAGTAGTTGGTGGGCAACATGTCACTGAAGGGGGTGAAGGTCGTTCGTCATCGATTGCAAGCTAACAGCACCAAACTGGCGCCAGTGCTGCAGCGTGTCCGGGAACCGGCAACCATCAGCTGGACCAATTTTTGGAATGATAGCGTGGGCAGTGACGGGATCACCCCCCTCAGAGGCCAATTGCCACCAGACAAATAATTGGCCTCTGAGGCGGTCTAGCACTTGAGAAGCATCAGGCCTGAGGTGGCATCTGAAGAATATCAAAATATTGTCTATCAAACTTCTTCAATAATTCATGTAACCCTTGGTGAGGTGAAATTAAAATTTTCAGAGAAATCAACCAGAGAATTTCTAGATGCACCTGGGTTTTTTAGATTGAGGCAAAACAGTGATTATTATCATTAAACCTCCATAGCATATCTTATCACTCCTTGATGAATTTCGCGTTTCACAGACAATTTTAAAATACGTATGCTAGTATAAAAACCCGATAGGTTTTCGAGAGAATCATCAGTACATTCCTCCAGCAGACTCAAACTACCAATAAATATTTCACATAAACATCATCACCTTTTTGTGGCTGCAAAGTTGAGATAACACTGAATCTTTTTTATTTGAACATTTTCGACACTAATGTGGAATTCACTATTTAACATATTTATGTCCTTTTTATTGCCTCTTTGCCAGGCGACGAATGTGGTTTGCCCCTTGTGATGATTGTTTGTGGATAGCATTATGCAAGGCACTGTAAATAATTTTACACCTCATATTTTCTGTTTACTAAAAGTTTGCTGACCCCTGTTCCAAGTTGCATATTATTTCTAATGGCGTCTACAGTCCTTCTTGTAATAGCTTAAAATCGCAGATATGTTCAACGCAACTTTCATGTCTTGAGTGTAAGGGCCAATTAAGCAATGAACCACCAGGAAAACACGATCACCCTCCAGTAACTCCCTCTTTGATGATGTCAAAGGTTTGAAATCATCATCAGACTGCATGGTGCTATGGTGTTGAACCCCAACCTTCGAGCGAGTAATCAAGTGAGCACGATGCTGGTGAACGAGAGGGTATTGCCATGTATGGCTCGATGGCAGGTACCAGGTTTCTGGTTCAACTTGTTCTCCAACATATTTCATTGGCACACAAACTATGTCGGCAATGATGATCGCGCTGGAATTGCATTCCGCTACTTGAACCACCCCCAAAATTCTGTACTGACGCAGAACCATTCCTGTAACTATGGTGAGCTTGGTGATATCGATCGAAGCCCGATAAATGACATACGGAGCGCTGAATCACTCTCAACATCAAACTCCCCATACTTCAATATCCCCGTTTGGCGCACCGAGCCATTGGGAGGGACGACCAAAACCGAAGCCTTAACTAGCCCGTTATTTGGGAGCCGTCTCGCTGGTGTCACAGGTGGGTCGGGGGTGGGTACGACCACTTTGGGGCGGCGTTGGAAGAAAGACATAGTGTGGTGATTGATTTTTTCTCCGACTTGGGGTTAAGGTGATGAATGTTGTGGTTTGAAGTTTACAAGGTTGTCAGTGTGAAACCCAGTGTGAAACCTTGCGCCGAGGAGCTGGGAACGGAATTATAACTTTTCCCCTATTCAACCTAAGACAAAGGAGCAAGCAAGCGTACACACATGACCTCGGAAGCAAGTAGATTCAAGGATCAGAAGCGGCGCAAAATTTTCCCGGATCACCTGGCCAATGGAAGTGTATGAAAGGTGGCGACCGGCATTGTTTGTTTTGCCCTGGAGATGGGGGAGGATATACGTACGGCGTCACACTCCCCGAAAGGGGATAAGGCTCATCCTCGACACTGTGTCGAGGATCAGAGGACGACAAGAGGACGAGCAACACAGTTGGACACATCCCAATTGGGTGAGGTGACGAATGCGATGTCACACGTCACTACCCCTCTCTTCTCACAACCACCACGACCATCGACGACCGGCCACCAGGATCCACCACCACGATTGAGGAACGGCGACGACCACCAACGAACGTCCACGGGGCCCACCACCAGGATCGACGAACGGCCACGAGGGCCCGCCAGCACCACCATCGACGGACGGAGACGAGCGCCCACCAACATCCACGCGCGCCCAGCACCACCATCGAGGAACGCCGATGATGGCCCACCACGATCTCTGACGATTGGGTACCAGGACCCACCACCACAATTGACAAGCTTCTATGTACGGCCCACGCCCACGATCGACGGATGGCCACGAGGGCCCACGATCGACGGACGACGACGAGCGCCCACTAATGTCCACGGGGCCACGGGGGCTCATCACCACCCTCGACAAACGGACACGAGTGCCCACGACCACGATTGGCAAACCCAATCGCACCATCGACAATTCCCCAGCCTGCCCCCATCCTCCACCCCCACTCTCTTCCTCGCATACCCCATATCACCAGAAAAACCTCGTGATGCCGACATAACATGACCCAACGCCCCCCTCTACGAACCAACACCGACGTGTTGAGCTTAACGCCAGCGTGCACAACCAGCCCCGACGTACGAACACAACCCGAACACGAGCCCAAAACAATCGATTAGCAAGGGGTCGTTATTGAAGGGGAGACGTGGTGCTCCTACGTTGATACTTCCTACTTCTACATATGTAGGTATACTATTACGTTCCCATGTAAAGTGTTTCTCGTAGATAAGGAATACATATTATATTGCCATTTACCCGGGTACAGAAGGACTTGGACAGGGGGACTTGTAATAAAAAAAAAGAAACTGAAGTTGGCCAGATGAGCAGGCACACGATGACATAGATTCGACACATTCAGATGTGTCGAACACATGTAAAATCGACACATTAGAAAGGAGGAACACATCAATGTGTCGGCAATTTACCCTATGTGTCGCGTTATGACCCTATGTGTCGCAGTCCCGATTTGGGGAGTGTGTTACTTTTCGTATACACTGGAGATGGGGTTACTGCACAAGTTGCGAAGGGCCCTTTCAGTGTTTTCAAAGGTGCCGTAGAGAATGGTTGCAATGCCGAGGGATCGAGCTGTGACAAGATTCTCAAGCTTGTCATCGATGACGATTGTGTGTTTTGGATCAGCACCTGTGACTTTTAGAATGTGGCGATAGTAATCAAGGTTGGGTTTGCGTTTGCCAGCAGCAGCTGATGTAAAAACACCGTCGAATATATCCCAATCTGCCCCCTTGGTCCTCAGAACCTCCCAATCAGGTGCCGAAATGTTAGACATGGCGTTTACCCTGCGCCCTAGCTTCAGCTCCCTGATCAATTCCACCATGAATGACCGGCTGGTGAGTGAGTCGCGAGCACCCTGGAACGCTTGTTTAACTTCCTCTCCTTACTTTACTCAATATTGTCATGATTTACCCTGTAAGTGTCGATACCTAAGTGTCCAAGGTGAAGCCTTTGAAGATTTTTGCTCCTGTTCAACTTGGCTACTATAGCCTACTTTCCACGTGCGCTACCTTGTCCTCTTACCTTTTCCTCAATTCTCATCGATTATACCAGGTTCCAGAGAATGATGTACTCCATGTTGACTTTTAGAGTCATCCTAGATATTCGTGACGAGCTAGCTTTCTTGCCAACTCCCGATATTCGTATACCTATGACTATAAAGTAATTGAGTCAAGGATGTCATCTTAGATTGTGTTATGTAGAGGCGCAAATGTGGACGTCATGCAGAAGAAACACCCCACTGATATCTAGTTTCTGGAAACTGATTTATTTACGTGATGTATTTTTTGGTTACGGTGCATGTCTTATCTTCTTTGTCGGTTATATATCTATCAGACCATACCTACGCCCTTAGATAAAACAATATTTCAATCCTAAAGCGATCCAGCTCTCATAGAATCTCGATATTCACTACAAAGCCGAATTAGACAGGCAGCTTGTGCTCTATAAGATCCTTTATATCTGCAACAAGCCTCCTCGCAACATCTCGCTCCCCCAATGCAGTCTCCAATCGAGTACGCGAAACCACATCATCCCCATCTAATCCCACCCCTTTCCCGCACCCCTCTCCATCCTCAGCACCGTCTCCACCCTTAACCTGCATCTCAAGCTCTTTGACACAGTTTTCCAACGCTAAGACTTTCTCCGTCGCTTTGGTCTTTTCCTGTACAGATTCCTCAATGAGCAGCTCGCTCATCTTGAGTTTGAGCTCTAGCAAAAGAATGTGTGAGCAGGCTTGACATAGTACTGGGTTGGCTTGCGCGCTGGAGGGTCGTGGTGTGGATGTGGATGGTGAGGGTTCCTGATTCGCGTCTTCGGTTTTGGAGGGCAGGGAGATGTCCAGCAGACGTTCCTCGACTTGATGGATGTGAGCGGACGAGTAGGGGAGGTGATGTGAAAATAGGACGTAGGTCCTGGAGCGGAATTAGTGCTCGCGGCCTCTGAGCTGACGTCTTGGGCCGAACAGACATCTAGGCGGTCATTCGAGGAGGCTGGTGAGGGTGACAGAAATACTGTGAGATGGGTCAGTGAAACAGAACGAAAAGGAGAGGAACGACTCAATACCAGATTGAATTTTATTGGGCTCTCTGGGTTTCTTGTCGAACGTTTCAGCGTGATGACCACCCCAGAAATAATAAGCGTCGGCTTCTGGTGGGCTTGTCACTCGATTTTCCACGGCGGATAGCGTGCGATTGTTTCCAACTTTGAATCTATCTCCGTCGGACATGCTATCCATGCATTTGGAAGGAGAATGGTGCTCATTGACAGACGAAGTCCCGCTGGCAGAGGGTGGTTGATGAACCTTTCCGATCTCTAAAGGGCGAATGAACGGGAGGTTCAAAGTCGAAAGAGAGATAGATGGTGAACTTCCAAAGTCTCCAGAGGAAACGGTCTGCGGCGTCTGTCCCGAAGTGCCAAGTGAACCATTGGCAGTCTTAACCTGTACATCGCCCGACTCTTTCCTCTCTTCAACGACCTCAAACAAGCCCTCCGAGATGGTTCCCCAACGATTCATAAACCAGCACATCATGGTCTCCCCCTCCCTCCTACGCTCACCGCCCGAGCCGTGGTGTTTACGAGTCGTCCCTCCGCCAAAAATCCTACCGCCAAACATCCGACCTACATCCTCCACACACAGGCCATTTTCCTCTCGCACCAATACCACTTGGCTGAAGAACGATAGGAGGTAGACTCATAGGGAGAAGTTGGGAGAAGGGAGGTGGTGGAGGAGCAGTTGGGCGGTTTTTATTCGGGTAGATTCTTTTTCGTGTGTGTGGGTAGCGATTAGGCAATTAGAGAAACGATGGGGTCCCTCGGGATCGTTGGTTTCTTCCGCTACCCCGCACCAGTCCCAGAGGGCATGGAATAGGGTGGGAAGGAGGATAGGTTCTGGAAGGGATGCTAGGTACGTGGAGAGGAGGGCACAGATATCTGGGGTCGACTCTAGATGGAGTGAAGTATCTGCTCCGAAACCGACCGGGGGATTGGGTAGTTCCCCGGATGGTGTTCGGTAGCGTGGAGTGTCGCTTGCGGGCTGACGCTGTGAGTCGAAGATGCTGATGAGTTGGAAGAGACGAGCACGGTTGGGGAGAGTACGGAATAGGTTGTTGGTAGATTCCTTCTCGATGTGTGAGCGGACGGATATTGGAAAGAGAGTGCAAGCTTACCCTTTCGATATAACTCTTCGACGGCGGTGACGACGACGACAGGCAATTCGTGCTCTCGACCGCCAAGAACTACGCTGATAGAAGCGTGGATCGAAACCTTCCGTAGATGCTCTCCGAATACAGCTGTGAGAAGAAGAGTGAGTCTCGGATGTTGTCCAATTATGTCAGCAAGAATTTTCCTCGCTCCAACATCACCACCGCTGCCAATGAACGGGTATGAAGTCTTGCCCGCCGTGTATGATGGTTCGAAGATTTCTTTGGAATCGTCTCATAAAGTCTTTGTAAGATATCTCGCTGTCTTGTGTGTATGATGTTGATTGTGGCGCCCAGAACTTATCGTAGATCTTGAGTTCACCGTGTGAACGAACAATGAAGATGCAATTGGTTTGCACGTGTTCCTTAGACTCCAAAAATTAACTTGCGCAATGTCGCCACCCCCTTTCCCACCTCAGAGGCTCTTTCCTTGCTCATTCCTCCTGTGCGGGGCGCAAAACAGAACGGTGACAAAGGCATTCACATTCTCCCTTCTCAAATCTAATTATCCCCATAGTAATGACCACCCTCGAAAATGCCCTACCAGGAGGGCTCGTCCAAGCCCTCGTCCAATCCTTCGCCCCAGTGAAAATGAAGGAAAACCAAACCGAACCACAGTGAGCCAATTATAAACAACACAACGTCATCGATCCAAATCTAGCTGGACCCTCTGAGTTCTCAACACGAGCAAACGAAATCCATCCCTACTGAATGCCTCTGCAACAGTACAACCTACTGCTGCGTCGCTTATCTCAAGTCTGGCCAATCTGCTCCGTTCCGAGAACCGACTCCCCGAACCCACGTCGCACGTGCACTTGTGCACGTTTCTTATGTAAATGGACTCCTCTTCCTCTTCGCTCTCGCAGCCCGCCCTCTTGCCCTCACGCTACCACCATGCTCTGACCCCGCAATGTCTTCACTCGGTCCCTCTGTTCAACTGGCTCTCGCAGCGCTCTGGACCCCACGATCATGACTATCGTTAGGCCACCCTGGTTCAGAGGCAGAAAACCAGAGCGCGTCAATGGCGGTTTTTTGGGGGGAGTAGCTGTGCTGTGAGGTATGTGAGTATTCTATTTGCCGCCGTGAACAACTCAAGCTGAGAATATGCGTTCGCCGTTCAATTACAGAGGTGTCTCAACCTTATTGGTTCTCATCTGCCGCCTAGGCTTGCCTCGATTCGCGTTTCCTTGGCGCGCCGGCGAATATATGCATCATAATTCTCGGAGTCCAAGTATTCTAATCATATTTTAATACCATTCACGTCGTTTGGCGCGTTCTAGATGTCGTACGCGACGATCCTCCTCCCCGGAAGCGGCATATGGCACTAACGTCTCTGGCTTGGATCATCGTTCCAAATGTGTGAGTATCATTATTCTGCTCAATTATTTCCTACACACTGACTATATGCGGTAAAATTTGGTTGAAATATCCGAACGACTCGTCTTGCAGCGCCTGCCATCAAGCTGGAGAAAAAAAATTGGGAGGGGGGAAGCGATAGCTGCGACTGGGAAAGGTAAGTTTTGCTCTCTCAGATCCACACTGTCTTTGATTTTGAATCCTCCCGACAACTCCTCGCACTCGCAACAAGTCATCTTGGATTCATTATATGATTAAATATCATACGCGCATTCTATTTTTTTTTGAAAAACCAACAAAGATGGCGTCTTGCAACGATTCAATTACTGGTTTGAATTCCTTCTCCAGCGGCGCGCATAGTAATTTAAAAACAGTTATGTTTACATCAGTTTGCTGTTGTCCTTATTCTCGTTAACCTTCGCCACCAGACAGCTCGTAACTCGATAATAACAGATAGACAACCTCAACTGCCTTTGAAGCGTATTGGAAGAGCCTAACGAAATCGTGAGCTTTGAGTTGTCTTTTTTTCTGCCCTGTATGTTTTATCTTTTTCTGACTTCGGCGGTCTTGTTCTAGTGATTTTCTGACACTCACTTTGACTTGACTGGCTTCGATAGGCACTCTGGTGAGATGCCGATCCTTGTCATTTTCTGTCTTTTAGACTTAACGGTGAAGCTTTGAAGGGACTTTTTTTGACCTCGATTTCGTTCGGTTCCGCTCAATAGGTGGGACACTGGATTTTTGTCTGGATCGATGTGGTTCGGTTGTACTGCCCACCTTCAATTTGCTCTCCTTAGGTTAGATTAGATTATTAGATGCATTCCGTTAGACAGCTATAGGTGCGGCTGGGTTTAAATTCTAGCCAGAATTGTAAAAGTCTCTATTGTCGAGCCCAATCTAATTTTTTAGATTTGGCTCGACCTGGTTCGACCTGCTTAACCCTCATTTTCACTGGGCCTTCGCAATGATCCTCGTCTCCGAAATCGGCGACAAAACCTTCCTCATCGCCGCCATCCTCGCCATGCGCCATCCGCGAATGCTGGTCTTCGCAGGCGCATTCGGGTCCCTCGTCGTCATGTCCATCCTATCCGCAGCAATGGGCCACCTGCTCCCCACGCTCATACCGCGGAAATGGACACAAATAGCAGCGTCTGTCCTCTTCCTCGTGTTTGGCGCGAAGATGTTTATAGAAGCGAGGGGTATGAAGGCCGGAAATGAGAAGATACAGGAGGAGATGAGGGAGGCGGAGGAGGAGATTGAGGATGATGATGCGGGGCATGATGGGACGGGGGGGCGGCCGAGTGTTGCAAACGGACTTGTTATTCCGCTGGAAGAGATGGAGGAGGGCGGGAGGCCGGTGCATTCGCCAAAGCCGAAGAGTTTGTCGGTTATGGAAGGCGCGAGGAATTTTTGTAGCTTCTTTTTGGGCCCAGTGTTTGTGCAGGCGTTTGTCCTCACCTTTTTGGGTGAATGGGGCGATAGAAGTCAGATTGCGACGATCGCGCTTGGGGCTGCTCATGTACGTTTTTTCCTTCGGTGTTTACAACGTCTTCGCTAATCGTGGTTCTAGAATGTGTATCTAGTCACACTCGGAACGGTGGTGGGCCACTCGTGCTGCACCACGCTGGCAGTCATAGGTGGGAGATACGTGTCCACGAAGATATCCGTCAAACAAGGTAGTACGTATGCCCTCGCTTTCGTACTCTACAAGACTAACACCCTCATAGTAACGTTTGGCGGTTCCATTCTATTCCTCATCTTCGGCGTTATATATCTCTATGAAGCCTTGGCCCTTTGCCATGACTAACGACATGGACCTCAATATTCCGATCTCGCCTTCGTCGGGGATACACACCTAATTAGCGGGCGATTGCTATCTGTTCCCAGTCCCGTCGTTGTTGAGCCCATCGTTATTTACTCCGTAACATAGTGACCCCGCTGGAAACATTTTAATATTTCGTATGTTTATTGCGCTCATCACTCTACCCGCCCTGACATTGTCAATCAGTGGAGGTCAGTGGATACATGGTGTGCCTCAACCTACCGACGTGAACACACGCATATAGTACCGTTCTTGGAAAATGGCGCTACAAGAACCCAAGGGCCTTAGACGTCCACCTCCCGAAGAGTCTCTGCAAGTTTACCTGGCCGGCTTTTCTGTCAGGCGACAGGCCTGAGCTACCCTCTTCATGAGCGCGTCCGTCTCCCAACTCATCGGCATCGGAAAGCCGCCCTCTTTAATTGAGACGTGGCCAAAAACTTTCACGTCTGCTAAGGAGCAAGTGGGCGCGTATGCGAAGAATCGCTCTTCTCCTTCCTTGTCCAGAACTTCTGCCTTTCCCTCCCTCCTCATATTCTTCCAAATAGCTACTCGTGGCACTGATTTTGGTATACCTACGTCTGTGGGAAGCTGAGTATGTGTACCCGAAGTTATGCATTCTTCTGGAGTAGGATGTTCCGCTCAGTGTTGAAGTTCGTCAATGGTACCCAGGACGAGTAGGTGAGCTTTTGTTCTCGACATCGTCACCATTTCACCGAGCTCTCCTTGTTTTACGAAGGTCATGCGTCGTTAAACTACTTCCTTCGGACTCGCCCCCATCTTACAGTACCTCGCTACTTCGGTTCTTGCCACTCCAGGCCTGTTATCTCATATATGTCTTGGAGAGGCACCGTCATCGAAACGAGGGTCCGGTATCTAGAGCCTAGAGGGTTAATAACCGAAATGAAGAGATTTGGAACGAAGATCGCGCCTTTGAACGATGCCGGATGGGCAGAAACATCGAAGTCGACGAAGATGGGAAACGGTGTCAAATGATGGTGACGTTCCATAGCGCATCAAGAGGGCTAGTGCCCCATTCTTATGCTGAGGACTGACATAACCCGACCCAATACCAGGATGAGGGCGGTTAACGTGTGAGGAGCCGTCTAGTTCTGCTGGAGGTCGGAAACGTCAGTCTGGGTTGGAAGTAACGTGTCGAGGGATGGGCAGAGGTCGAGAATGATTGGGAGGTCCGGCATGGAGAGGGTGTTGATGTCTAGGAAGAGGAGCTGGGAACTGTGATGTGTTAGGAAGAGAGGGATGTCGGGGAGGGGGATGCCTGTTGTTGTACTTGTTAGAGAGAAAGAGCGTAAGGAGGGGAGGGACCATGAGGTGGCTTGGTCTATGAATTCTTTGGCGTGCCCGTGTAGAGAGAGTTGTTGGAGGCGGGGGAGGGAGAGGCGGAGGCCGGATGCGGACCCTAAGGGGGGAGTTGAGAGGTCATAGTCTTCTGTCCCTGGTGGCGCCTCGAATTCGATGTGTAACGCGACGACGTAAGGGAGACAGTCAAATGCCCAAATGACTTTTGCTACGGAGTCGGAGCCCACAGCCCAATGGACTGTGCGAAGGGACCGCCGACAGGGGTAGGTTGCTAGTGCGTTCGCAATTGCTCCAAAAGACTCCCCCATAGGCCAATCGACGATGAAGATTTCAAGGTTCGGGCAATGGCGAATAATGGACGCCAACGCGTTCTCGAGCTCGAGAAGGGTAGTGTTGGTAGCTGCGGAGGCACAGTACCGTGAGAGATGGATACGGCGAGTCCACCACCCAAAAGATGCGATGAGTGTTGTAGCGGAAGACGCGGAAGGGTCGAGGATGGCACAGAGGGCGAGAAGTTTGGAGGGGTTGTTGAAGTAGAGGCAGCGGAAGAGAAACTCCGAGCCGAGAGCGCGCCAGCATTTGCACGTCAATATGATGGCCTGTGGAGAGAAATAGTTGAACACTCAGATGATGTGCATACACGGCCGGAAGAACTCACTTTCTTGGTCGCGTAACTGCGTCTTTGTATGAGGTTCAACGTGTCACCAGGAGACTGAAGGGTCCAATCTTTTGCAATATTCTTGAACCACGCAGATTCGGCCATGACAGTAGGCAGACCATACTGAAAGATAACATCTTCGTCCGCTGCGAGATCGAAGATTTGCGTAAGGATTTCCGCTGGAAGGTCCATCGTGTAAAACTGACGTTGATCGTAGGGCGACGAAGAGGAGGATAGTGACGAAGAAGAGGATGAAGGAGTATTGAGATCCCACCTATGCCTGAAGAACCGAACGATCGAACAGCGGAGCTTAGGCAGTTGCTGGAGGAGTGTAGAGCTATGAGTGAGGGAAGGAGAGAGTCGATGTTTGGGCCTATGTGATGGGTATGGGTATGGGTGGATGGCCCCGATGGGTGGCAAATGTATGGGGATGATGGGTATACCCTAACCCTAAGATTACGGTGAAGCCGGTATCCATGCCGGTCCAGATGGATCCAAGAGTGCGAGTGCCAAAGAGAGCGCATGAAGGTGATGGGCTCCGAATGCAATTTCTTCGATGCATCATTGAGGAACGTGGAGAGGGATGGGCCCAATGGGGCGCTCGCTGAGCTCGATGCAGAGTGAAACAAGGCACGTGACAATTACATCGTAACCTGTGAGTACAATTTTTTCTCCGGACCCTCTTAACTTGCTCGTTCCTTCAAAGATCGTCTCAAGTACCGATTTCTCGCCCGAACGCTCAACACCAACCTTCAAAAGACTGTCCAGGAAATCGAATGTTGCACGCAGGAAGCGGAAGCGCGTCAGCGATAGAAGTCAGATTGCGACGATTGCGCTTGGGGCTGCTCATCTACGTTTCTTCCTTTGATGTTTGACCACGTCGTCGCTAATCGTGGTCTAGGATGTGTAGCTAGTGACGCTCGGAACGGTGATGGGCCACTCGTGCTGGATCGCGCTGGCAGTCATAGGCGGGAGATACGTGTCCACGAAGATATCCGTCAAACAAGGTACATATGCCCTCCCTTTCGTACTCTTCAAGACTAACACCCTCATAGTAACGTTTGGCGGTTCTATTCTATTCCTCATCTTCGGCGTTATATATCTCTACGAAGCCTTCGCCATGACTAACGACATGGACCTTAACATTCCGATCTCGCCTTCGTCGGGGATACACACCTAATTATCAAGCGATTGCCATTTATTCCCAGTCCCGTCGTCGTTGAGCCCATCGTTATTTACTCCGTAATATAGTGACCCCGCTGGAAACCATTTTTAATCTCGTATGTTTATTGCGCTCATCACTCTACCCGCCCTGACTTTGTCAATCAGTGGAGGTCAGTGGATCATGTGTGCCTCAACCTACCGACGTGAACACACGCATATAGCACCGTTCTTGGAGAATGGCGATACAAGGACCCAAATGCCGCAGACGTCCACCTCCCGCGTCCGTCTCCCAACTCATCGGCGTCGGAAACTCTCTCCCCTTTAATTGAGACGTGTCCAAAAACTTCCACGTTTGCTAAGGAGCAAGATCGTCCTGAGTGGGCGCGTACGCGAAACATCGCTCCTCTCCTTCCTTGTCCTGAACTTCTGCCTTTCCCTCCTCATATTCTTCCAAAAATGATAACATTACCCCGACTTTCCTTCCCTATGTCCCTATCCGCTCTTAGTTTCCTCAGACGTCGCAGATCTAGAGGTGTCCCGATAGCTATTCGTGGCACTCATTGTCTCCTGTCAACCTGCAAAAGGTGGACACACACTCTATCCCTACTCTCCCCTTTTCTTATCCGTTCCGAGCGTCACCCATCCCAACTTGTGCGTCGCGGCTGGCCTTAACACCTGCTTTGCTTTTGAGCGCGTCGCTCTGCTATGGCCCTATCAACGTCCGGGCGCCGTGTGTCCTCTCCAAGTCACATCCATGAATTGGAACGTCTCTAGAATTTTATGTCTTCATTAGGAGGCCAGAGATGTAGGCCGTGAAATATTAGGAATGTTGCGGGGTAGGCCCAACCTCTGAATGGAATTGAACACTGTTACTTGGCCAGCAACTCTCTGAATCAGACTGTAACTGCGGTGGCTGTGCCCTCGTCTTCAAATTTGTCGATCTGCTTCGTGGACCCAGTTCTCCGCCTTTGATAAGGTATATACCATTCGTCAGCGCCTCCCTAAAAAATCATTCTAATTGAAATGGAGCATCTTAGCCACATAAGGACGAAACACAGTCCGCTTCCCAGCTAGGCATTTGAGTATGTGTACCCGAAGTTACGCATTCTTTTGGAGTAGGATGTTCGCTCAGTAATGAAGCTCGTCAATAGTCAGAGCGACTAGGTGAGCTTTTGTTTCCGGCATCATCACCACTTCACCGAGCTCTCCCTGCTTGACGAAGGTCGTGCGTCACCTAATCATATTTCATTCAACGGACTCCCCCTCGCACGTCGATGTCTCCATCTTATGATACCTCGCTACTTCCGTTCTTGCTAGTATCCCGGCCTGTTATCTCATATATGTCCTGGAAAGGCACCACCATTGAAACGAGGGTTGGAATCTAGAGCCTAGGGGGTTCCACCATCGTTCAGAATGGTTGCCGTCGATAACCGAAATGAAGAGCTTTGGAACGGAGATTGCGCCTCTGAACGATGCCGAATGGGCAGAAACATCGGAAGTCGACGAAGATGAGAGACGGTGTCAAATGGCGACCTTCCATAGCGCATCGGGAGGGCCAGCGCCCCATTCTTCCGTTACCCCCCAGTGATCACGATGCTTCTTCATAGTTCATCTCCTCAATTTCCGATATAGACTCTTATCATTTGCTTATCATACATCTGATAAAACTTCGTCCAGTCATCGGCAAAATCTCGCATTTCCCGATGACCTCGGAATGCCACATCGTATTCTTGACTCAAACCTGCTAAATGAACTTTCGTTCCTTTCCGTCCTTTGTCTTGCCAGGAGGCGCTGATCCTAAGCTCGTGGATCATGTGTCACGACGAAGATATTCATCTCAAGCAACCATTTCACGTCCGAAGTTAAATACTGGAGGTCAATCTTTAGCCCAGCTATTCAGCTTTGCCTGAATACACCCCGACATGTTATCCGAAGGTCGGATTCCGGCGTTACATCCCCAAAAAATTGTCACGGTATGTATACCAATTGTCAACTTGAATTTCAATCGTAATCTGGCTAAGTAAGGATAAGTACGAATAAAAAGTGAGACATTTGTTGATCCCATGTGTAAAAAACTAACTATTTGCATTAAGAGGGAATCGAACCCCCGGCGGGTCGACATACCTTGAGTGACGAAAGCCATGGCAACGACCCAGGTTACCACTACCCCATTAATGCGACGAGAGATCATACCTAGCCGCAATTATGTCTAGTTGTATGATAGTATTTTTTTTCCATGTTGATACATATTTGAAGCCACAACCTACGATGACCATTGACCAGCGTCGCATCGAGTCCACTGTCCCGGGTCCGACAATAGTCAGTTCTACGAACAAACAGAGGGTGTGAATGTGGCAGGGCTGCTATCAACGGCAGATTGACAGTTGCGGTGCCGAACCGTGCCATCGACTAGATAGCGGGCTTTTGCCTAACCTCATGTGAGAGCCCGGTACACTTCAACTTGTTATATCCGGCCACCATGTAAGTCAGTTTCCTGAGGGGCTGCCACCAAACCTTCAATTTCTAATGACAGTTCTTGCAGGTCAGTTCATGTGGCCCCTCGGCCCTGGATCCGGGGGAACGGAGTCTTTTCAAGGCCCTTCCGACCTCTTTCGACTTCCCAACTTACAAGACATATATTTTAGGGTAAATTTCGGGGAGATCTCGTAAAAAAGACCTGCATCATGGAGACCTTTTTTCCGCAGCTTTCTTGTTGACCTCAACCATCGCCGCTGCCATCCCCCCCAGCAGAAACGCGCTATATGAACCACAGCATCAAGCACATTAGGTTGATTCTTTGAGGCTTCTTCTATCCCCGGGAGCGCAGTATGTTTAACGTTCGTCGAATTTACCCCAGACGTCTGTTAAATAATAACTATTCACGGCAGGATGTCCCCTCACGTTCTCAAATTCTATCATACACCTTCGTCGACAGTTGCGTCACCATAGCTGGTGTAACGATCATAGTACCTCAAGTTCCATATGGGCGTGACGCTGATCTGATCGTTTTACTAGGCGTATGATTATCTCTGCACCTTGAAAGAAGAGGTGAGTCGTAACGACAGCCCGAAGAGCGTAGAACCGTAACCCCTGACACTGACTCCGTAGATATCATATGCATGGTCGTGCCCGTGGTCCATGGGACTCATTCTCTTCTATTTAAACCGGTATCTACCATTCCTTGATCAATCGATTCTGTTATACAGTGAGTAGTATCAATTCCAACAGTAATTCCTCTGAAGTGAGTTTAGTCAGATTCATGGCGACGTCTCCTCAGGTCTCTGTCCCAGTTCATTCGAAAGGTTCCAAATCTAAAGTATCTGCGTGCACAATAGACGTGCTTCAGGCTCTATGGAGTAACACTCTGTTCGTGACTACTCTCATTTTATGTCAAATGACTGAACGCTCCCTTCAGCTTCGATTTCTGTCGGTTTTCTGTCTGCGCAAAGTATTCCTTGTCTCACATCTTTCAACCTGATTTCTAACTTTCGGCGCTCAAGTAATTCTAACGTTGAGGACGTGTGGAATGTGGGAGAGACGACGTTGGGTCACGACATCCCTCGGAACGCTGATGTCGGTGAGCCCCAGTCATCTCTGCATTATTTCCATCACCTAGAATAAAAATTAGGTATCCATTTTATTCGCTATATGTATCACAGCTTTCCAATTAAAGTCTGTTACAAGTACGTCCGAATCATATTCTTGATTATAATTCACTTACTGGTGATCGTGCTCCTAGTCTCGGAAACCACTCCTACAGGATGTATCGTGCAACAGTCCCGAGGTCTAACCCTCTCGGTATTCATATCCATATTTCTGGTAGAATCAAGTGCGTACCTTCGCAGCTTCAAATGGAACACATTCGGAATATATTTTCATTCAGCGATCGGAGGATTGACAGTAATCCGAGCACATCAATATTGTAAGGCTATCCCCACTCAATGCCATGCACCCTGACAGTTTTGTTGTCAGTTCGCCAATCAAGGGCACTGTGGGTCAGCCAAGTTTACAGAAGCGGTACATGTTCCAGAATTCTACGTTGCTACGTTTGTCATTTCTTTCAACAGGTATTCTGTACTGCATTTGCATACTTCGTAAGTTATCACGAGCCAACTTTTCCTTGTATCGTGACACCTTTGGATTTCTCTCACAGTGTTGAGCCTGGCTAACATCCTTCTTCTGTCTACGCCTTCGGTATGTTGCTTCACTCCTTGGTACTCTACGTCTCTAACTTTTCAGTAGTCGGGGGTGTACAGGGCGATTTTAATCAGGTTGGGCTTTTATCCCTCCCCGTTTTTGGATTTTGCTAATAAATAACACCGATAAAACACAGCCCTACGAGAGTCTTCCACTCTATTTTTGGGAACCGTGTGATGCTCTTAATTCTCCGGCACCGATATAATATACTACAACGCAACCTGCCTGGTAGCGAAACCAAGACATCGTCCATATATCTTACTAGTGTGGTTGTGGATTTGGGGTGGGATACGAATACCAGTGACATAGAGCTACCAAAACGTATGGAACGTGTGGAGGAGGGAGAGGAGGATTAGGTCGGGTTATCGTTGTCACAGTTCAAGCTGGCCGACGCCACGAGGCCGAAACTAATTTAATGTACTAACATTATGCGATGTGATATGAATTTCTGTAAACTATAAAAATTTACCCGCTCAATACAATCTCAATATACCAGAGAGTAATACAACCAGGTGCAGGCGAAACGCCACGATCGGGTGATGTGAACCAAATATGAATTTAAATTCTGGGTATATAACAGTCAAAAACTACTCCTGAAGGTCGTGGCATAAACATATAGAATACACACGGTTGCGTCGCCAGAATTTTTGTTTCAAGCGATAATACACGCAAGCATGTCTCAGCCGCTTCAACGAGCCGATGGGGGGTACGCTTATGCTTGGGCGACTTCTTCTGACGTAAAGGCCTCAGTCCACGTCATCCCTGTGAGCGATAGTAAATTTGGGTGACCAGATATGGAGAGACACGTTCGTTTTTTTACCATCTTCCGAGGCTTTGGTACCTCCACCTCCGCAGAGATTTTAACAAAAAGTAGCAGAGGAAATCTCTTCTCATCCTCGAAAAAGCCGTAACTCGGACTCAGTAACACCAGCGAACCCGTATCCCGAGAGAGGTTGAGCCTTGTCATATGGATAATGGACATGTCATATGACCCGTCAAGAGGCTAGACTAATGTGTAGACGACGGGCGAAAATGAAGATGCGGGGTTGCGCAGGTGCCACATAGCCTATGGGCGGGACATCGGAGATCAGCGCTCCACTGGCTGGCACGCAACAGCGGGCGGGAAAGACTGCGGGGTTGATGAGGGAAAGCGGTGTCGTACGCCCAGGTTACAACACTGTAAAGCCGTCTTGGCAGTATGGTTGAGGTCTTGTTGGAGGTCCACTGTTCCAGAGAAACAACTAACTCCAGTATCCCGGTCACGGAAAGACGGTTGGAATTTGTGTCAAATCTGAATTATTTCATAAGAGCAGTAATCGAGTATTTCATTTGAGACGAATGCTACAGCCGGATGGTTTCTAATAGCGAGGCACAATTCCCCGTTGGAAATTCAGACGTTGTGGACTGGGAGGAGGCGTTTGACGATAGGAATTGCGCGAAGCTGAGAAAGAAGGATTTGTAATAATCAGATCGTCGAGACTCGAAGAAATTGCGGAGAAAGGACCGACCACCAGTGACAGTGAGAGAAGAATTGTTATTCGATTTCATGATCGTAGTGTTCGTCGTATTCCCGGAGTTGGTATTGTGGTTGATGGTGGCATTAATAGATTTTTTTGCGCTCAACAATGCGGTCATGTCTGTCACCGGCGGTGCGACAAGTATGGGCGGTGGGCTGGCCAAGCTGGTCACGTCTATGGGTTTATGTTCATTGATGGGAGCTGCTGAGATTCAGTAGGCGGGCGGATGAGATCCAAGGGGCATTACTCACCACCATAGCTTATGGAGTCGTTGTTATTTGAATCGGAAACCATGGTAGTTGTTGTATTACCAGAATTTGTGTTGGTGTTTACTACCAGAGTGTCGCGAGTGTCTCTGTGGTGTTTAACGTCTTGCAATATTTCCTTTACGTCCGTCCTGATCTCAGTGGCTTGTTCACGGAGGTCAACATTGCATTCAAACTGTTGCCACACGGTTAAATCAAGTGAGAGAAACATAGGGTTATATGACGTACGTTGAAGTTGCGGAAGGCTACTTCGATAGCCTTGCTATACCCTGCTATTTTATTCTCGTCTCTGTTCGGCAGCAACAAAGAACGGAAGAAGAAGAAGATCATCCTTTTCTTTGCATACTTGGATGCGTATTTCTGGACGTCAGCGAGTGTACTGTCAACGAAATTATGGGATCCAACGAGTGATGAAAAATGATTAGCATAATTCGAACCTGCAGAGGGTGCTGAGGTCCTCTTTGAGTTTTCCTGTCTCTTGAGGATTTTTGATGGATGTTATCACTTTGTAAGTGTAATTACAGGTTTCGGTGGCAAGATCATTAAAGGCTGATTTGTTACTTCTCGCTTTCTGTATTTATTACTATATCAGTGATAACTCGGGGATCACGGGGAGCTAAACTTGCCTGAACCGCTTGTAAAATCAATAAAGCTGATCCAGCAGCTTCCTTGAGTAAAGGGAATGGTGCAGATCCCGCCGCATCGACTAAGGCGCTTAAAACTGTTTCGGAGACGATGAGTGTGATGTCAACTGCCTTGGCGGATTTTGAAGGCATGGTGGAGGCTTTACAATGCCTGAAATGAGTCGTCGATAGGGTAATGGCGACTGAAACTGTGGTTGAGCTAAGCTAAGCTGAAGAGGACGGTGAAGCTGATACAGTCGTACCCAGAATGAGAACAAGTATATATACCCCCACAAAACCTTGGACCGACAATACAAGAGATGTTCGTTGGAAAACAAAGAAATTCTTGACGGGCAACTGTCAATCGTCGTAGCGCAGAGTCATTGCGGTCGTCAACGGTGGTGGTAACGGCGTTCAAAGAATGAAGCAAAGAACAAAGAATACTTTGCCGTCACGCAGACCTTGTAGATGGTAGTGTTGACTTGTGCAATGAGAACAATTGATTTGAAGACACCGGCTGTCAGACGTGTGTACCCTGGCGACAACAGACTTGGCCGCGAGGGGACAAAGCAACTTGAACCTGTCAGAGTTACATCATTCATTCATTTCGGTTGTTTGTGACGGTTCCCACAATCACGTTTGCCTTGTTCCTCCACTCTACAAGTGTTCCTCGCGTATTTAATGTCTACTTGTAAGGGACTCGCAAACTGTTGCTATCTTCAAGCTATGCTATTTTTATTTATTCTTCCAACCTTTCAAATTGATGAGGTCCCTCCCAATCTCGAGCTCCTAGGACCTCCCCTATGAATTGGCCTCAGGAGAGGCCTTCTGGAGACTAACATTTTTTTAAAATCTTTATGAGTAAGTATATGAGGAATTTTATTTAATACATACGTTGTATAGAGTGGAACTACCGTCTCTCATGGCTCTAATTATAAGGGAACACATTCCCATCCAAGTATTAAATTGAATATATGTAATCACTGATGTTAAAATGAATCTCCCAAATTATTTCCTTCCCTTCCACTGCCTAAAAAGTGGCACATAAAATCGAAAGTAAGTTAGTTGCTTGGTGTTGGGTCCCAGCAAGGTCAAGAGCAAGGTCCAAGCGTCACCACTGCTTTCGGAAAGGCTTACCTAATCAACTAACACGTCATCTTCCCCAACGTTTAGCCCCTCGTCAGCCCTTCCATCTCGCCCTCATCCCCTCGCGCGTCTCTGTTTCCGCTTTTGGAAGGCATGGCTGAAGAAATATTCTTGATACGAGTCTAAGGAGGGCTACAAAAGGATTGCAGCGCGATTGATGTCTGAATCCGCCGTGACTCTGGTATGACCGCGCCTTCAATGAGTGAGCGCAGTTGAAAGTACGACAGCGTTTGTTGATGATTACTATGTAACCTAACGAATTCCACGTTTAGATGCTTTGTTCTTGCCCAATTCTTCATGCAATTCGCAACAATTTGCTCCGAAAAACGGAGGGAGGATCCGTTTTTTACCACAGATGCCATCACGATGGCTAAGGTTCATTCGGTGTTCACGTCCTTAGAGGTATGTTCAGTCGCCTTCCATTCGTTTTGATCTAATTCGCATGTTTCAAAGGGCAAAAGGGTCAAGACTTTGCGTTCACCAGTGGCGCCGGAAGGCGATGCCAAGGTCCATTCATCTATGCTATACAAGCGCTGTATGGCGGCTGGTGACAATGGCGGTATTCTGGGCGTGGGTGGGGCCAGGACGACCCAGGCTGTGGGCATAGTCAGTAGAACGAATGTGTCTGGCTGATAGATGAGCTTACTCTTGATGTTCCTCAAAGGACGACACATGCCAACTCGCCCACCCCCACAAACCCCAATCCCTCCCTCTGTTCTCTCGTTTCATATACGTCCTTATGATCTGCGTGAGAACAGGACGGTAACATGGATGAAGACCGGTATTGATCACTGGAATCTCTTTTCCTGACAATGATCCAAAACAGAATTTCAGTGAAGTTCACGAATACGCAGTTTGACGGGTTCAATGAAAGGTCTAAGCTTCGAACGGTTCTCGCGGAATCCGCCGACGGAAGGTCAGGTCATGCTGAAGCACTGAAAGCGTCTGTCCAGTGGAACCGACGAATGAACGTTAGTGCTATATGTGCAATTCGTGAGCAAATCACAACAGCTTACCTCTCGGCAGAGTCGAGATATGTCATCATTTGGAAGCCATAAATCACACACATGTCGTCAAACGGCATAGCAAAGGTGCCACGCTTCTCTTCATACTTACGCAAGGTGGTTAGATCGGCCACTGAAGGCATCACGAAGAAAGTTATCGGCTCGCTGCTGCCTCAAAGGTGCGACATCTCTCAGGCACTTTGACCCAACTTGATATATGAGGACGCTTTTTTCCGTGGACCTTAATATTGAATCGATGACACCTGAAATGTTGTCCAAAATAGAACACCGTCATCCTCCACGCCCATAAATAAGGGGCATAACTGTCCTTCTCCCTTCATTCCGACTTTCCCCTCTATTCTCAACAGATATGTCTCTAGAACTCGTGTCTGGATCTTACACCATCTCCAGTCTTTCCCAGCATGGCGAGGGTAACGTCGGCAGACATATCATTGAGGACAAATCCCTCAACCCTAAGAGGATTCTCGCTCTTCCACCCAGCTTTAGGCCTGTCCAGACGGTGGGCTGTGTCGTCTTTGCTTCACTCTCATGAATTGATGAATTACCTCAGTGGGAGATCGAAGCTCTGGGAAACAACGAATACTACCTGAAGACAAGGGGCACTAAAACTACCGCAATCAACGGTCTCATCTTCGCCTTACTCCTCCCCGAACCGGAGCCGAAGAAATGGTTCCTCAAGCTCAATTTGTTCTCTCGAACTTCTTACAAGTATATATTATCATTTTTCCGAATATTCGTTCATCCTCATTTTGTCTGCAGCATCCTGGATGCCGATGATCGTTCAAAGGGCTGGATCTCGCCCGAAATCAACGACAGCGAGGAGGTCGAACAGGTGAGACCCTATCTACGCCGAGTTGAACGAAGTTATAAATCTGGATTTTTTAAAGGTGAAATTCGGAGATGTTGGGGGAAGCCTTAATCCATTCGAACTCTGGAATATCGTCCGTGTCAAGGACTGATGTGCACCTATGAGAACCGAGTGGGAGGTCTTGACAGATTGAATTTGCGCCGGTAACAGCAGAGAGAAGTTTATGGAACCCCCCCAATGTACTTTAACTGTGACCCACCAATTGTTGTTTATGAATGGCAGGCTGATGAAGCACGGTTGGCGTCATGATCAATTCTTTCTGAGCGATGCTCAACGTTTAACGGGAACTCCCTCAATATTCAAATTTGGAAATTCCGCACGATATCAAAGTCGGATGGTTCTGATTATGAATGAGCGCACTATCATGTTACCTCCTCTAAACCTCCTCTAAACCTCCGACAAAAGTGTGCTATCGAACCGTGATTTGCACGATAACCAAAAACCAAAAAATGTTTCTACCCCCTGTAGTCTTTGATCCAACCCTGGTTTACAAAGTACTGATCCAGCAAAACCCAAATGTACTGAGACAACCCCCATTATTAGATATATAAAGTACTGATCTAACCTTTTTATAAGTACTGATCCAGCATTTTCCAAGTACTGATTCAACTCTTTTGGAAGTGCTGATACAACCCCAGTTTTGATGTATTAAAGTACTGATCCAACCTGGGTTTTGGTGTATCAAAGTACTGATTCAACCTGGGTTTTGATGTACTAAAGTACTGATCCAACCTGGTTTTTGATGTACTAAAGTACTGATCCAACCTGGGTTTTGGTGTATCAAAGTACTGATCCAACCTGGATTTTGGTGTATCAAAGTACTGATTCAACCTGGGTTTTTTACTTACCATATTTGGATTATGATCAATAATTCTTTTTGATTGATAACAGATAAGCTACATCTTGGCCACTTACCACCACCATTCTAGCCTCTGCTATACCACCACCACTCTAGCCTCTGCTATACCACCACCACTCTAGCCTCTGCCGTACCATCACCACTATAGCCTCTCCTGTCTCTGCACTCAAATATGCCATCAAAGCAAGCAGGTCTCCAATATGCTACTGTAACTGAAGAGAAAGATGGTTCTCTGGCTTGCTCTTGTCAAGCATTTGATCAAACTGGCAAAGCTTGTGTTCATATCAAGGCTGCTAGGCTCCAGATTGCCTATGGACCAGTGACTGACTATATTGGTAGGTCTTATTAGTCTTCAACTAAAAGAATAGCTGTACTGATGGAACTTAAGAACTTGAGACTATACAGAAAACTTGGGGTATCAAAGCAAAGGGCCAGAAGCAGAACCCTTCCAGGCCTATCAAGGGCCACCATCATCAAGCTGTCTCTGATGCAGCTGTTTCTAGGGAGTTGGATAAAATTCTATCAAAATTAGAGGATGATTCTGATTCTGAGCCTCCATCTACTCTACTTCTGATTTCTGATAGTGATGAGGCTTATCAGTCTCTGTATGTCAAAATCCTTCAGAAAGGTATGTTTTATTTTGGCTCTTCTATTGATGACTTATTAATGAACTTTGAGGTCCTGGAGTCACACCAAGCAGACCACCACAAGCTAAACCACTTCATCCTAATCGCACACCAGTTCAGTTCAGCCAGAAACCAGGACCCAAGCCAAAACCTCATAATTCTCTTTTACCATCTCAGTCAAAATCACCAACCAAGCCAGTCAACTTTTCTCCCAAGAAAAGTCCAAGCAAAAGTTTCATTCAAACAAAAACAATGAATCAGATGAGGATATGGATGATCTTGAGGTAAATATAATATTTCAAAGTTTTTTTGGCTGATCAAGCATTTCAAGAGTTTAATCCTGATGAACAGCAGATGTTTCAATTGGATTATTCACACTGGAATTCAGTGAAATATCAGCTCCGTCAGGATGAGATCATTGGTATTGTGGAAGTGCTTAATTCAATCAACCCAGGAATATCAGGATCAACATTAGTTATGTCTGGTGGTGCACAAACAGTTGCCAAACATAAGTGTTTGACAGATCATCAGTCAAAACCTCAATCTAGATTAAATAGATCAAAAAAGATCAATAGAAAAAGAAATAACCAAGAATTACGTACATGAATCTTGACTTTCTGGGGACAACTACCAGTTTTTTGGCTTGCCTTCTTCACAACTCCCTTCTTTTCAATCTGCTGATCAACTCCCATAGCTTCTCTTCTGTTTTCCTCATTCTCATCGCTAACATCTTCATCCTGATCTTCTTCAGCTGCAGATTCTTCTGACTCTGGAGCTTCAGCATTGCATCCACCAAGACATTGATACTCAACACAGAAGATAGGTCGAGATTCATCCTTATATTTTGAAGGAGCTTTGCGATTTTCAGTGGTCCAATTGAGAATAAATGGACGAGCACATATATCTTTAGGCCGATCGCAAGGATGACCAAAAAATTGCATGGAAACAAGTCTGCTGGAGATTTTATACTCTTGAGGTGAGTAGTCATTCTCCTAAAAATCAGAAAAACAATTAGTATCAGGATTCAAATTTTTGAGAACAAAAGATATCACCCAATCCTGGAAAAGCTTGTATAAAACAGCTGTTCCTGTTTTCCCTAGACATTTCCACCCATCTCTCTCTGTTGTCCTGGTCGTCGGGAATAGGGTCAGTTCTAGCCTTCTCATCTGTTTTCGATGGTCGACCAGGTTTTTTGCAAGTGGGCTATATACAGATCTCACCTCAGAGTCTAGCATCAAAGAAACATAAATACTGGACCTTAACAGGAGGCTTTAGTTTCTTAGCCTTGGACCGCAAGTCAGAATCACGATTCTGATCATCAACGTCCATGTTGTCATCTGAGTCAAGGATCTGCTGGTGCTTGTGCTAAAACACACATGTTAGATTTTCCAATGAAGATTTGCATGTACTTTCTACCTTCTTAAAGCTCTTAGCATGATTTTTGACCTTGGAAGGACTTGCACCTTCAGAGTTTGATGTTAAGTGCTATTTATCACACATCAGTAATATTAGATGGGAAATGAATCAATCTAACAGACTTACCTGACGTTTCTTGTGACCTTTAGCCATAGTATGGAGAGGAGATGGTGGTACAGAGTCAAGATTACAATAGTTGTGGCAGGTGTCCAAATTAGGAAATTTGAAAAACCAGGGTTGGATCAGTACTTTTGTGAGGCAAAAACCCGGGCTGGATCAGTACTTCTGTAAGGCAGAAAACAGGGTTGGATCAGTACTTCCATAGAACATTTTAGGGGCTGAATCAGTACTTTCATGGGAGATACTACAGGCTGAATCAGTACTTAATTAAAGGTTGAATCTTGGTTGAATCAGGAGTTTAAAAACTATAAAACCCAGGGTTAGATCTAGTGTTTAAAGGTTCAGTTCAGTCCGGTTTTTTGCCCCGAAAACGCGCAACCGTGGACCGCAACCGGTCCAGGACCGACCCAGATATTGAGGGAACCAAACCGAACCACCTAGGACCGGTCTTTTGCGGTCCATGATACCGGTTCAGACCGATCCAGACCGGTTTTTTGCGTATAATTTATTATACCAATATAAACCATTTGTATCTCAACCATTATTACTCTGAAAAATAAACGGGTTATATAAAATAGTAAAGCATATAAATACCCGTCATTCTACCAATTTTCAAGAGATTTAATGAAGATTTGACATAGCTATGACTGAAACTGAATTACATCTCCTAGAGACTCGGGTAAAATATGGATTTGGTTATATCTTTCTCAATTCTTAACCGTTTTTGATGAAACAAAAACCCAATAAAAGGCAATAAACGTGGTTACAAGGCTATGTAGCGCACGTGATCGTTTAACCGGTTGCAACCGATTAAAACCGGTCTTTGAACGGTTTTAAAAGATTTTCGAAATGAGGCAACCGGCAACCGGACCAACCCCAAATTGGGGCAACTGCAACCGAAAAAAAGACCGGACCATGGTCCGGTTCAGTTCGGTCCACCGGTTTTTTGCGGTCCTATGGACTGAACCTTTAAACACTAGTTAGATCAGTAGTTGAACATTCAAAAGAAGGGTTGTATTAGAACATCATATACCAGGGCTACATCAGTAGTTTAAGAGCTTGTAAAGAGGGGTTGGATAAGTAGTTTAAAACTTCAAAAGCAGGGTTGTGTCAGTACTTTGAGAGCTTGAAAAGAGGGTTGGATCAGTAGTTTAAAACTTCAAAAGCAGGGTTGTGTCAGTACTTTGAGAGCTTGAAAAGAGGGTTGGATCAGTAGTATAAAACTTCAAAAGCAGGGTTGTGTCAGTACTTTGAGAGCTTGAAAAGAGGGGTTAAATCAGTACATTACAAACCTGAGTTGGGTTTGTAGTTTCCTTAAGGTTGAATCAGTACTTCATATTTAGTTGGATCAGTACTTTTATTTTCGGGGTTGGATCAGTACTCATAAAAGGGGGGTTGGATCAAAGACTACAGGGGGTAGAAATCCATCTTGCAACCAAAAAGTTAAAATTGTTCATGTGTCGTCGAACATGATTACATATCGACCTCATGATCTCCTACGATGGAAGGAGATTGCTTCGAGGTCCGACGTGATCGAACCTGTCAGGTACTCATTTCCAGACCATGCACATGAAATCACAGTCCAACAAGCTTCACCGTCCTCCTTCCGCTAGCTATGTTCTAATCTCAAACCATATCTGGAGGAGATGTAGTAGGAAACCTGTGGACATTGAAAATGTAAGAACCCTTTGGCCGGCAACTTGAAACTCTACCCATCAGATGTATAAAGCAGCCAACCTGCCTTTCTAAGTCTTCCTTTGAACAACGACAGACTTGGACAATCGTGACCGCGTGACCTAGATAACCTCTTGTGAATGGAATGTATACTTTGCAGTATGTACAGATCCCACTGTTCAGCAGTTCTAGTGAAGCGTTCAGGATGACTGAGTCATGATCATAGTGCAACGGACATGGAACGGGGTTCAGCTCTGCTGTCATCTGCGTAGCCAACATGTCGTACCGGCGCATAGACTCTGGGGAGTTTCAACATGATTCAAAAAGCCTGACAACCACATCAGGAAAAAAAGTGGTTACGACATTGCACAATATAGTCGTGGTAGCTATGGTAGCACTTTTGCAACCCCCCATTTATATAGCACTCCATAGCATCACTGTCAGTTTATATAATACTATAATTACATATATAGCCTCACCTGCTCACGACATAGTCCCCCATAGTATCATAGTATGGAAGTCCAGTTTTTGTACATAGACAGACATAGATAGTATTGTACAACATAGCACAGAAAGAAACCAATACATATATATTTCCCCCTCCTGGTGATTTACAAATGCTGTCTATAAATAAGGCGATACTAATCAACAAACATATCCATCTGTCTCCAAGCTCTCCTCATACGCCTGCACCAGCATGCTGACTACGACATGAGCAAAAGAATAATCAGCCAAGCAATTATTACAGAACAAAAAGGAATACCGTACTGCCCATAGCTGTACCAACGCCGCCGAGACAAAGGGGGCTGTAAGTGCGGAGAACATGGACGAAGGACGCTGACTGGAGATGAAGAGGACGAAAGCACAAACTTTCTAGAGACGAGGAGGCAAAGGGGGGTGTGAATACGACAAACACGGATAAGAGACATCGAAAGTATGCAAGCGCGGGGAAAGGAATGGCCCAGCGTGGGGAAAGGGATGGCGGGTGCTCACCTCTGAATCGGGCCCCTGTTAACCCCTCTTTGCTGCTGGCTATGCAGCAAGGGAGGAACCTATGTGACCTCAAGGCTCGGCTGCCTAGCCTTGAGCTTGAGCAGCTGTTGTTAATAGCGGTTGTGAGGAATTGGAAAGACTTACACGTTGGGCCTCTCATCGATGTGTCGATGTCGTGGGAGGGAAGAACAACGTGTAAAAAAAAATATCATGGTCACATGGCGTCAGAGTTTCAACGGACTTGTGTTCAACTTTTCGACACACATCCAACCTCAGCATCCTCTCATCGCTGGAGCCGCAGCTCAACCAGCAGTCTTGCCTCGGCAGTCTTCACATGGCCGCCTTGTGTTCACATTGACAGATTCACCTGCGACATAGTCTGCACCTTCCTCACTTCACGGCCGACCGTTCGTAACGAACTCACAGCGCCTCACCATTGTTTTCCACATCTTCATCTACATCGTCGTGGCCGCATTCCAACCGCATTCTGCATCTTTGGGTTCATCCCTTCCCATCCATCTCCTTCACACTCCCCACTCACCCTTGCAAATTTAAAAGCATATTCTCCGCACTCAGAAAAAACGCTAATCCTCCCAGTCTATTCACGTCCTTCATCCTCAGACAACTCCTCTTTGTTGGGGATCAGGCGCTGTGTGATTATACGTCCTCTCCTCCCCCTCTACGGCCCTTCAGAACATCGGGTTGTGCTCCAGCACAGTGGACGACCAGCTCTTAAAACTCCTGTGTGAACGGGCGGCGGTGTTTAAGGGCCTGGCGATTGCGTTCCTTGTGACTACCTGGATGTTGGAGATCTGTACGTTTTTCTGCATTTATGGTGGGTGATTGATTTACTTACTTGCGGATGTTGTAGTGTCCATTTATGCCTCTTGTCAATACCTGACTCCGTCTCTCCTCCGCTTTTCTCCTCCGACACACCCAACACAACCGCCGTAACCGCCTGTTCTCCCCGCTCATCCTCCTTCGAATATTTCGCCTCTCCCTCCTTCCGATCTCCGTTTGCCCATCTGGGTTCCAGAGCCAGCACACATCAACCATATCCCCTCCAAAGACTGCTGTGCTCTCTCCATTGACAGCTCACCGTCGCCCATGAGCACAGCTAGATCTCGAGGGTCAATGATCCTCTACAGGCTGCCTCCAGCTGAAGACGGCACTCTCATGCCACCTACATTTCCACATGGATCCGTCTATCCCACCTCTAGCAACTCCATTGTTTCCCTCAACCAACGACGACATTGAGGACAACACACACGACACAAGGGAATGGAAGGAAGGTGGCGCATTCTCATGGCGAGGAGTTATGTGGCATCGCCGTTGATAGTGGCCTTCTCTCTTGTCCCCGTGAATAGACTGGTGCGGGGATGTTTCAATTGGCAAGTGTGGTGCAAAGATTGACCGAAGTTCCCAATCCCTACAGAGACCTAGATCTACCTAGATAGTTTTTTTGTCTTCAAATGTCCGTCACACTAAATTAAAAGCCCTTTGCATCTCAAAACATTGATTGATTAACTACAAAAACATGATACTTAAGTAACCTGTCTATGAGAGCCTGGTAGCACTGATAGCTACTGTAGCACTTGGCAGCAGCTACAGACCCGACAATAGATGCGGCGGCACCTCTGTCAGCCCTATTGCACAATGCAACGGACCAACGGCCTACAGACAATGATCAGCACGATGATGAAATGTGTCAAGCTATTGATGACTACAACAGGTACGATCTGCTACTGATCTAACCGACGATCTATCGGCTAAAACTTTTTTTCCTGATGCAAGGTTGTCGCAACCTGATAGCGGCAAATTGCAATAGCCTCACTTGAGACTTGAATCTTTGGAAGGTGATGAGCCTGTAGCGTGGATACTCTCGGTGGGCTTAGGGTTATACTCACGCGGCGGACTTTGAGGACGGCCTTGCAACGGCCTTGACTAGCTTGACTGACAATGTACGATAGTTTGCCACGCTGAAAAGTTTGCGATTGTTTGGCGGCAGCCTCTTCCCTTCGGAGTCTCGAAGTCAACTCGAATTGCCCTGGAAGCCAAATCGAAGCCAGCAAGCTCGGATACATGAGCATGGTTGTCTGGAGGATTTTTTTTGGATGGGTGACTTAAAGGCTTTTTCACTTCGAGGGTTTGCTAACGTCAACTTCTGTATGGAATCTGAACCAATCTTGAACCCAACTTGAACCTTGCTTGATTAGTACTACGTTACTACTACTGACCGATCTGTAATCCCTTCCGCTCTCAAAGTGAGTCTGGAGGCACATTGGAAATATATTATAATAATTTGTATGTAAGTGTCCCAATTCCGACTAGTTTTATCCCATCTCTCATGCTCAATCATCTGCACCCAGCTGAATCGGTATCGCGACACCGAAGTAATAATGGAGGGGGGCCCAAAGCAAACCCAGAGTACAAACCGCCAGGCACAAGCAGCATCCCAGAGCAACCAAAAAGTCAATCCACATCTCCGGACTCGTCATTTGCCTCAACGAAGACAAGAGTCTGAAGCGCCCCCAACTGCCCATGGCATTCTTCTTCAAAAGGAAGATAATACGCCTCTCGAAGATTAAGAATCAGGCGGCAGCCTAAAATTCTCGAGAATAATTGAGAGAGGCCATAGGCGATTGGCATGTAATAATTCTGCGAGGAAGATGAACGAAAAGAGTATCTAAACCGGTTGAAGCCTTACCTTTGGGTGAGCCCACCCCATGATATTCAGGATCCCTACGAAAAAAGCGCTATTTCGAGGGTTGAGCACAAGGCATGCATTAAACTGGTTTCTTACATCATGGGAAACATAATGCTGTCACGTAGCAGGATCGAATGCAATGGAAATTTGTTTAATGAGAGGAGTGATCTTGTTCCCTTGAAGTAGCTTATGCCAGCTCGTAATCCCATAAACAGGATTACCAGTTCAAATACAAATACTGGTATCCACGATATGAAATACCAGTTTGGGGAAAATGCTAGGCAGATGGGGAAGCTTTGTTGAGATTCGGTGTTGGCTGGATAAATAGGGGATCAACAAGCGATGTGACTTAATTACTAGAACAAAGATCACCAATGCCCAAATTCAGGTCGCGTGGGGAAAGGAGGCTTGGGGAAGGAAAACCTGAAGAAGAAAGGATATCTGGGGGAGGAGGGAGGCCTGAGGGAGGAGGACCTGGAGGGCGTGAAGAGGAAGGACCTAATGAAGGAGGGGGGCCAGGATTAGATCCACCATGAGCTGGATAAAATGGGGATAAGTAATGGATATGACTCCCTTCGTAAAAAAAAAAATCACGGGAGAGGCTACGCAAGTAAATCGCGTCGATCACCACCATCGAAATAATTTCAAGGGCAAATGCGATAGACATCCAGATTGTTACCTTTTTTGAGTGCTTGTACAGGCAACAGATTCGATATAGCATGATGGCTGGGTTGACCATCGATTCAAGTCAATCAGTGATATGGTAGTATGCCTGCTACGAACCTTGCATCGACCAAATCATAATATGGCATCCCCATCCTTGAACCTTCGACGCAGTTATACCTACAAGGTCTTAGCCGTTAGTCTCGAGAGTGGCGGTATTTACGCACATCTAAGCAATTATATGAAGTTGAAGATAATTGTCATGCAAATATTTAGACTCACTCCTGAGACACATTCTTTGCAAAGGAAAAAAGAATAACAAGCGGTAAGGATCGAAGTTAAGGGGTAAAGTAAATCAAACTAACCTTGGGAGAAAATTGAAGTATCAAAACTTCAACGAAACCGGGATTAGCTTGACGGCTCTAAAATCAGACAAGATATTCCCCACCTCTCGCCAAGTATCTAACAACGGTTTTGAGCAAAACGTAATCATAACAACGGAAATGTCAGAATTTTTGCGTACAAGGGAAGGGCTTCGCCGAAGTATCGATTCTGGAAACCCGACCGTTCATGAAATTATTTGTCGAAGCTCAGATACGAAAAACGTACAATTATGAAGAAGATATTCACAAGGGACCATTTTTTCCTCTGCAAACAGAATTAGTACTGAGTCTCGCCCCCGCATTTCACATACCCAGATGAGAGCGACCTAAATGCAACGAGGTGAGAGAATTTGGGGCTTCAGTAAACACATGAACTTCACCTCTACGTCTAACGTTATGACTGGAATACCCGAACATGTTAGCGCTCGTTTGAGAAGGAACTTGTAAAGAACTGACTGTGGTCATAAAGAACCGCAGCCGTGATCGCGACTGATTCGGAAAAGCTATTAGCAATGGAAGCAACTTCAATGCTTGATGGAACATACCTTGGACGTATGTTTGGAACTTCGCCTGTTGCGTAAAGCTGGCGAAGCTGTATCCAAGCATTGTATCCATATGGACGTAAGAGGGAGAAGGAAAGTGATAATGACCACTCTCAACGTGGACGTTTCGCACCACCTTGAATGCCCACAAACGCTCACGGCCTCGATTTCCGTAAATACACAGGGTCATCAATGGGGAGAAGATTTTCGGGTTGTGCCGCAGATCCTAAAGGGTTTTAGACCCTTATCAGCCCTCTTACAAGGGGTGGGAAAAAAGAATATTGTGCCGACGTCCCGAATCCTCCTCTCCAGCGACCACTCCACCAAGCTCCACCAAGCTCCACCAGAGTGAAGTTACCAGTAGTCTTAGATACTTCATCTCGTAAATAACATCCACATGCATGTTTCTCAAGGCAAATGCATACCGATCCAAAACTGTATCAAGAATCCAAATTGCGAAGTCAAGGCACGGGATCAAGGGAGCTCCCTGCAACTCCCCACTTGTGATTGGTTTCAAACCTGGATAAAAACACGGTTACTTACTTTCAGAATCAAAGTATTCGAAGGTTCAAACCTCGGGTCGCCTTATTGTGGTGGGATTCGCAATACTAATAGGCTATAACAGGCGAATGTGTCTTGCACTGGCATCCCACCAACCTGACTGATATCTAGGGGCACTTCTGGATCCGCCAATCCTACATTATGACATTTTTTGAAGCCTTTCTACATGTGGTAAACCGTGATTCTATATGGCCAATGATCAAAATCAATAGAATTGGACCCATCGTCATTCACTGTTTCCCGATCTACATCCCCTTAGGCTCCATATATCTAGTTTACAAGTAGATTTGACATGGACGAGTATTACGACGACGCGACGGGTGGGTCCTAGCTGGTCTCGTTGTCCTTCATCGTCGTTGCTGTTATCTACCTCGTGCCCGAGGTCATCTGCAAAGATCGTGATCCGGCGACAGCGGAGCGGGAGTTGGCGAACATCAAACCCTAAAATTATTGTCAGGGTTCTCAGACACAGCCCCGTGAATCCCTGAGCTGGAGAAGAAAATCTTGGTGTGAGGGAAAACCTATCGTTACAAATTATTATCTTTCCCATAAAATGTAGTTCAAGTGTTCAAAAATTTGGTAGTGTATGTATGTAGTAGACAAGTAGTAGATGATCTATCTCGAATGCCAAGATTACAAGAGGGGGAACTGGTGTAAGTAAGTATCACACACCTCCTACACAAATTGCAGGTTTTGGCTGCATGTAGGATCAACTTCACTCTCAAATGGAAGGTAATATGCTTCTCGAAGGTTGAGCACAAGGCGACAGCCCAATATTCTCGAGAGCAATTGACTAAAGGTCACCGATATTGTAATAGAATAAGACTGCAAAGAATGAGCTATGTAGCTGGTATAAGAGAAACGGGCGAACTTACGGCGAGCCTGGACCATACAAATACATTCACCCCTCCTACAATAAAAGCACTGGGACGATATAATTTAATTTTCAAATGTATAACCAAAAAATCACGTACATGAGAGGAAATAGGATGCTATCACGAATCAAAATTTTTCGTAATCCATGCTTCCCCAATGAATGGATCAATCGTGATTCCCTGAAGTACACCAGCCCAGCTTGAAATCCAAGTATGAAGATCATGAGTTCAAAAACGAACACCGCTATCCAGTATACGGTATACCGGCCTGGAAAATGCACTCCTATACACAGGTTCAATTTTTCAATGGACGCTGCTCTTTCTAAATTTTTGTGCATGTGATAGTGAGTAAAAATTGTGGGGGCAGAATCTGAACAAAGAATCACCAATTGTGCGGCGGAGGTACACCAAGTTAATGGCTGCCATTGACAGCACTTCGATGGCAAATGCAGTGACCATTAAAAATACAGCTTTTCTTTGATGTTTGTACATGCAAGACACCCGATATTGCATGATCGCTAGGGTGGAGCTCGGAATGAGTTATTTGTACTCATGGATGGAATGGCAGTTGTGGAACAAACCTTGCATTGACCAAATTAACACTGTGCTCCCCCATGCTTCCACCTTCACAAGGAAGTTGCCTAGACACCGTAAACGCTTCAGCTTTCAACCCCCTGAATAAAAATAAATAAATAATTCTATCTACATCTAATAAATGAGAAGAACATCCTGAGTAAAAGTTGGAAGCATTCCGAGAAAGAAAGTCACTCCTAATTTCATAGGAAAATAAATCGATACTCAACATGGTAAAGATCAACGAGTGGAAGGACTTTGACTTACATGATGAAGTCCAGCGGAGTTGGAGGGCTGGAATATCAAAACTATCGATTAAAGAATTATCGAATTTATAATTCTCCGTTGCAGAGAGTCGCATACCAAATGCTACGTATCTGCGAGAGCACGTCAACGAATTATAGGTTCTTACTAGACACATGCATACAGAATAAGTCCTTCCGCGAAATACCGATTCTGTAAGTTTGGTTTTTTTGCAGGTTTAATATTCAGAAGCAGGCGACGTACGATGATGAAAAGAATTTTCACGATGGACCATCTTTTTTTCTATGATCATATCCGAATGACCGAATGAGTAGCAATAAATTTTATCTTCAGGTGCCGTACCCAAATAAGCTCGAACTGGGATGCATTAGTAAGATCAGCGTTTAGCTAAGGCGAATTGGCCGTCGCACTAACTTCCAGTTCGAGTGTGGTAACTGGCGTCGCAAACGGTAAGCAAACGAGTGATTTATGAAGTTTTCGAAGAATCCTACGGTGATCGTAAAGAGCCACCACCGCAACCGCCACTCAGAGAAGCTTTCAATGAGTGGAGTGTGGGCGATAAAAGTTCACTTACCTTTGACGTACATTGCGCACTGGGTACCATAAACAAGTTGTGCTTCCTCGGAGGAATTCATTTTGTGGGGGGAGGGAAGAATGGTAGTGTTCGCCTTACACCGTTCTCGATCTTAAGTTAGAACTGTGCCCCGATGGCCCCGTTGGCGATGACATCTGACACGTTCAAACATGGAACGGCGCAACTGTATCAAGCGTAGCGATAAGCAAACCCGTAAGTTTCGGCGACAGGCTATTATACACGGACTTTAGCCTCGCCGTTATCTCACCGCCTTGCCCAAAGATTTACCTGTCGTGAACTTGAGCCGAATCCGCGTAGTGACGTCAACCATGCACGGAGGTTAACTTACCCCGATAATGTTTCAGTTGGCTAATGAAAATATTCAGAGTTGCGTCAATAGTTCTGCTCACCGTGGGTGTTCAACCTCCTCATTTCTAAATAAACTGTCACCCCTATAAAGTATCTCCCACTCATCGAAACTTGGAGGTTTCCCCCGCTACATTTTGTTACTAAATAGTAGTCACGGTATTTCCAATTATCTGGGTTGCGTTTGGGTTGCGTTGTACATCGTTTTGGCGAAGCCCAGGTGTCTTATTCCCATCCACTCAAGTTCTTTTAGTATACATGAATCCACTCCATTCTGCCCAAGTCGAGGCCTTCTATACCAGAAATATCGCTCAATCAATGTATCTCAAGGAGATGTGGTCTTGAACTAATCTACGACGGCCGAAGTGTAGATTGGAATAGTTTTGCGGACACATTCTCCCATTTATGTCTTAAATTTTCGTCAATCTAGGTGCTTATGCCACAGGCCAATCGCGCAAAGGTTCCCATTCATGTAATTCGATAGACATTATCCCTTTCAATCCGTTTTCCGCAGAACGTTGTGCTGGGTGGCTTATATTTTCACGTATGAGGAGTGTAAAATAATTCTCTGGATCAGCATTACCGTTCTACTGGGTCTTTTACAGGCAGAATTCGTACCCTGTCCCGACTCCCTTACAATCCTTCGGTACTCTGGCATTCACTCTCTGTTGAATTATCACTCGCAACTGTCGCTTTACAGCTTATTGGTTGTTTACTGATGGGGACTCGCTTGCCAATCAGTGGATCCCACTGGGTCTTTATCCTCGTTGGAGGACCCTGCTCAGGGATGAACTTCGCCTGATCAGTCGGTTCAAGTTGCAACATGGCAACCTCAACGTCCACCTGAATTTCCTCCCGCGTTTAATTAAGGTATTGAAAAAAAAACGGAAGGTACTTACTTCATGATCACTTGGAGGTGAAGGATTGGCGATGTGTATAACATTGATCGTCTCCTTCTCCGCAAAACGCACTCGCTTCGAAGGTGATGGCTGCGTTTCTGGTTCCGAATTGTTGTTGATTAATTTCATTGCTGTTCTTTTCCCCAGAAGGGAGGCCTGTTTCGTCGTTCAGTATCCAGTAAAGAATTGTGTAGAGTGTGAAGAACTGACGGGCTTAGAATTGTGCGGCTGCAGGACAGGTGTCGTGTGTACCACCTTTTCCAAAGCGGGAATGACCTGGACATAGAACTTCAGTTCACATTCGTCCGACGTTGTAGCACGAAATAATTTACCGGATTAGCGTCTCCCGCAGTGGGAGGCGGTTGCACAATATCAGGCTATTTGAAGGAATAGAATCAAGCTTTTTTCGTTAGACTTCTTTTTATCTACACTCACAGACTTTCTTCGAGACAACCCAAACGATAGCGCTTCCTTCAACTCCGCATTCTCGCCTTCTATTTTTTCCGAACGCATCTGCAACGCAGTGAACTCCTCCCTCAATGCCCAAAGCGCATCCCGGAACTTGTCCCTCTCCTTCTCCACTCTTTCGCACTTCATCTGTAAACGGGTCAGGTCATCAATTGGGTCCATAGAAACGCAATCTGAAGTCGTCTTTGGGCAGTTTATGTGGAATGGCTGTCTGGATGAACGTCGATGGCAAGGAAGGATGACGTTTGATATATGCTGTTGCGAAGCGTGTTGACTCGGAACGTGTGAAGGGCGTTTCTTCTCGACATGAAAAATAACAACAAACATCCCAACTCAGTTTCGTCAAGGCTCCTTCTACAGTACTCAACCTGAAAACTGGATAAAGGGAAACAATGTTCATGGCTAGTCCGAGTCCGAACACGATGAAAACCCAGAAGCTGAATCGACATCCGCTTCAATGTCCTCCTCGACAGAAAGTGACGCTTCGACAGGCCGAGCCTTAGTGGCGTTTCGAATAGGCATCTTTCTCTTAGCCACTTCCCCGCCCACACTCCCGGTCTCGCTGTTCATCCTAGATGGCTTCCGCTTAGACTTCTTCACGGTACGTTCGTCAGACACTTCTCCTTCGAGTTCCTCCTCCGCTCCCTTGCGGTTACCTTTGGATTTTCCTTTCGTCTTTGGCCGTGTAGGCTTCTTCGCGGCTTCATAGGCCTTCGTCCAAGGGGCGAGCTTATCGGCCAGCTCCCGAGCAAATTCCTCGTTGTACGATACGCACTCCATAGAAATTATACTGATCGACTAAGAGGTAATCAGAGCCGTCCGCATGACGCATCTTAAGTCAAACTTGCAAACGCACCTCTTCTCCACGATCAAAAGCGCCAATAACATCTTGCACCGAAAGATATTTTGCATCCTTATTCTCCTTGATCCTTTTTATCTCACTTTCCACAGCCTTTACATCAGGTTCTTCGCCGCCATTTCTCTTTCGAAAAGCGATTCGAGCGCGCATCTCCAGATATTCGGGGTATTTCTTATGTTCGACGATCTTCTTGCCCCATTTCTCCCTGACCTTGAAATGAAAGGGTAAGACGGTCAATATTGAATGGCATAGTTTGCAACTCACCGCTGGAGTTTGACTTTGAAACTCATCACGAGTCAGCGTCCCAGCCTCTTCAGGTGTGTACTGCCCAAGATAATTCCAGCGCGCCATTTTCTCGCTCCGCACAGGAGCAAAAAGCGACCAAACAGATCCCAGCATAGCTTTCCTGCACGAAAGCAATAATCCCGGACCGCCAGGATAACTGGGCATGTTCGGATTGAGTTGGTACGTTGCCGTTAGGAACTGGAAGTTGCGACCTGGAATCTTTTTCTTCTCGTCTTTTTTTCCTCGCGTATCCCATATGAAACCCATCATCGGCAAACCAAAGGTGTTGGTCAGGAATTGCCGCGGAAGTCTCAAATCATGGGCAGGCGGGTTTATTGCGTAGGATGGGATACCGCTGAGAACGTGAGCTGCTCGCTCAGGGTTTAAGACGAACAGGTCTCCCTCATCCTTGGCCTTCATCTGATGAGAGTGGATAGGGTAGATAAAACTTGAACAACCGAAATGGATGAAAGGACATACAGGAGCTGAAGGACTCTTGAACTCGTCCAAATCCTTAGAAGTAGACGCGGACTTCGAAGTAGATGCTTTCGAGTTTAATGTACCTTGCGAGGGCTATAGTTGCGTGAAATCGTCAAGTCTACCTCTGGAGATTCTCTCACCCGCTTGCCAGAGCTGCTCGCTTCCCGTGGCTGAGTCTTCGACGTCGAAATGAATCGGTTTTTTCCCTTGGCCGGCGAGCTTTGAGGCGTATCTTCCACAAATGAGTCACCCACGACTGGTGACGTGGCACTAGCGTCCAACGCCCCTGTCGAACCCGTGAAAAACGATAGTTCTGTAATCCCGCTCGAGAAATCCTCAACCTCCTCCTTTCGTTTCCCCTTGTCTCGTGAGTGAAGAGGACTTGAATCAGGCATAGCCTTAGCCTTCTTCGCTTCCTTCACTTCTTCCGAATCTGATAAGTGATGAATGTCCCGCTTTTTCCTCATTGAGGAGGTGGCATCCATCTTCGTAGGAATGCCGACCTTGGGATAATCATGTCAGCACAAAACAATCTGGAGACACGCCAACATGTTCGTCTTGGAACAGAATCGACGTACCATTGCGGTGTTGAATTCCTCAGCACCAAAATCCTCGCCTTTGCTTGTAGTGAGGGTGGCGTCGTGCAAGCCTGATTTCTATGAAGTAATGATTCAACAATGTTCCTCTTTGAAACAAGGAAGACCGACCTTCGGGGGAGTGGAAGGAGACCCCGTTTTAAAGCATTTGGCGGGGAAGGGTGTTTTCTATCGAGCTGGTCAGTAATCGATACGCACGCAAGCTGATTCGAAGCGCCTGCCTCATCCTCTTCGCTGTCCAAGATCTCAATGATGTCTATTGCGTCGCTTGTCTCCACGATCTTCTTGGGAGACATTTCCGTGGACAAACCCTGCACGAAACGAGTTACAACCCAATCGAGTTAGTTGAAAATGTGAACTCACCAGTGCTTCAACCTCCCATCCCCTCTCAAGCCTCTGAGATCTCTCTAATTCTAGTCTGAGCTTCATATTCTCATCCTTCAGCGCCCTGATCGTTTTCTCCGCGTCGGCACGACGGTGAATTTCCGTGACCAACTCCTCCCTCAGCTTCTCTTTGCTCGTGCGTTCCTGTTCGACATCCTCAAAGAACCTCTTGTGTTCGAGTCGTAGCTGGAAAATTTCAAGAGATTCTTCCATAAGTAGCAGGAGGTGAGGGCAGAGCTGAGAGAACAAGTCGAACCTGTTTTGGCTGCAAGTTAGTTCTCACACTTGTCAAACTTCGTGACGTTGACGTTGGGGACCGCCGAGGAGTTTATTGAAAAATGGTGTTGTTGCCAAACAACGCCAATTATAATGATCGCTGCAGTGGCATTCCTCTTGATCACTTGTGTTTGGCTCTTGTTTTCCTGTCCTCATCGGTATGTTCTCTCCATTACACACGGTATGTCACATTCAAGGAAATTCCGACGTAGCGAGAACACGACTGGCCCATACCGCCCAACGTCCAAATTGACTGTTGCGCCGAATTGCATCACAATCCAAGTAACAATGCCGAAGATCCAGCTCCGTATTGTATTCCAGCAACCTTCACCCTACCACTCCCTTCGAAAGCCCTTTTCTTCATCTCCCGAGGGGCGCTTTCAAATGGGGTCATCAACTTCGTCCCATCCCACTTCCAATATAAAGGCGGTTCAGAGGGCGTGGTTGTTGATGTTGACATGAACTATTGGGACCCACCACTCTTGGACAACCTCAGAGTCTGTCAGATTACGAGGGGAGATGGGGGCGTGGGCGTTGGTATATTCGTGAGTCCTTCGTTTCGCTCATCGATCTCGGTCGGTCGTTTACTATGAAATATAAAAGTCAGATTGGGCAGGACGTCCAAGAAGCCATCAAGTCGAATTTGAAGTCACCATAAACCTTCCTCCCGTCCCAAACGACGCTATCATATACATCGACTCTCTCGAAACGGACATGCCGTTGTTTGAGCATTGGATTGGGGAGCTTGTGACACTGTCTACTTCAACTCGATCGTATTGGGGACGGAGTCTAGGGGTGTTTATGTAGCGGTTTGTTTCATTTTGCGCTTCAACCTACTAGTAGCTGACGAACCAATCAAAGTCACTAAATGCCGTAAATGTAGAGATCAAGAACTCCCATAGCCCAATTCAAGGCGTCATCAACGCTTGGAGCTCGTTATCACTCGTTACTCCTAACGCGCTTATCAATGTTTTTCTTGTTTCCATGTCTTGCGTGGTCATTGCCCAAAGCTATATTTGGCATAACTTGAAATTGTTTGCTGAGATTATTTTCGGGATTTCTTCATCACAGGCACAATTCGTTCCTTGCCAAAAGCGATCATCAACGTCTTGTTCAGGCGTCCGTCCTCCTGCATTCTTGAACGAATCACTGATTTCAGTTGTTCATATTCCATGGAATCGCAAGGAAATGACATTCGTAAATCTTGTGAGATACCCCCTGCATTGGTCTCTTAACTCTCGTTTGTTAAATGACTATCATCTCTCGTAGACGCCCAAAAATACCCAGCATGTTCAAACAGCATCTCTCTCGCCGAGGAACTCCTCAGCATATTCGATCGACTCAGAACATCTGAACAAAATCTTAAACAACGAGAAGAAGACGCCCAACGAATGTTTCGCGAGATGGAATCACTCAGCAAACAACTCCAACAATCCAAGAGTGAATCTCTTCATCTGAAAGAAGGTGTCCTCCCGGATCTGCACAGAGAGAACAAGCGACTCGTGGAGGAAAACAAGAAGCTGTCGGTCCAACTCAATGCGCTTATAGGACGACCTTTTGAGGACGGGAAGGATTTGTCGAGGAACGCTCAAGCTCCGGCGATACCTCACACTGTCCAGTCCAACGCGGTTTATCGTGGGCATCGCCGCAGGCTCGTTATGGCCCTTGACGTTGGCACAACGTTCAGTTGCGTCTCATATAGGTATGTCAGAAGGTACCTTAACGCTGTATAACATACTCATCAAACGATCTAGCGTTCTCGATCCAGGTCAAGTGCCAATGATCAAGGGCGTCACAAGGTGAATTGTATTCTCAACGTTCCGCGACTTTATATTACTCATATAGCGCAGATATCCGGCACAGGAGCAGATTACTGGCATGTCGAAAATTCCTTCCGTGCTTTACTACGACCAAGAGGGAAAGGTACGCGCCGTAGGCGCTGAGGCGCTACTCGAAGGTATATATGAGAGAGCGGAGGATGAGACGTGGACGAAATGTGAATGGTCAGTTTCCTGCTTCACTCTAACAGATGGGATTTATGACTCTGACAGGTTTAAACTTCACCTTCGTCCTCAGACGCATCCAATGGAACTTCCCCCTCTACCTTTCAACAAATCAGTCGTCGAGGTTTTCGCAGACTATTTCAAGTACCTTTTCAATTGTGCTTCCCAATATATCCAAGATACCCATGCCAATGGTCGGCAAATGTGGTTGGCCGTCAAGGATGACATCGATTTTATTCTGCCTCATCCAAATGGGTGGGATGTCACCCAACAAACGCAAATGACAAAGGCGGCAATTATGGCTGGGATTATTCCTGATACCCCCTCAGGACGTGCGAGAGTGTCATTTGTAACTGAAGGAGAGGCGAGTTTGCATTTTTCGATGCAGAATGGCCTACCTGCAGATGCCTTCCTGGTGAGTTGTCATTTGATTTCAATATTCCACTCTAAATTTAGGTTTCAGGAGGGAGATGGTGTGGTTATTGTTGACGCAGGTGGAGGGACGATAGACTTCAGCACTTTTTCACGTTCGGAAAATCATAATACTTTTGAAGAAATTGCAGCGCCGCAGTGTAAAAATCAAAGCTTAGTTCCCTTCCGTCGCTAAAACTTTTTCAGGTCATTTCCATGGCTCGGTTTTCGTCACCATCCATGCACGAAGCTTTCTGAATGGTACTCTCTTCACCGCATGGCCTCTATGAAACTTTCTCATGAATTTTCAGAACACCTTGCTCAATCCGAGTTCATCGATGAACTTGACCACATTGTTCGCTGTTTTGACAAAACTACGAAACTCCGGTTTCGGGATTCGGTTGGGCCGCAGTATGTCAAATTTGGAGGTACAAGAGACAGTGATCCCAGCGTCGGCATTCGGTATGGACAACTGCTTATTCCAGGGTAAATATTCGCGTCCTTGAATCTTTAAACTGTAAAACTGAAAAGCTTTCAGCTCAGTCGTGTCCAAATTTTTTGAGCCCTCCATTGACTGTATCATCAATGCGATTTTGGATGCTCGAAAGTCAGTTAACCGGAATATAACTGTGGGTGAATCCGAATTACAATGATGTCTCCGCGTAGTGACGGGGAGCCTCTATCCAGCATGTTGTTCTCGTTGGAGGCTTTAGCGCAAGCGATTGGCTTTTTGATCAAGTCCGCAAGTCGCCACGACTAAGCGATCTCCATATAATAAGGCCTGACAACCATGTGTAAGGCTATCACCCTTGACACCCCGGCGATAGCCTAACTTCACTAAATGCAGTAGTAAAGCGGTTTCGGATGGAGCGATATCCTTTTACCTTGACCGGACCGTGCGTACGCGCCTCTCAAAAGCCACATACGGAATGTTTTGTCACATTCCATACGATCCAACCCTACCAGATCACTTGAAACGCGCCTCACACGCGTTCATGAGCATTTCTGGATCTAAGAGAATTGGCGATGCGTTCGATATCATCTTGCCTAAAGTTTATTTTGTGCTTGTATAATTGAGCTAATGTAACTGATGGCATTTTTAGGATACCCAAGTGTTGGAGAATAAGGAGTTCAGACAATCGTATTTCCGGGAATCGCAATCTAGGAATGACTTCAAGGATGTTGCGATCTCTGTCTGGTGTTACAAGGGTCCGTTGTCTCAGCCACCGATGTGGAGAGACGTGGATACTGGTCCGTATTCTCCTTTGATTAGTTTTCCCGTATCCCGAACTGTGGCGACTCTCTCGAGCAGGTAAATACGTTAAAATTTGGACAATCAAGTTGGACCTCTCCCATATAAATTCATCCAGAAGTAACGAGGAACAGGTGAATTACTCTCGAATTGAATACGACCTGGTTTTTCTCTTCGGGTGGACAAATTTGAAAGTTCAACTAGCGTGGAAAGAAAATGTGAGTTCAATTCCGTTGCGTTTGCTGCTTGCTAAAGCTCACATGACTGTGCTTCTTGTTAAAAAGGGGAATGAGAAAAGGTATATCTTTTTTAAATACGACGATGTGATACTGAGTCTACTCGTAGGAGTGCTACCACAATTATTTCTGAGGATGCTTGAAATGTTACGCCTTCTTCCGAACTCTTGGACAGATTCAATCTATCGAATATTACGAGCTTACATTTGACTTGTGAAAATTTGATGCCAAGTATGTCATCGGTGGAGGGGTGTAGTTGGTGAGGGGGAGGGGGTCGATACTACTGAGCGGGGTGTCCTGATGGGAATGTGAGAGGACATGTTTTTTTCTGTGCTGCATGCTGCCCTTGGATCATTACTTTGTCGTTAATCCACAATCATTTATATAAAATACCTTGGTTGGACTGCGTCGCCGTCAAAGAGGAAGGAAAATTTCTAGTCCAAAAAGAAAGTGCCCTCCTGTTCAAAGAAATTCTGGTTTGTACAGGCACTGCCAGGAATCGAACCTGGGTTCCAAGAATCTAGGTAAAGGCTATTTCCAGATCAGAATCTTGAGTGATAACCGCTACACTACAGCGCCACCACTTTTATGGAGGCAAAGAAATACAAGTGCGCTTTCGACTGTTACCACCCAGTGGTCTGCCAAGGCCGGTCAGATTGCACGAGGAAGAGGATCTACTTGACTCTTAGAACACCATGATATGTCGACCTGGTATGGTCAGTGATGTTTGTCCCAAGACCCCCTCGATCGACATCATGGCTCAAATTCATAGAGAAAAGTATGTCACATTCGAGGGGTGCATCAACGAGACAATTAAAAGAAGGAGAAGACCGTCAGAAAAACTATGAGTTGAAGCATGTATCGATTTAATCACGGCGTAACTGCTAAATCGACGGCTTTCACCTCACCCTACTAATTCCCTGGGTTTATTGGCAAGTTTCCCCAAGCCTCGCAAGATACTCCCCACCCCATTCAATATCTGACCAACTGTGCCGAGTATCGCTCCAACCAGAGCGAAGGGCGTTGTGAGAAGGATCAACAAGCCCTTTCCGATGTCCTCAAGAATGGTATCGCGTTGGCCTCCGGTAGAAGCTCGAAGTTCCTTGGCCTTCGTACGATATTCTGCCTTGACTCTGGGGTCTGGATGCTGGTTCGCCATGTGATCCATCGCCGACGCGATATCCTCTGCAGCCCTGTCCATCTCTTTCACATTCCCATTTCCTGCCGCCTGTACGCGTCGATAAGCAGCCATCTTGTTGTCGAGGTTCTTTAACGCTTTGTTCCACTCAATTTCAGCGGCGTCAGGCTGAGGGGGCACGTCCAACTTCGTGTTAATCATGACTACTTTTTGACTCTGACAATTCCAAAGAAGATTCAGCAAGTGAAGTCAAAGGGATTATCGAGTCATACCTGGAGGGACACGCAGCTGGTGGTAGTTGTGGATTAAGAAAAACGTGCTGCGCGGCGTTAGCCTGGTTGAGGCTCGTGAGAAGACTTGAGGCGCTTATTTATGTAAGATCGGATTTTTATAACAGGTTCGACAACTTACGGCAGTTATGAGTCAGTCGTGCCGATTCAAGGTGCACAAATCCGAAAATTCTGACCGATGTCCAGATTACAGCAACTAAAAATCAGCTAGAACAAGGGGAAGATTTAATGAAATATCACGTATAGTGGGATGTCCCTTGTTCATATCCGGTTGTTTCGATAGTTATTTTGGTCAAGAGTCCGGGGTCGATGCAAGATCGATGACATTTTTTCTCCCGAAGAAAGGCAGTAGTCCCGGCACTTCAATAGATCCCCCGAAGAGTAGCAGTCAGTGCTTGCCAGTGCCCTTCGAAATATCTCAGTTTTTATTACCAATGGATGAGACAGATAAGTGTTGGGACTTGTCACTTGAGTAGTAGGTGCAGAACCGGGCCCACTGGTCAAGGGCGACTCCGAGGCGAGTCAATGCCGAGTCGCGAATACCTTGACAAACATTTCAAGGACCGGGAAAGGAGGAGACAAGGGGGAAACTGCTTGATTTTGTTTGAAAAGCGACGCAAAACTTGGCCGAGGAATTATGTAAAGGCGTTAGGTTCCTTGACCGTTCCCAGCTTTGTACGAGTCGTCCTGGTAATATGGAGGCGAGTCCTTCCCCAAGTGACCCTGGTAATTGAAAGGAGCGAATGAAATCTTGTCCGGCGTTTTCCAAGTCGTCAAGCTCGGACAAACAAAAAGCAGGCATAAATCACCTCGCAGTGGTGTTCCGAAATTCAACTTGAATTCAACGTTCAACTCCCAAGTTCATGCAACACTGTGTTCAATTTTTCGTATCCATTACAAACCGACATGACCGTTTTGTCACCGGCCACCATTGGATGTTTGATCCGTATCAATCGTATCAGCGTTCTGTGCATTGAGTTGTTCAAAAAAAATCCTGGGAATGGCAAGATTGCGTGTCCCAAAAGCCGTCGAAACCCACAATTTCTTATCAACAGATACTTCTGTTCACATCAAGTTCACATAGCCTTCTGTCGATCACATCTCATATTTTCGATCCACGTGATGTCGCTAAGGCTATACATGACTGATCTTTTTCAGGGCTCGTCGACGTCTATTCCTTGATCAGCGCAGTGACTATCGCAGCAGCCGCAGCAACGGGAGACCTTACAATTCCCTATACATTCCTCACATTCATCCGTTTCAAATCCTTTCTTCCAACTTGAAGGGCTCGAGTCATGATTATCGAAAAACACCCGCTTCCAGAGGATTCGACTCCGACTGATGCACCACCATCATACGATACCGTAAGGCCTATTCGAAACGGTTACAGGGACACAAAACCTCCGACTTCATCATCAGCGACGTCCTCCACACAATCGCCACCGCCTAGGCATCCCCCCACGTCGCCAACAACAATAACAAAAGGCAAGGCGCGTGCGAATTGGTTCAACTTTGCTGCCCATCGCACCTCACGAGACGTCCGAAACACCGTCCTTGGTCTCGTACGCGACCTAGTTCGTGAATACCACACCAATTCTCCTGCGCCGGCAGGCATACTTCAAAGCTGTGCAGAAGCCTGTGCAGCACACAATCTCTGCCTCGCTTCCATTCTTCAAGAAAAGTCGATAGAGGAACATACCCCTTTATATTGGGCCATTGTGAAACGGGTCCCAGACGAGGCCACCGACGAGGATACCCAGATACCTGACCTTCTCACGGCGTTGCTCTCCCATTCAACGCCACTCACGCGAGAGACGATTTCCGATGTACGAGTGGCCTGCCTCATTACGTCTGACCAGGCGCTATTCCAGCGGTTGAGGATGTCACCAGAGTTTTCGAAGATCTCAGGGAGGGACGAGATGTTGCTGGGAGCGACGCTGCCGATGGATGATATCGTTGTTGAGGATCTGGCGGGAGACGAGGGCGCGTTTGCTGTGAACTTTGAGATCCCGCAGTTCCAGAAGAGGATGATGGTTTCAAAGGAAATCGTGTTGGAATTTATCGCCCGAAGTTAGTCTTTACCCTTCTCTTTGACCGCTCATTGATTTCGTTTCAAGGTCGCATGTGGAAGCTAGAATTCTCGATAGCCAACGACTATCAAGCTCACCCTCGACCGGGGTCATGGTGCATCTCCCTCTCTCTGCTCGAGAATAGCCCCCCGTGCTGGATAGACTCTCGCCTGCTTGTCCAAGAACCGGACACAACACCCCCAATACCCTCACCAGACACAAAGTCACCTACGTCCCCCGGGCGCTCTCCTTCTTCTCCATTCGTCTTTGGTGCAGGCCGCCTCAAAGCGAAACCCACCATCTCCATACGACTAAAGTCAACCCAGCAGCTGTTCGCACCCAGCCAGTCGAAGGTCGTGGTTTCGCTAGAAGACAGTCTGATGGGCTCTAGCTTGCAATACGCGTACGCCTCTTCTTCTTTCCATTTCAATGCGGTTCTGATGCTCTCCATTGCAGTGGAAGCTCGTACATCGCTGCTGACGAGCAACTTCGCGCGCGCTTGGAGGCGAGACTTTGTAAACCAGAAGCCGAATGCATCATATGTTAATGAGACGCTTTTTTTACCTATACTTATCTCATTCGAATGTTAAATACCACCACCCTGTAACAGATATATACCGCGTAAATGACGGTCGATGAAACTGTATTTTAAATGCATTTAGGTCCCGAAGATTGAAAGCTGAGGCCCGAACCTGGATTACATATTATGATAATATGAATGAAATGAATCCCCACAAGTCAAATGTGGCCCCGTAATGTGAAGAACTTCGATAGATCGAATCTATCTAAGATAGCATGCGTGCATTATATTGTTACACAGTTTCGCCCAAGAGTCCTATTTCTGCACGTAGTAGTCCGTTGCCCAATTTACGGCTCTGCAAAGAGAACGTAACGTGTCAAGCATCCTCGTAAATAATTGTGGTGGCACTCCTACAAGCAGGAGTCAGCATCACATCGTCCCACGATAAAAAAGGTATACCTTTCCTCGATTCCCTATACAACAGGAAGCACAATCATGTAAGCCTTAGGAAGCAGCAAATGTTGAACTCACATTTTCTTTCCAAGCGAGTTGAACTTTCAAATTTGTCCACCCAAAGAGAAAAACGAGGTCGTAATCAATTCGATAGCAACTCTCCTGTTCCCCATGACTTCTGGATAGAGGAAATGGATTTATGTCAGAGAGGTCCAACTTGATCGTCCAAATCTTGACGAATTTATCTGCTCGGGAGAGTCGCCACAGTTCGGGATACGGGAAAACAGATCAAAGGAGAATACGAACCAGTATTCACGTCTCTCCACATTGGCGGCTCAGATGATGGACCCTGGTAACGCCAGACAGAGATCGTAACATCCTTGAAGTCATTCCTAGTTTGCGATTCCCGGAAATACGATTGTCTGAATTCCTTATTCTCCATTACTTGAGTATCCTAAAAACGCCGTTAGCTAAATTGACTCAACTATACATGCAGAAAACAAACTCTGGGCAAGATGATATCGAACGCATCGCCAATTCTTTTAGATCCAGAGATGCTCATGAACGCGTCTAAGGCACGTTTCAGGTGATCTGGTATGGTTGGATCGTATGGAATGTGACAAAACATTCCGTATGTGAACTTTGAGATGCGCGTACGCACGGTCCGGTCAAGGTAAAAGGAGATCGCTCCATCCGAAACCGCTTTATTACTGAATTGAATGAAATTAGGCCATCGCCAGAGTATCAAGGGTAACGGAGGCTTGCTTACACATGGCTGTCAGGCCTTATTACATGGAGATCGCTTAGTCGTGGCGACTTGCGGACTTGATCAAAAAGCCAATCGCTTGCGCTAAAGCCTCCAACGAGAACGACATGCTAGATAGGGACTCCTCGTTACTACACGGAGACACCAATGTAGGATTCACCCACAGTTATGTTTCGGTTAGCCGACTTTCGAACGTCCAAAATCGCGTTAATGATACAGTCAATGGAGGGCTCAAAAAATTTGGACACGGTTGAGCTGAAAGCTTGTCAGTTTACAGATTAAAGATTCATGGACGCGAACATTTACCCTGGAATAAGTAGTTGTCCAAACCGAATGCCGAGTCTGGGATCGCTGTCTCTTGTGCTGCCGAATTTGACATACTGCTTCTCAGCTGAATCCCGGAACCGGAGTTTTGTAGATTTGTCAAAACAGCGAACAATGTGGTCAAGGTCATCGATGAAGTTGGAATCAGCAAGGTGTTCTGAAGGTTTATAAGCAGGTTTTATGGACGGTATCAGTTGAGGAGAATACCATTCAGAAAACTTCGTGCATGCATGGTAACAAAAACCGAGCCATGGAAATGACCTGAAAATGTTTCAGCGACCGAAGTGAAGTAGGCGTTTCATCTTTACACTGTGGCGCTGCGATTTCTTCAAAAGTATCATGATTTGCCGAACGTGAAAAAGTGCTGAAGTCTATCGTCCCTCCACCTGCATCAACAATAACCACACCATCTCCCTCCTAAAACTCAACTTTAGATCAGAAAGTTGGAATCAAATGTGACAACTCACCGGCAAGGCATCTGTAGGAAGCCCATTCTGCATCGAAAAATGCAAACTCGCCTCTCCTTCAGTTACAAATGACACTCTCGCACGTCCCGAGGGGGTATCAGGAATAATTCCAGCCATAATTGCAGCCTTTGTCATTTGCGTTTGTTGGGTGACGTCCCACCCATTTGGATGGGGCAGAACAAAATCGATCTCATCCTTGACGGACAACCACAATTCCCGACCATTAGCATGGGTATCTCGAATATATTGGGAAGCGCAAGTAAAAAGGTACTTGAAATAGTCCGCGAAAACCTCGACTACTGAATTGTTCCAAGGTAGAGGGGGAAGCTCCATTGGATGTGTCTGGGGACGGAAGTGGAGCTTGAACCTGTGAGGCGAGTCATGAATTCCGCCGTTAGAGTGAATTTGGAAACTGACCATTCACATTTCGTCCACATCCCATCCTCTGCTCTCTCGTATATATCTTCGAGTAGCGCCTCGGCGCCTACGGCGCGTACCTTCCCCTCTTGGTCGTAGTAAAGAACGGAAGGAATTTTCAACCCGCCACTACTCGACTGGTGGCCAGGATATCTGTGCTAGATGTAATATAAACTCGCGGAACGTAGAGAATACAACTCACCTTGTCACGCTCTGGATTACTGGCACTACACCTGGATCGAGAATACTAGATCGTTTGATGGGTAAGTTATAGTTTTAGGGTACCTTCTGACATACCTATACGAGACGCAACTGAACGTTGTGCCAACGTCAATAGCCATAACGAGCTTACGACGGATCCCACAATAAGCGGAATTGGACCGGATAGTGTGAGGTATCATCGGAGCCTGTTCCAACACCGCGCTCCTCGACAAGGCCTTCCCATCCTCAAAAGGTCGTCCTTTGAGGGCATTAAGTTGGCCGGACAGCTTCTTGTTTTCCTCCACGAGTCGCTTGTTCTCTCTATGCAGATCCGGGAGGACACCTTCTTTCAGATAACGAGATTCACTCTTGGATTGTTGAAGTTGTTTATTGAGTGATTCTATCTCGCGAACCATACGTTTGGCGTCTTCTTCGCGTTCTTTGAGATTTTGTTCAGAGGTCCTGAGTCGATCGAATATGCTTAGGAGTTCCTCGGCGAGAGAGATGCTGTTTGAACATGCTGGGTATCTTTGGGCATCTACAACTGATCGAAAGAGACGATTCAGCTGTTCATTTGGCGAGCGAGTTGCGAGACTAATGAAGGAGGTATCTCACAAGATTTACGAATGTCACTTCCTTGCGATTCCATGGAGTCCAAACCACTAAAATCAGTAATAATGCAGGAGGACGGAAATCTGGACAAGACGTTGATGATCGTTTTAGGCAAGGAACGAACTGTGCCTCATGCTGGGTATCTTTCGAGTACTACCTTTGGGCGTCTACAACTGATTGAAAGCGATGATCGTCATTTGGCGAGCGAGAGTTACGAGACCAATGCAGGAGGTATCTCACAAGATTTACGAATGTCATTTCCTTGCCATTCCATGGATTATGAACTACAGAAATCAGCGATTCGTTCACGAACACAGACTCGGAGGGACGAAAAAAACGGGTGTAGTGCGTGACATGTGACAAGCAAGTGTGAAACAAACAATGCAAATCTTGACCTCACCACAACCTCACCAGGTACTTTGCGGATTGCCCCGTAAAGTCGCGTCGACGCGTCCACTTATGTTGACTCTGCGAAATCCTCAAACCGCTTGCATTCTTACCTGCGTTTTCTCTTATGCCCACGCTCTTCAAATGCATTGCCTGCCCTCAAAAGTTCAGGGATAATCGCGGCCTCAGTGTCCATCAACGATCATGCACCGCATACAGATGCCTCTCAACAAGATCTCTTGGCTCCAAGCGAAAATCAAACGCCCACAACACAGGAAATGCAAAAACACGAAAGAAGAATGCAGATTTGACAGAAGAAACCCCCCGACGCCCCCGTATGCAAGGAGTTATGGTTGGCATGGGTCAGAAAGAGACTTACATTGGGTATATCCTATTTGTTTCGGTATGTCTTTCCTCATTACTGATACTCTTTGAGAAGACTCGGAGCTGCGAGAATTCATCAACAACTTCGGTGATTCCGATGACAGCCGTGACGTAGAATTATAAGATTGTACATTCTTTCCTTTAAAATTTCTTGTACAAGCCTTCCGAGATCAAACATCATTATTCGGAGCAGAGTTGGTTCCACGTCGTTGGCGCTCAATTGTATCGCATCAGTTGGATTGATCACTAGTGTTCCCTCCCATTACTCGAGGTGATCCACGGATATCAAATTTGGACATGGTAGCAATGCGTTCATTCCAAGTCTTCATTCAACTGCGGAAACGCTCTAAGCAGCTGCTCTTCGCACGGCCCCCTAAATACAAAATCGGCCCTCGCATCGCCTTCACTCGGAGCGATGTTAAAAACGGCAACCTCGCCTTTATGCCGCTGAACGCGAAAGCGTACGTGGAGGCTGGTCTAACCTGTATCATGTATGGTATTCAGATATTTCCTTCCGAAGAACTTGAAAGCAACTTGAAAGTGCGCAACACTTACCGTCGAAGATGTACCAACCACAAGGCATAGATCAGCTTTATAAACAATACTATTAACGTTCTCATCAAGCCTATACGGCGTCTCATCGAAAAAAACGACACCGGGCCTGGCGAGGGCACCACACGATGGGCAGCGGGGTAGTTATGATTCGGGAATATCAACTTCTTTCGAGCCTGCATCGTGATAGCTTCCGATGTTTGAGACGTCTAGAGAAGGACAAAGAGGGTTGGAAAGGTCCTTTGCGCAATAATCGCACTCGGTGCATTTGACATTGAAAATTCTACCGTGCATCTGAAGAGCAGTCGTTGACAGCCCGTCGACGTTCTGAGTGATGAGGTGGTACGTTTTAGCAGCTGGGGCCACGGTTTTTAGAAAGCTTGGGACTGAAAGCTTGGCTAGGAGGTTGTGTGCTTTGTTTGGACGCGTCTCGAAAGCTCTGAAATTCAGATAAGCGACATCGGAGGGTTGATCTTTAGAATTTACGCACTTGACTCGACGGTAGTGATAAAATTGCCACACAAGGGAAGGGTTTGTGGCAGATGCACTTGGTGTGGCCAAACTTGTCGCATCCAGGGATCTCCATAGTCCTCCTCCATCTCTAAACGTAGGTAAGTATCCCTGATCACTCTGTCAGAGTAGCGGCCACTCATCTAGCTCTGTCTCACCTGAAGCGGCAGACAGCCCAGCACCAGCAATCACGATGACGTGTTGAGCCGTCCGGGTTGCGGCTTGAAACACTCTGAGTAATATCTCTTCTTCAGTCGCTTGTGTGGTGGGCGTTGGAGACATGTCTGGGTCATGTGACGATGTTGGAAAGTGGTCCGGCTCCGCTCTGCTGCAGAGTAAAAAAGATACTTGGTGGGCTCGTAAAGATAGATGATGGCTTTCAGGAGGGCGACGACTCCCTTTAGGCAACAAATAAGTACCATGAAAACGTTGCTCCGCTTACCAAAACTGACAATTGACGGAAAACCGCGTTACTAGTTACAGCTAAAATACATACATATCCCATTCACCCACTCAATTACAACCTCAAATTAGCACTCCCCAGTACCGTCTCAAGCTTAACATTCCCCCTCCCCTCCTCCCCATCCCCCCACCCAACCGACCCCTCAACACGTCCTCCCCCATTCCCCCTCCTAACCTCAACCTTCCTCTTCCTCCCCTCCCCCGCTGGATCCCTCACGTCCTCATCCACAAAAACCTTTGCACCGAATGGTGTGAGGGAAGCGTCGAGTGTGAAGGTACCTTCGTACGTTGGATGGAGTGACACGTCTATGGAAGCGAGGGAGGTGCGTGCGTTGAGTGAGAGGGAGGAGTCGAGTGGGGAGGAGGGAAAGGTGAGGGTTAGTTTGGCGAATGATGTTTGGGTGAGGATGGAGTAGTTGCCTCCTGGTGAGTTTGAGGTGGTGGTTAGGCTTATGGACGCGGTTATTTCGCTGTATTGGATTTTAACACAGAGGCTTGGTGTGAAGTATGAGAAAGGGAGGACGTACGCGTTACTCGTCTTCATCTCTAACCGCGTAGCTTCATCGCTAGAACTAGAACTGGAAAGCCCAAGAAAGACGTTGATGAGCGCGTTGGAAGTGATGAGGGATAATGCGCTCGAAGCGTTGATGACGCCTTGAATTGGGCTATGGGAATTCTTGATTTCTACGTTTCCCCCATTCAATGACTTTCGTTGGTTCGTTAGCTGTTCCAAAGTAACGCATAAAACGAAACACACTCACAGCTACGTCAACACCCCTATACTCCGTCCCGAGTACGATGGATCTAAAATAGACAGTATCACCGAGCTCCCCAATCCAATGTTCGAACGACGGCATGTCCGTTTCGAAATAGTCGATGTATAACATGGCGTCGTTTGGGACGCGAGGAAGGGTTATAGTAACTTCAAATTCGACTTGACGGCTCCCCGGACGTCCTGCCCAATCTGACTTTTGGATATCGGTAAACGACCGACGAGCGAAACGAAGGACTCACGAATATACCAACGCCCACGCCCCCATCTTCTCTCGTAACCTGACAAACTTTAAGATTGTCCAAGAGTGGTTCTTCCCAATAGTTCACGTCGACGTCGACAACCACATTCTCCGAACCGGCGCCTTTGTGGGATTGGACGATGTTGATGACCCCATTTGAAAGCGACCCTCGGGAGATGCAGAAAAGGGCTTTCGAAGAGAGTGGTAGGGTGAAGGTTGCTGGAATAGAATACGGAGCTGGATCTTGGGCATTGTTACTTGGATTGTGATTCAATTCGGCGCAACGGTCAATTTGGACGTTGGGCGGTATGGGCCAGTCGTGTTCTCGCTACGTAGGAATTTCTTTGAATTTGACATACCGTGTATAACGGAGAGAACATACTGATGAGGAGAGGTATGTCTTGAACAAGAGCAAAACACAGCCTGTGATCAAGAGGAATGGCCAACTGGCAATCCGTCGCTTGTGAGAAGTGTGACCGTTGCTCGGAGGAAGAGTAAATCCTAGGTCATCGCTAGAGAGCGGCTTGGCTTCCATTGTGACTACACAAAGTTCAAGTTGAGTATGCTGGACGAACGTGAATTGAACGTGAACGCATCTTGCAAGGCACGTTGCCACGGTCACTACAAGTCACTCATCGGCGCTAACGTTATTTGGCTTGAACGAGCCGGGCCAAATTCCCTTGAAATTACCAAAAATCTCAAGTAAGGTGAAAGGCTAAGTATGCATAAGTATGCAGAGTCCTCCAGCCGCACCACTCGCAAAGCCACCGAAATTCTCTTTTTTTTTTTTTCATTCGCCAGGCGTTGGCCAGGCGAGAATTCTTCAAGTTCCCACGGTGCCTGCGACTCGCTTGACTTCATCAGGAAAATCACATCACGTGTGGCACGTGTGGCACCACGCTTCTCATTCAAACCACGCTCAGCCACACTCTCACAAACAATGATGGGGACATTATAACCTGTGGTGGCGAAGGGTGGCGACACACCCACCACAATCTCATCATAATTTCACTATGGGGCCACAAACCCAACTTCTGAATCATTGCACCATACTGCCCATTGCCAAAAGAAAGATCATTTTTATTTTTATTATTACTATACTACATACAGAAACACCATGTATATAACGGACGTAACACCCACCAGTGCCCCCTTTTCGTCCTTTCCATCAAGAATGATATCGATCTCCCTACTTCCTCTCAACTCGTCGTCGTCCTGTGTCATCACTGTGTAGTCGTTGTCCTGTGGGATACTCGCTTCGTCGTCGTCCGTTTCGTCGTCTGGTGTTGTCGCCGTGTCATCCTAGGTCATTGTCACGTCGTTATTGTCCTCGGCCAGCGTTGCATCATTGTCGTCCTCGGTCATCGCCGTGTCGTCTTTGTCCCGGGCATGGTTGCACCATCATCATCGTCCTGTTTCCATGTTGTCATTGTCCACTGACGTTGTCAACCCGTCGCCATGTTGTCCCTCGTCGTGTTGGTCGTCTGTCGTCATGCTGCGTCGGTCCGCGGCGACAAACAACAAATTGATCATGGTTTCTCGTTTGGTTGCGATGTCGGCGATGTGGCACCTGGGTTGTGTGTGATAATGGGAGTCGGGGGGAGGGTTATGTTAGCTTACCAGGATTGGTGGTGGTGCTCATGGTGAGTATATACTGATGTAAAAGCCAATTCAACGACCTAACGAATTGATAAGAATAATTCAGGACACAATCACGGGAAACTCACTGATCATCCTTGATGCGGCCCTCCTCCGTGAGATCCATGAGGTCCAGGTTCACAATGTCTGTGACAAAGGTCAGGAATGAGGTGGATGAGGGTGAGATGGGAGCATCATAAACATAAGTTGGGACAAATGTGGAACAGCAGATACTTATCATCATGTCTTAAAATACACAACAACGAACGACATTCGTCGTTTGGCTACCACGTTGTCAGCGACATGGCACCTGGGTTCTGTGTTAGGAAGATGTGTGGTGGGGGGCTCACCTTGGCTCGTCGCAATCTGTTTCCGTTCGTGGGTGCTGGTCATCATTTGCGTGGATGGTCGTAGTCGAGATTGGATGACGCTGGTTCATCTCAGTTTGTGGGCAGTCATGGGTTGTCATTGGCGTTGGCTGTCGTTGACGGCGTTGTTGGAGGTAGTGTGGCATGGCATTGCCACATCGTTGTTGTGGGGGATTGATTCGGGGCGGTCGGGTGGTTGGATGATGGTTGTTGTTTGCCACATCGCCGACGGCGATGTGGCACCTGCTTCTCTTGTTAAAAAGGGGGAGGGGAGGGTAATCAGATAATTCACCTGGTTGTCCGTCGTTTGTTATCATTCATCTGTTCTTGGTTGCCACGTCGCCGACAGCAACATGGCCCCCTGTGTCTTGCGTGAAAAGAGGAGAAAGGGAGAGAGTTCCAGTTGCTGACCTTGAGTAAACAGATGGACAGTGACGATGACATGCGTCATCACCGTCTGGTCGATGTGTCACGTCCGTTGATGTGCCAGGTCGTTGTTGTTATTGTTGGGTAGGTCGTTGTCGTTGTCATTGGTGTGCAGTGGTGGTTGGCGGCGAGTTACCAAACGTGGTGGTGGTGACACGGTGGTTGGTGGAGGGGGACTACACGATTGGGGAAGAGAGGAGGAGGAAAGAGCTCAGCGGGAAGACTCAGAGAGTGGAGGAAAAGTTCACAAATCCAAAAGTTTCCAAATTTGGATGTTCAACATGTCGCGTGATCGATACTTACACATGCGACAACAGAATCAGATCGTGGCATGAACGATTATTGTGACGCGCATGCTCCCGCATGGCTCAATTTATCCAGAGATCAAAATTATGGCGGTGTGGCGCCAGATCCATCACTCCGGCCACACTCCGCCACGCGATCACGACGTGCCACACATATGTGATTTTCCTGATGTTTCAACTTCCAACTCTGCGAACTTCGTGCATTCCCCAAACGATGGAGTACGAAGGAATCATCGACCATTTCAATCCGATCCTTCCGAATGCTGGAATTCTGCCTTTCAATGGCCTGGAAACTGCCCGTGAGCTCGATGAGGTCTACGAGCGCGTTCTTCCATTCGACTTGACTCAGACACGGCATGGCCCGATGTTCCAAAATGGTGAGTTTCGAAGCAACATCCGAGGAATCACAGATCATACTCAACGCCCACACTTTTCCTACAGGCAATTGGTTCGCGGGTGCGATAAAGCGCAGGAGGAGGGCAGAGATCAAGGCTTCAAGAACGATTTCTTTAGATAGTATATCCCGTGCTCTGATTCTTCCCACTGAACTTCTTCTCGAGGTCCGTTTCTAACGCCTCAGAATCTCGCCTCATAAACAGATTGAGCTAGATCTTCGAATTCCTCTATCCTATCGACCTTTATTCCGTTATACGCTCAACGAAGAGACTCAGGAGTACACTGTTGGATCGGGGGGCGTCGTCTGTGTGGAAGGAAGCGTTTAACAGGTGTTCTGATGTTCTCCCGGCGTGTCCTCCGGACATCTCTGAACCGCGATGGGCTTCTATATTGTTTGGCCCGGCGACGTGTGATGTAAGCTGTTTCACTATCGTGTTTAAAAATTTGATCGTTGGGACAGTATTGCGGGCTAAAGGGCGCCATGATTGATTCTCATTTACGATGCCGCCTTTGCCAGTTCTGTGTGGTGAATGAATAATATATTCATTAATGTCTCTGACTTACTCGGAGGTGGTTTTCAATCAAACAGGATGATATGTATATTGAGAACTCTAGCGTTGACGCGTTGAATCTCCTTGGGATCGGGGAGGATCTAGATACATTCTGGAAATGCATCCCTCCTTCTTATCGTCAAGGTATCCTTCCTTCTATCTCATGGGATGATCCCATAATTAACTGCTGAGATAGATCAAAGGTTTTACCCAAATGTTTGGGACTATAATGATGAGCCAAGATATTTGACCTCGGATATCAGCAGGATGGTTGCGCGCTTTATCTTTTTCAACTCGAGAATCTCTTCCGGTATTCCCGATGCATCCCTAGAATTTGAGGATTTCAAATCCTTGGAAATCGCCAATGTGATTCGTGGCCATGAGGTAATACACAGCACTCCTCACTAAATACACTCTCTTGATGTCGACGGACAGGAATCAAACAGGGCCAATGCGCTTATTCTCCGGATGGGCGTTCAAGTTATGGAGGAACACAATGATAACATGAAGCAATTGTTGAAACGGTATCTTATTCGACGTTTATCATCAGAGATGTCAAGGACTGACCTTTGTATCAGCCATGCTTCTATCCTTTTACGACGCGGTCACGATCAAGTGGATTTAGATATCGCAACAGGCGAACTTCTTGATCGATATTCATACAGAGAAAGATTTACATCGAATTATCGTTGTAAGCTTAGCTTCTCCTCTCACAGTATTTTCTACTTCTAAAATTTGGATCAAGCGAACAAACAGCTTGCTCTTGAGCTTTTACGAACTTCCGAGACCCACAAGATTGATAGACTAGAAAAGCAGCGATGGTTTTTGATCTTCTACAGGCAGAAGGTAGTAAGTGACCGATATCACACTTATCAAAAGACACTTCCTCCAACTTCATGGCCAAATTTACCAAACGTGGAAGCGATCTACGAGCACGAGCCATTTGCGGCTTTCATTGCCTCTGAATCAAAAGAAGTTGGAAAGCTCCCAGAGGAAACAGTACAAACTCACTTGGCACCTTTCCTCGACTCCTGGATGCAGGTGCATGAAAGCAATATCTTGGCTAGGCTAGAATCCCCTTATGAGAACTTGGACCTCGCTGCAAATGTTTTCATCTGCGCTTCCTGCGAGAGCGAAGATGACTGCACCAGACGCCGCACTTCGATCTTGATTGGCCTGGAAAACCTACGCGCTCATTTTAAATGCATCGATCCACAGTGCGAGTTTCGATTTAGCATTTCAGGGAGAGCCGTCGCACTGGCGTTACTTGATCTTTTGGGTATGGACCCTAAAACAGTGACTGTCAGTATTTTGGACGCCAGGGATGCACGGTTTTTCTGTGAGGGTTGCGATGTTTCTTGGAAGCGGGGAGTGCTTGGTCGCCAGCCTTTGACGTGGAGGGAATGTGTAAGTTGTGCAATTTTGATTATACCTCACAGCTGATCTGACGTTTGAATAGATTTCCCATGTCATTGAGATGGAGAACACGAACTCCCACCACTCCATTACGTCTTGGGCACTTCTAACGGCAGAGGCGACCGAATGCATCAAAAGACATGAACAACCCTTCCCGAGTCCAGAGTGCGACATCTGGTGTTGTTACCACTGCCCTGAGCACTACGATGATGCAACGACAAAGGCGAACGCATTTCGCCACGCCAAAGACGAGTACGTATATATCTACTTCCACGGGTGACATACATTTGACGTGCTGGGTTTTCAGGCATTCCATTAATCGCCCTCGCGTTGACGTTGATGTGATATACGACAGGCGAAAGTTTCCCCATCTGAAGCCCCGCAAGCCTATTTCTGTCGGACTCGAACCACCAGAGATCTATCAATGTGGAAAATGCCCAGACACCATTAACCGTCTCTGGCAAATCGACCGCCTCAAACCTCATTTGCTCGATAAGTAAGTTTGGAATTGTCAGACTGCCTGGTTGTGAATTGATGATTTATCGTCGCTCCAAAGACATCAGATTACAAACCCAGGCTTGAGCGATTGGAGAGTGGTGAAAATTGTAGAAAGGAGGGTAGGGCCACACTCGGAGGCCATCGCATATCCGCAAAATGTGGAGGTGGAAAAGGGGGGGCTGAATTAAAGGGGCACAAGAAAATCTGCGTGGCATGCGTGCAGTTGCGTGGCATGGGGCACTAGCTGCGTGCATGCGTGGGGCACGTGCGTGCATACTGTAGCGTGCAATTTTATGAAGTTGCATGCACGTTCAATCTAGATGCGTGCATTATGTCTGTAGCGTACATTTTCATAAGTTCCCATTCACAGCGGACTGGGCTTACAGAAATTGGCGTGCCAGGTGTGCAAAGTGTGCAGAAGTGTGCACACTTCTCAATTTTTATTTCAAACTTGATAGCATTCTATTTTGTCTGTTTTAACTTTAGGATCCTTACACTACATTGAGACTACCATTTTTTTTAGAATATAACGTCGGCTTAGAGGTGCACCATGATACTTTTACCAAAAATTTTCCACAAAAAGTTCAAAAAGTCGGAGTAACTTGTTCACGGGTTCTCCGTGTATAGAAAAAATGTTGAAATTCCTTTATGTAGATCTTAACTAATGTAGCATATACTTTATTTAAATTTGAGATAGTACATATCTATTCTTTCTTTTTACCATGTTTGAGGGTCTTAGTTTAGGGCGTGGTTTCTTTTACTCGAGAATTGCCTGTGTTCTTCCACAGTGAATAAATGCATATCCTCCTATTATCATTTTGTGACATTCAGATTAATTTAGAGAAAGTATGATAGGTTTTAGCATCACTCCCAAGGCAATCCCCACTATTTAAGTTCTGCAGACCTGTGTATGTTCATTTACATCCTACTGCTTTATTACCCATTTAGGTAATTCTGCATTTGTGAGTGGGACGAAGGCAAGGTAGACAATAGCAACCTCTCAAAATTATCTAATCATTACTCTAGAGTCTACATTCTTTACCTCAGTTCCATGCATTGAAAATGATTAGATTTGCGTGCATGGTAAATCCACTTGCGTGCCAATGTGTGAGTCGAGCATGAGTGCATGACACTTGCATGTTGATGCGTGACTCAAGCAAGCCATGCGTGCAAGCTGTGTGTCGCCAAGGGGGTGGTGGAACGTGGATCCTGGATATAGGGTTAGGGGGGGGGCTCCACTTGGGGGTCGAAATATTTTTTGTGACCTACTTTGCAAAAGTCCTGCCAATAAGCCAAATCACGCTCCCCAAAGAAGTTGGGAAGTTCAGATGCATGGCAAACACTTAATCTATGTATTTACTGTCCGAAATTTTGACTGAGAGCCAAAAAAAGTCAATGAACTTTTTTATAACACCGCTCAGGTTCGCAAAAAGTATGGCAAAGAAGAAGTAAGTCCCTGTTTTAGATATATATTCTAATGCAATACTGTATTACAGACAAGCGTCAGGGTTTACAAGCGACACCAAGCTTCATTGTCCAGAATGTGAGAAAGAGATTCCTGTTGGAACAGGCAGTCAAGCAAATCTGCAGCAGCATATCGACTTGTATGGATACTATGGGGGTGAAGTGTTGTCGCACGTAGTAACAGATCCAAAATGTAACATAAGTACTACATACCTACTTGAGTATGTTTTTGACATAGGAACTCGGAAGTTTCCTTTTTTGGGGGATAGGGGGTAGGGGGGGTAGACTCAGGGCGCCTTAATTCGTAAAAAAAATGCGACTGTATATCTAAAATCCACGTTCCGCCACCCCCTTGTGTGTTGCTGCATGCTAGTGCGTGAGCCCATGCACGTATGCTGTTCAAATTGCACAAAAAATAAAATGTGTGTATTATAAATTGACCCACGTGTATAATAAGAATTATGATTCTGCCTGCATATATTACCTTAATCATTCGTGTTTGAATCCAAAGTTGTGTGCATGCATGTTTTACATTTGCCCATGTATTTCAACTTTGAGAGCATGTGACCCTTCCGTCCTATGAAAAACCTCCCTCCACTGACTGGGGCATTGCTCACTAAGGTAAAAAAAGGTTACAAACTACAAGGGTATAAATATAGCAGTGTACTGATGAAGTTTTAGAGGCACAGAACATGCTGTTGTCACTGTGTCTCAACTGCATCTGGCATCGACACTCTTGCATCATAGTGGACGATGATGGTAAACAAAGCCAAACTTCGTGATCTTGGGGCACCCATGTCAAATAGTTGTTCAGTTTCTGCCTCAAACCTTAATCCCATTTCGGAAACATAGCCACCCGCCTTTGTTGATTATTTGGCTTGAAGCTCAATTCGGACATTGACGCGTGCACCCCATTCACCTGAGCTTGACGCTGCAGTTACAACCTAGTGTGGAGTAGTTTACAAATCGTAATTAAGTCAGATATAAACACAGTTGAACATAATCAAAGGAATAAATACAAAACAAGAGTATAGTAAATGAGTTCATCTGTAATATGTACCCTCACGATAATAAGAGCACGACAGCTGCAAGACAGGCGGCGAGAGCATCAGTGTCAATTCTGCTGGACCAGTGGTAGGTATGGAGGCCGTATCATGATAATAGGAGCCCTGCTGTGGAGGCGCAGGGCAGAAAGGTGGAGAAATTGTCACAAGCGGCGGTTGGGATGGGCCAGAGGCAGGTAGAACAGAGCCTTGGTGATAGTAGAAGTGCGCCGGCGTTGTCAGAGGCTGTAATGACACAGCAGTGGGCAGCACAGGCGATTTAACAGCCGCTGGCGCCGTAGTCTGGCTAGGTAGGCATTGAAGACTGTAGAAGTATAATGTCAAAAGCCTCAGTCTGAGGGAGTGTATCTTCTGAATGCTTGAATTACTTACAAGGTCGTTTTCTTGGAACCCTCAACTTCAGAATCCCTCTTTGCCTTCTTCCCGCTCTGATCTCCTGCCCCATAAGCATCTCCAACATGTTTTTTCTGAGTCTTCTTTGCAGGTAACCGTGAGTGTAACATTGTTGACTGAGTCTCTGGCCAGGAATTCAGGTGAGGAGAGAGACATTTGGCAGGTGGGAGAATGTGGACACCATGTTGGACCAGCGAGAGCTTGCTGTCAAGTAGTTCTTCAAGGTTGTCATCATGAACAATGTCCGATCCTTTGCAGCGCAAGCAGGCTGCGAGCATTTCCAACTTCTCGATAACACATAAGCGGTTGAGTTCTTTATCTGCGTCGGCCCTAGTGTCTGTGGCACTGATGACCTCGTTCGAGCCAGGTGGGATATGCACCAAATCCTCGAGAGCAGGTGAGCTCGAAGGAGGGGTCTCTGATGGTTCAAGGGAGAGAGACAGCGCGTCAAGTTCAGAATGAGCCACAGTATCAGAGAAAGGGAAATGTCTCTGGACAGCGGCGATATGCTTGCAGAAGCGGATCTCAGGGAAGTCTCGACATGTGCAGTTGTACGGGATAATGTTGATGTCGTAGATGTGATCAGCAATAGAAGAAGACTTCACACGATAATGGCCAGGGTCTGACTCGTGAACATCGCTGATGGGAATAGCTTCACTGTGCTGAAGAATGGTTTTGCATTTGTGGGTTTCAAGATTAGGACCTTCGAAGCCGACAGATTCACGATTTTGCTTGACCGAATAATATTCGATGACCTTACAAAGGAGGATGTACAGCAAATGGTCAACACGGCGATTTCTACAACCTTCGAGAAATTTCCATTTAAGAACATGATGCCAACTGACATCGGGTGAGAAAGGATCGGTAAAAGAAAAAAGGGATGTACGCTTCCAAGAGCATATTTGTATCACTGCGCTCAAAGATTGCGCGATCCTTGCAATTAACTGCAGACCACATAGCTCTAAATTCGTCAGTCATCCAGTATTGGACAAGGTAGTTGTGAAAGGCTCTGGGCGACAGCCTTTGAATATCGACCCAAGCGGCTTCAAAGTTCTTGAGACACTCAATCCGAACCCAGGCCTTAAGTTTATCCCACAGTTCGATGTTCTGAGAAATAACAAGATGTTGTTGCCACGTGTGGAGAACGTGCCACCAGCAAAGAAGAATTGTTGATGTAGGAAAGTAATGCCTGAGGGCATTTATCTGTGCCAGGTCACGGTCGGTCATCAACCAGTGAGGGATGATAAGTGGGCTACGTTCTCGCAAAAGCAAAACAAAATATCCAATAGTTTCCGCTGTTCCATTTGACGCAAGCATCCAAGCAATCGGAATACCTATCTGAAATTACATGTCATATGAGTATTTTGAGTTTAATTCATTTGAAGTGAAAAGAAACGCACCGTGGCCCCATTTGTTGCACACAATCAATGTAAATAAAGTCATATTTTCATACATGGTCATATTGTGAGTGCCGTCCATGAAGAGAATGTTCGAACCATGAGCGCGATACTGTTCAAGTTGCCAAGGAGTCTGTATCATCAAGGTAAAAGTGTCGAGCCAAAGATCTGAGCCAGGAGGCACTGGACAAGCCCCAGACTTGAACCCCAGAAGACTATTAGCAGCATGGATTTTGTCTACCCACTTGAATATTGAAGTTCCGTCATCCTTATCTAGACGAATAGTCTCAGATTCGATAGCTTTCTCAATGCGTCGGATATCCGCCAAAACCACAAAGTTATTTCAACGTGGTTGGGCTTGACTAGGCTCGTAAAACCTGAGAGTGTCGACATCTGGGGTTGCTTCAAGACCACGATGGAGCAAATCAAGCTATATGTGTGCTTGGTTACTGATTTGAAGACCAAAAAAAGATGGGGACTCACGATGTGACCAGAATCGACCTTCCCACAGACCATAGCAACAATCCAATTTAGTGTTTAAAGGTTCAGTCCATAGGACCGCAAAAAACCGGTGGACCGAACTGAACCGGACCATGGACCGGTCTTTTTTTCGGTTGCAGTTGCCCCAATTTGGGGTTGGTCCAGTTGCCGGTTGCCTCATTTCGAAAATCTTTTAAAACCGTTCAAAGACCGGTTTTAATCGGTTGCAACCGGTTAAACTGTCACGTGCGTTACATAGCCTTGTAACCACGTTTATTGCCTTTTATTTGGTTTTTGTTTCATCAAAAACGGTTAAGAATTGAGAAAGATATAACCAAATCCATATTTTACCTGAGTCTCTATGAGATGTAATTCGGTTTCAGTCATAGCTATGTCAAATCTTCATTAAATCTCTTGAAAATTGGTAGAATGATGGGTATTTATATGCTTTACTATTTTATATAACCCGTTTATTTTTCAGAGTAATAATGGTTGAGATACAAATGGTTTATATTGGTCTAATAAATTATATGCAAAAAAACCGGTTTGGATCGGTCTGAACCGGTATCATGGACCGCAAAAGACCGGTCCTAGGTGGTTCGGTTTGGTTCCCTCAATATCTGGGTCGGTCCTGGACCGGTTGCGGTCCACGGTTGCGCGTTTTCGGGGCAAAAAACCGGACTGAACTGAACCTTTAAACACTAATCCAATTGCACGTCTTGCTTGAAATCCGGATGTACTTCAAGTTCTCTGCACCAATTGGATGGTTATGATCTGACTGATACTTTCCTAGTACAGTCTCCATGCCATGATAAATTTTGACGACTAGAGAACACTTGCAATCTGTGAATTTGCCGTCGACCTTCCAGTTCCACTGCAGATTCTTCTTCTCGTAATCTTTCTGCCCACCCGTTCCAGCATGAGAGCAAACATATCACTTTATTTCTTTGTAAAGCAAGCCTCCAGTAAGTGTCTGTACTTTCCGAAGCTCAATTGACAACAAGTCCTCTTCTTGTTCTCGAAACCACTCAAAAGCTCGCCAAGATGCCCATGTGTGATTATATCGCCCAGAGTGAAGATCGCTTTCGTAGTCGCCATATTTGATGTCGCAACGCTCAGGGTTAAAGTTCAAAATTCGAAGACCCGAGCAGAAGTCCAAAGAGAAAGGGTTGCCTTCAGGGCTAATCCCAGGTTCACTGACAGGAGAAGAACCACGGTATTCAAGCTGAAATGCTCCGAAAGACATCCATGGTCAGCTACTGTTGAAAATCGAGAAAACTTGTGCTTAGCGAGATGAGAGGTCCTCGCCACCGACCAGACAGTGATTGACTTGGGAGCTCCGAGGATCAATTCGAGGCATAAAACAGGGGGGAAAGATGGAAATAAATAAGTGCTCAGTGATTAGTGTTTAAAGGTTCAGTTCAGTCCGGTTTTTTGCCCCGAAAACGCGCAACCGTGGACCGCAACCGGTCCAGGACCGACCCAGATATTGAGGGAACCGAACCGAACCACCTAGGACCGGTCTTTTGCGGTCCATGATACCGGTTCAGACCGATCTATAATTTATTATACCAATATAAACCATTTGTATCTCAACCATTATTACTCTGAAAAATAAACGGGTTATATAAAATAGTAAAGCATATAAATACCCGTCATTCTACCAATTTTCAAGAGATTTAATGAAGATTTGACATAGCTATGACTGAAACTGAATTACATCTCCTAGAGACTCGGGTAAAATATGGATTTGGTTATATCTTTCTCAATTCTTAACCGTTTTTGATGAAACAAAAACCCAATAAAAGGCAATAAACGTGGTTACAAGGCTATGTAACGCACGTGACCGTTTAACCGGTTGCAACCGATTAAAACCGGTCTTTGAACGGTTTTAAAAGATTTTCGAAATGAGGCAACCGGCAACCGGACCAACCCCAAATTGGGGCAACTGCAACCGAAAAAAAGACCGGTCCATGGTCCGGTTCAGTTCGGTCCACCGGTTTTTTGCGGTCCTATGGACTGAACCTTTAAACACTATCAGTGATCCAGCAAGAGCGGGGTATAGATATACAGTTGAGTGCAAAAAGAATGAAGGTTGGTTCATTTTTCTGGTTCTTTCTAAGAATCTATTGTACCTCAAATGTATTTGTGTATTCTTTTACATCATGTAGTTGTGTTACACTTCCCTTGGTATGGACTAATTTCAGTGAAAGCTGGAGCCTTGAGAAGGTTTTTGTTCTGGAGGCCACTTTTGGCATCTGAAAAAAAAAATATGCGCTAACTGGGGAGGTAGCCAGAACATACCTCTGGTCAACCTGAATGAGCCTATCAAAGAATTAGTTAAAAATACTGAGTGGTTATGCTTGTAGAGCCTCCAGAAAATGGTCATTTTGTGCTATTTTGGTCATTTTTGGCCTGTTTTAGACAAAACAAGCCATTTTCCAATGCCTCTACA